AAAAAAAGAAAAAAAAAGAAAAAAAAAAAAAGGGGGGGGGGGGGGGGGGAGGGAAAGGGGTAAAGTCGACTACGACGTGGAAGCACCATAGAGGCAAGTGCAAGCGACAGTAGGCGGCGATGTTGGTAGTATTGGTGATAACGGCTTGCCATGGCCGGCCGGAATAGGACACCGTTGAAGAAACATGCTTTTCCCTGTCACGCGTGATGAGAGGAGAGGGAATAAAAGACAAAAAGGGAAAGGAAAAGAAAATTAAAGTGAAATGAAACTCTAGGCTGGTTACGTTGACCAGCCCTACGTGACGAGGGAAGCAAGGGATGGGGGTGATGTTATGCCGTAACACCTCACTGGCGAGCTAGTCCCCCCCTTACTAGCCTTACGCGAGTCGATGGGAATTACCTCTAAGCGCCTGAAAAGGTTTCTGTTAAATGACTACTTACTACAATACTCTCTAAGACATATGCAAGAGATGTAGTAGATACCAGCCGGACATCACATAGTCATGAGGAACATCAGGGGTGTGATCTCAGGGGCGTTTTTTCTCAAGTAGCACGGATCTGCAAGGCATACATATCTACCCATCCATGAACGCCAAAGGGCGTTGCTGCTGCTGCTGCTCCTGGCTGTATCCAAGACACACACATACACCCCCCCGTATCCAAGGATGGATGGATTGTTTTACGCGTCGGTCGTTACAACTGCCGTCACAATTCCCTAGCGGGACAAACGCCTCCCACGTACATAGCATTGTACAATACATGATATTCGAAGCCTAGCGATCTTCGAGATCGGTGTGATAGCCAGAACACCAACAGGGCATACATAGCATAGCATATCATATCCTTCCCTACCTACTTTAGGTAGATACCGTTGTGCTTGCTGGGCCACCAACGCACGGCAAGCGGATAGCGACGGAAAAGGCAGCGAGTATACCTCGCTACGTTGCCTGCCTACCTGTCTATCTGCCTATCTCTCTCAACCTGTCTCTCTCTGCCTGCCTCCATGGGGTCTTTCGTCTTAGCATTCTCGGCGAGTAAGTATATCACATCTATTGTTAGAATTCCACGACAAGTTGAGGTGTCTGTATCCAAGTTCAAGTTCAAGTTAGTTATATTTATTACCCGTCGTCACATTTTAGCCCTTCGATCGCGAAGCCGAGACCTTTCCAAGAGCAGAATAATAATAATATAGGGTGCCAGTATCGTAGCAATGCAACACATAACTCGGCTCGACTTTGTCAAGACGTGATTGACTGCCTACCTACATAACCTAAACCCAACCTATCTTTAGTCACGAGCTGATGGGGGGGATATAACGCTACAACCCACGCGGGCTAAGATCCCGCAACAATCCAGAGAGACCTACCACCAGGCTACCGCTTTGTATCCGATAATAGCACAGCGGGACCGAATGCTGATGAATGAATGGTACAGACTGGTGGTGGCGGCGGCGAGGGAGAGATCGATCTGGTCTCGATGCTCCTCTCTTCCTTCTTCTCACTCTAACTCATCTGCTCCTACGGCTTCTGGGAGTATCTGACCTAGGAGAGACCGGAAACCCCGTTTCTTCAATTAGTTATTATATCTCAGGTTAGAATGTAGAAAGGGGAGATGAAGGCGGCTACGTATAAATGCAGTCATTGTAGGTAGTGTTGTCTCCCTCCAGCTAACTGACCTAGAAGATACCTACCTACCTACCTCCTAACCCGGACATTCTACCGAGGGGTCTACTACCAGAGAATCTTATAATTCCCTTTAAATATCATATTCTGTGGGCTTTTCCTCGCAATAATCATACTTTAGGTACCTCTTAATCTATCTAAAGAACAAATTCGATGTAAGAGGTATATAAAAACCATTTCTAACTTCTTCCTCTAGAATCCATGTTATAAAAACCCAACGTCAAATCTCAATTGTCTGAATCTAACAACTGTGTAAAACAAAGTTGAAAAACACCGCCAACGCGAAACATTCCCATGGAATTGGTAACCTTCCGCAGAAATAGAAAATAGGGGTATATACAGGTACATCTACAACACAGTCCCAAGACTCATCCACTCATCATATCATCTTCACAACCACTCAAGCAAGCACACCACATATACCTAAGTAATCAACAAACACAATACCCATAAACCATATTCATCACGGATATTTTCATGCTAGGAATTATCTAATATCAAAGCTTGGGGTTGACATGACATGACATACCTAACGTAAAGCAGCGAGGTTCGTTTTGATCCGCCCATCAATCAATCATCCATCTCTCCGACTTTCACCGGCCTCTCTCACAATCTTATTTACGGTGTCAGAAAAATGCATGCAAAAAAAAGATGAAATAAATAAATAAAAAGGCCCATAAGAAAACAACATCAACAACAATAACGCCGTTTCGTTCGTAATTATTGCACTTTTTTGTATTCCCCGATATAGTTTTTACCCGGATCGTCCAAAAAGATAGGGATATTTTTCTTGGTCACTTAGTGGCTCTCGTCGTCCCCTTCGTCCTCGGACCCAAATTGACTATCTCCCTCGTACGGCTTCGTGTATTCCCCGCCGACGCTAAGGCGGGCTAACGGTCTTAGTAACTAACTGGCGGACGCAACTACCCGCCTCCGGTCGTCGTTATGGTTGTTGTTATTATTCTTGTCGTCACTCTCTGAGTCGTCGTCGCTTGGCGGCCGACTATCACGAAGGTTGCGGCGGTTCTTGGTCATCTATTCGAAAATTAGTTATTTCGCACACTTCTTTGAAAAGGGTTATATATATATAAACGTTAACTTACCCAAGACCTTACACCACCAATTAAACCAAGAGTATAACCGGTAATAAAGTCGTTAGGAGCCGGGGCTCTCTCTCCTGATGGTGGGCCAGGGGTAGTGGGGGATTTAGCAGCGGCAGCCATGGTAGCGGTTTCTCGTAAACTACTATCGCCATTCGCGCTTGGAGTGGTAGGGAAAGTGAAGCGACTACCCGGTGCTGGGCTTTGAGGTCGACTTGCGGGCCAATACTGACGGAGCTCACGGCTCAGCTCTTGGCCTGTCGTAGTCCAGTTTGCTCTGATGTTATCACGCAGATCCTGGACATGCCGTTTGATTTCGAGCTCGTTCTTCTTGAGCCAGCTCACATTAAGCTCCTGGCGAGATGTCCCTCGCTTCAGTTGACGAACAATGTATTTCTCGTAGTCTCGGACGATCCTGGGTAGTTTATAGTTAGCATCCACTTTACCTCAAGCTGCCCCGGAATGTTGAAATTACTTACTTTGTGATGATGCCCGTTGTGCTTACGCCCTCAGTTCGCTGCGTCACTAAGAATTTTCCAGCCTTCTTGATAGGAGCATAAATATCATCGCCTTCATCGGCTCCATAGGGAATGTCATCGTGAGCAACATAATCGATCCGGTGCTTCTCTAGGAATTCTGGCGTTACAATCCAAGGGCAGTTCTCGACAACCTCGTCAACCCACTTGCAGTGCCTGAGGGTCTCAGCACGCTCCTTGCCCGAAAGAACCGTTAAACCCTTGCGTTTATGCGTCTCCTCGTCGCCTGTAACACCAACTATTAGGTAGACGTCGTCAAACGCCTTCTTAGCCTGCTCAAGCTGACGCATATGACTACGACAAGATTAGTACGTGTTCGGTGTTGAAAAAGAACCTAGGAGCAGGTCCAACTCTAAGTAATTCGTGCGTACCCGAGATGAAATAAATCAAAGACTCCATCAGCATAAACTCTGATGGTGCGCCCAACAGGTGGGGGGTTTGTTTTGTATCCAACGGGATGTATAAGGCGACCGGTTGGGGGCGGCGGCATAGCGGCCTGCTTCTTCCTCTCCTCGTCATCTTGCGTGGTGGTATCTTTTAGGGTGGTAGGCTTCCTACTCTTCCTACTAACTCGATCGGCGATATCAATGCTCGCCTCGGTAGTATCGCTCGGCTCGCCGGGATCGACAGCATTGTCGGTTGTCTCGAGGGCAGAGGTGCGATCGGAATTAGCACGTTGTCGCTTGGCCGGGTTCGAGTTGCTAACAGAATCCGACTTGCGGTGTAATAGCTTTCCGGACTCGGGTGCGGTAGTATCACCTTCTTCACCGGATGCGTCCCTCGAGGAGGGCTGCAAGAGGGGATTGTCGTCCATTTTGACGCTCGAGGTTGCCGGGCGTTTGCGCTTTCCAGCGTGAGAGGAGCTTGAAGGAGAGGACATTTTTGGCTTTGGCTTTGGCTTTAGTGGGTAGGTTGGAACGGGATGGGAGAAGGAGAGAAAGAGAGAGAAAGGATTAGAGGTGCCTAAGTGGAGGCTCGGAATGGGAAACGGGTAATGGGTAATCGACGATCGAGGTTGCTCAGAAATTAACCGCGCCGAGCTTTCAAGTTTAGGAATTGAGAAGGATGATTCGCCGGCTTGAGGCTGAAGCTACCTTAGGTAGATGTAGATTTGACAGAACAGGCAGCTTCTGCTTCTACTTTCCCAGCAGTCCGGTAAAACCCGTTGAGGCGTTCAGGAACCAGGTTGGGGGGGTTTTGGCACCGCCACGGGAAGAATAAATTAATGTAAATTTACCTAATTTATAGGTACCTAGGTAGCTTGTCACCTGTAATAGATTTTATTAAATAGACATCATAAGCAATTGCTCATAGATTAATAAAAAAGCAATAAAAAAGCAATTACGGGGAAAGGGTGACGAATAACAGTTGAAAGTTGAAATTCACCGGGACGTGGGAGTGAACAAGAATGATGGATTATGATAATGATAAGGTAATGATGGCAGAGCTTCCAAGTTGTGGGAGCATACCTAGGTGTGTGTACCTAATGATACATACGTTTTATCTCTCTGAGCTTCTAGAGGTATGTACTGAGTGCAAGCCCGCAAGGTATACAATCGATAAAGAAAAAGCCAATGTGGACGTGCTTTCCAAGGTTCTTTCTTCTTTTCTCCCCCTGCTTCCCAGTTGCTTGGCTACCTTGGGTACACACAACCTCTTATATAACCTTTCCATTAGGTACTTTAGCTCTGTTGAGTAAGATTTACGCTAGATAGTACCTAAGTAGTAAAAAAAGGGGGTTTCAACTACGTGTGTTCCAATGAAAGTCTTGTTGTTTTTAAGATTGCACAAATCAATGCTACCTAAGGTTTAACATACAGCACAGCATAGTGTGTTGTTGTTGGATGTATTGGCATAGCGTAGTGCATCCATAAAGTTCTAAATTTCGATGATTTTCGATTAAAAAAAAAAAAATTTCCAACAATCATTCGATTCCCCCGGTTAGCGACACCATGTAAGTAGCGTCATAACTGACCAATTGGGTTAAGCCGGACCTTTTAATCCAGCATGTCCCAACGCTTTAATCGTGGCTAATACTTTAGAAGTACCGTATAGCGTGGCGCCAAAATCTTGATATGTGGAGGTTACGTGTTGTCTGTTTCCGTATCACTCACCCATGCAGCCATGTTACATGTTAGACATGTCTCGAAACTCTATAACTAATAAACAATTTAAGTTTAGGTTAGGTACCAGGTACCTAGCTAAGCTCTTCTGAATAAACTCAAATATTTGTCTTATTAATAAGGAGTTGTATAAGAATTATACCTATTAACTACGTATACGTATAAGTATACCTAACTTGTCACATTGTCATGTCAGCCTTCAAGAAATACCAGTCATAAAAGCAAGTGAAACTTGTGTTCAGATTTTTTTTTATTCTTTATTCTTAAATTCATATCCGAGTCAAACCCCCAAGACAAAAGCTTATCCCCAGTCGCCTTACACGACAGGTTGACATTATCTAAGGTTGTTATTCCCTTCCGCATGCAATGCAACTTATGCAACGCATGTCATAAACACCGTATGTAGGTACCTATTCTCACATGTGTTCCAATAAGTCATCAAGTCCGTTGCCTTATACCCCCAATGTCCCCAATATCCCCAAACATATTCCCGCCAAAGGTACCTCTAATATATACCAATACAAAAAAGTATTCGCCCAATACATGTGGAAATATGAATATGTGACCGTAAGCCTCGACTTAGATGTCCACGGTATTTGACCGATCATGATTCCTTAAACTTGGTCCTGCAAGATGCGCACCCCGCAATCACTTGCCTTTTGGACCAAGTTCCATCGACACGGGGAGGAGCGGAGACTTAAATCTTTCCTTCGAGAGGGAAATAAATATCATAAAATATTGGTCGGTTTTATGTGAGGTATCTCCAAAGCCTTTCCCAAGAATTAATACAAGATATCTTTATAAGTTTCGTTTCTCGGTTCCCATCTTTGCGTTAGTTTAGTTTAGGAGGTAGCCAGTCAACCCTTTTTTTTTCTTTTTTTTCTTTTTTTTTTTTAGAAAAAAATAATCGACTGCCCCCTTTTTTTTCAACAACCCTCCCGCCGTTGTCTTATCCCGTGAAGCGTGGGTCTTTCCTACACGAGCCGAACGGGCCGCTGCTGCCGCGTGTGTCTGCCGCACCGGTGCGGATGTCTCGGGGAGCTCCGGTAACAAAAAGCCCTGGCCTTCTCGGAGGCGGCGGGGCCGAACTTCTGCGAGACCTCGCAGTACTCCTTGTCGTCGCCGACCCATTCGCGGATGTGGTTGTGCAGCTCGCAGCGCGCCGTCCGGCACTTGCGGCAGTACACCTGGCCCCGCGGCGACAGCAGCGCCAGCGAGTTCTGCTTGCCCACCCCGCTGCTCGCCACGAACGGCCCCGATATGAACGTGTTCCGCCACACCCACTCCATGTCGTTGGGGCCCTCCCGCCGCGCCGACAGCGGCACTTTCCCGTACATCCGCTTGTGGATCGAGTAGAAGTGCTTGCTCGTCAGCCCCAGGCACGTGCTGTCGATGGGGTCCAGGAAGTCGAAGATGGCGTAGTGCAGCTCCGGAGGGAGATCTTCTAGCGTAAGGGCCACGCCTGGTTGGTGCGTGAACGGAACTGGTTCGACGTCCGTTACTGAGTACGACCTTAGCTGCGCTGGCATGGGCGGCCGTTTGGGTTGGGCATGGTTCGTGCCTCGCGGCGTGAGTACGCCCGGAGAAGCTGCGAGCTCAGGCTTCGCAGTCGACACATGAGGGCGGGGTTCGAAGTAGGAGTCTGCTTCTGTGGACTCTCTTGGTGTAGCAGCCGGTGTGGGTAGGCGGTGTTGTCTGTGCAGGACAACCGATGAATTAACCGAGGGTGGGTAGTCAGTTGTGGAAAAGGCACGTCGAGGCGTCCAGAGGAGGCCATTCTTCGACATGGCTTCCTTCGCAGACACCTTCTGCTGCTGCTGCAATACCACCATCGATGTCTCCGAGCCGGGTCCGAGGTCCATATTATGGAATCTATCCATCATATCAGGTGAACGTGGTGATAGTGACTGTCCCAGTGACGGGACGCGGAGAATCTCAACCATGTTGTCTGTAGGTTGATTTCTTCAAAATTCAAAATCTGACGAGAGGTGCTATTATCGCACCACAAATTCTTTAACCAGGCAAGAGTGAGAAGCACCTGGTCTTCTTTTGGTTTTCAGGAGGCTGTTCTCGAATTTACAATAAGACTGACAAGCCCTAGGGGCAAGTTGGATGATAAGACTCCTCAGTTCTAAGATTGCAAATTTTGCCGCTTGGATGGGGTGGCTGATAACTAGGGTATGTGGATGGGGATTTTTCTTTTCTTTTTTCTTTTCTTCCTGGGGTCTGAAGATCTAATGTGGAGGAATCTTCAGATATATCGTGGATAAAAAACTCATTCGATAATCTGTTGACGAGTCGTGACACTTACCGAACCCTCGAATTACGCGGGACGGGAGGGTTTATTAAATCCGCCGCCATCAAGAAAGCGGTAAGGGGTCAGCTACGGGGGACTACGAGAGACTAGCCACACTACTACGATCACTTGTTTAGTGGAGATGTGATCCACTTTCTGGCAACCTGGCGAGGCGCCGAGGATTAAGAGGTCTGGAGATCTATCGTGACAAATGGGGAGAGATGAGGGTGGTGTGACCCGCAACTATCGTCGCCCCCGACCGGGAGCCTGGGCAAAAGAAAAAACACGGGGGAATCCTCTGGAAAAACCGGGCTAGGCCAGAAGTAAATATTTTCGTCTACCACGTATGATTCAAGTAATATCAGCCAGTCAAGATGAGGTTCTAGAAGGTAGGCTGAATCCGAATTGGGTCACTTAGGCTCGTATGGAGTGGAATTCGGCGCCTGTTAGAGAACTCACTTTGTTCATTTCTACATAGTAGTCCCGGGAATTTTCGCTAGCCAACCCGGTCATCCCGGTCAATTCCTGAGCGATAGCGGACAGTTACCAACTACATAGTAGTAAGATCAGAATGGAAGCTACCTGGCAGCCTGGTAAGGATGTGCTGTAATGTTGTATGCACGTAGGGTAAATTTTATAATATATGTCATCATTCCTGACATAGCCTACCGAAGTAATACATGGGAATACTTCCTTTGCTCCAAATTCTGTTACTACTTTTACATAGATTTCGGTCCAAGCCGCTATGTACCTACACAACAGACAAGTGAGACAGAATCCCCCCCACACATTGCCTCTAAATAGTGGACGTGATATCGTGATAAGTTACCCCATCTTACCTAGAACAGCCTGACAGCCTACATATATAGACCGACTTATCTGCCGTTGGGCCTTTACCGCGCTTTTTCTTCCCTAAGCGGTGGAACAATAATCCATTTTTATGTTAATTTGATACACACTAACATGCGACGCTTGAACCGAGGGTTGTGGAGTGACAAGTAGGATTGGAAAAGCAAGCAACTCGGGGACTTGCCCAGCCTACCGGAACTCGATGTAGCAGCGATGTGCAAGCCGTTAGACAACTTGAAATGTCTAACGCATACACACTTACATACCTAGGTAAATACATCATCCTCATCAATGGAAAGGGACTTCGGGAATCGGCATTCGCAGATTAATGCGACGTGCAATATTCTCTCCCAAGTTGGGATGATGATGATGATCGCATCTCACAAAAGAGGAGAGCCGAATTCTTTTCTCGACTCGACCAATCATATCACATAATATCCGTCGACTTTCTCTCTGGCAAGGAATCTCAATAGAATTCCCTTGGCTTCCAGTGCTAATCCGACGTTCTGGACTGGTGTCAAACCGTGTGTGCTTGCCCCTACCCCCTCCCCCCTTGGCTTGCCTATCCGTGCGCCCTCATGCAGATCGTTCACGATCGTATCCACTGCTACGGGTCTCTTTGCCGATAATGGAGCCATTGCTTACCGTGATCTTATCGTATATGGCTAGGTCGTACAATTAGGTAGCAGATAGGTATTCTTGACTGAATAGAGGAATCCGGCGCTATGACATTTAGTGTGAAGTACATTACATTAGTGTTTAACTTCCCGCTGGCTTTCCGAAGTGTCAAGAAAGCATAATGTACACTATGTGGCGCTTAGAGCCGTATAAGTGAGGGCCATTCCAGGTCCCAAATGTGAAACCCGTCAAAACAGATACTTGTATCCGGTTCCCCTCGTCCCGTGCCGTTTTTGGACCGAGGAGAGAAAAGAACCATGGCGTGCTCTGTACCTATCGCTGAGCTCCGACCTACGAATATAGGTACACTATACGTACATGTGTATATAGAAAGGTCATGGTCTGTTTTCCCTGTTTGCTGACGCAGGGAAAACCTTGGCGTCCCTGAAAGGGGTCTAGATCGAGGGTGACAGCTTCGGTCAGCCGTCCAGTCCCTTCCATGCGGTACGACGCCATTAGGGCTGGCTGAATGTTGATCGCGTAACATTCCGATAACGTAACGTAGATTCTTCGAGTACTATCTCTACATATATAGGTACCTAAGGTCGTGGCATCGTCCCACCAATCTAGGGACGCCGGGGACGTCGCCAACGGCGACTTGGGGTCATGTGGTTGGTATTGAACTGGCTTCGATTCACCCTCAAGTTTTCCCAAGTTGTCCAAATGGATCAAGTCGACTAGGTACCTAGTTTATTCGATGGATCATACCATGATGATTCGGGATCTCGGTGGATTCGAAATACACTATTCTCGGGTACCTAGATCATAATTGCTACGTACCTAAGTTCAAAACAACTAGCCAGCGCTTCCGAAAGTGAAAGATAGCAAGTTCGTATCAGACACGCGAACTCATTAGAGTAGGTACTTGATGGATAGATGTTCAGCTTTAAGCCTCACTTTAGATCCACGTGGTATGATAGTACAAAATCTAACCAGAAGTTTGTTCTTTCCACCTAAATAATTCACCATGCTATCATATCTAGGTAAGTATTGGACGAGATACCTCATGTCTCTCGCCTAATCTTTCGCTACCCCTTACATGAAGAAGAGGGCAAGATAAAAAAAAAGGGAGAAAGGGGAGAGAAGAGGAGGGGACTCTCATTCATCCAATGTACATACTTCATTAGCTCTATTAAGTGTACTGCCGTAGAAATAGTAGAATAGCACTAGTTTCGTATTTATTGGGTTGGTTAATCGTAGTTCCCCTATACTCAGTTGAAAATATATATAGCCAAAGCTATGAGAGCTAGGTAATGCGAATAGCTATACTACGTCTAGAACGGTGTTAGCAGAATCGGAAGAGATGTTTTCTTCTCACTATACGTTTATAACACCGCTGCAAGCTATTACTTTTGTCTATCTGAGTAAACCTTGCATCAACCTTCCATTAACCTAACATAATTTATGATCACGAGAACACTAGGATAAACCTCAGAAAAGAGGTTCTTCTACTCAGCGTAAATTCGATAGACTGATATGAATACAATGCAACCCCGAACTTAGGATAAGTAACTTATTATCCTAAACGGGTCCCGCACACTGAGCTGCACACCACCATCAAACAACACAGATCAAGTCCTAGATGGATAATAGACTAGGCTTGTAAAATGTATCAATTTCTCTTTGAGCGTAGATAAAAACAACGTGTTGATACAACCAACCGGCCAACCAGCAACCCCTCGCCATATACCAAATATCGATTTCGACCTTAGGTATAGTACAGTACAGTACAGTACCTACCTACCTAGGTAACATACCTAATATAACATCCATTCCGCATCATCGCCTTAGAAAGGCACGGCGTAATGCATACTTCCTCTCATATCCCAACCCAGATGACGCTAATGACGACGTCCATGCCCTTGCCCTCGCCGCCGTCGTACTTGAAGCTCCACATGCCGTCCGTCTTCTCGTTCCAGAAGGCCTGGGTGGCCGAGTGCATGCCCCTGCGGCCGACGTGCGGCTTGCCGTCCGTGGCCGTCGCGTTGCCGCCGTCGCTGGTGCTGATCCGGGGGCTCTCGGCCTTCACGTCGCTGCCGCCTTTCGGCTTGTTCAGCGCCGACGTCGGCACCAGATGCTGCACGATCGTGCTGTTCACGACGAACTTGTGCGCCGGCGTCTGCGACCCCGAGGGCGTCGATTCAGATATCACGGCGCGGAGGATCGAGTTCTGCCGGTTGGTCGGAAAGGTTAGAAATAGGTACGTATTATATATATCAGTAGTTCGTTTGGAAAATGGAGAGATAACGCGTACGATTATGGTAGCATTCCATCCTTCAACCTTCGAATGCTCGTAGAACCCCGCGTTGCCGATGGCGCTTTGGCATGCCTGTTATTTGGTTGTGATCGATCTTAGCTTTGAGGGCTCTTCCCCAATTTCATTATAGGTAAACTCGTGCGGAAGGGGGCGAGCGAGGCGAACCTACGTCCATGGCGATCTGCTTTAGCCTCGTGGTGCTAATTGGCTATAAACGACTTTTTGTAAGCTTCCCGGACGCGATAAAGAGAAGAGTTGGCGATAATTATAAATAACAATAACATACCGCATTGTTCTGCGGTGAGGCCATTTTTCGGATGGTGGTGACGTTCGGGCTTCGAAAAGGGCTGGGGATTTCAAATTACGAGCGAAGGGCTTCTCCGGCAGGTAAATTGTAATAAGGAGATATGTAGAATTTCTTTGGGAGAATCGTATTGATGATATTCAAGGGGCAATTGGTCACTTGAATTGAAAGTAGGGACTATTAGGTACGACAGCCTTGTGGGCTTTGTTCTTCTTCAGCCTTCTCCCTCTGACGTTGTAAACAATACCTAATATTAATGCAAGGCTTATTTGCAGAAGAGGAGGGGACCTCTATAGGATCCCTGCACCAATGCATTTCCTGGGTTATGCATATGTCAGATACACTACACCTACCTAGCTGCCTAGCAATGCCTAGTGCCTGTTACACAAACGAGTATAAATCTGATTAGATTATGTAAAGATGTTCAAGTTAGAGGCTAGTCTCCTTTTAGTAACTGCGCGGGCATCGTCTTCTTTTCCTCCTCTCGCAGCGGCAGAATTCATCAATCCCTGCTGTTTTCCCTGCTGCTCCCTGCTTGCCTCCTTCAGATGAACCACTGAGAGCTGCGAGATGACACACGTGGATAAACCTTTTTTTTCAGCTAATGATCTCAACTAACCGCCTTTAGCTTTGAACGTTTAGATGCTTTTTCCTACCTAGCTTTGCTATCTATCAAAAGCTCTTCATATTATTTGATTATCGTCGTCATAGCTAGACTTTTTTCCCTCTCACATTTAGTTATTCATCTCTTACATCGTTCTATATTCCTGTGGACTTTGTGCCCAATTCCTTTTCATATTCGTCTTCTCCGGCTCAAGTACGGAATATTTCATCTGCATCTGCATTTTGCATTTTTTTAAGCAGGTTTAGAAAAAAAAAGGAAAGAAAAACAAGAGCCGAACGCGACGGCATAGAGTTCTCCATCCAAAAGTACCTAGTCGCAGTAACAAACTTAACCAAAGTTACAAACTCAATTGTTCATCTACCAACGAGGAACCTATTTTTAAGAGCCAGCTCTTTTTAAAACTTAATTCCACGGATTATAACCTCTTCGTCACCGACATTTTATCACCAATCACCAATCACCAACCCCCCCAAAATGTCTAGTCAGCCTCTTTTACAAACGGCTCCAGGTAAACGCGCTTTCATCAGGAAACTGTATTTTTTCGAGTTATTGGTGATGGAGCTAGCTAACATATCTTAATTAATTAATTAATTTTAGGCAAACGAATTGCCCTACCTACCCGAGTCGAGCCCAAGGTCTTCTTCGCCAACGAACGTACCTTTCTATCATGGCTTAACTTCACCGTTATTTTGGGCGCCTTAGCCATTGGCATGTTGAATTTTGGCGACCGTCCCGCCTTCATCTCGGCTTTCCTATTCACGGGCGTAGCCATGCTCACGATGATATATGCCTTATTTACATATCATTGGAGGGCTAAGTCGATAAGAGTAAGGGGGCAGGCTGGTTTCGACGACCGCTTCGGACCATCCGTACTCGCCATTATCCTTCTACTAGCCGTCGTCGTCAACTTCGTCCTGCGAATAACGTACGCTAGCGCAGAGGGCGGGAAGAAGCATTAATTTTAAACAGTCGAAAGACACCCAATCGCCAAATCGTGGGTCGGGCTCACGGGAACTAGTTAAAGAGCAGACCGACCTTTGAACCACTAACGCAAGTTGGCAACTGTGCAACATGTTATGCCGGTCTTTTAAGAGTTGATAAGGGGCCGGAGCCAGTAGGGATTGTGTATATCAGATAGCATCATAGCATGGTATATTTTGTACAGGGGGCGCATATCTGGTGGAGTTTATTTGCTTATCATGACGAGTTTGAAATTCTGCCTGTCTGCTTTGGAATATATGATTTGAGAATGAGAGTGCCTTATAGCGCAAAAATCTTTGCAAAGCAGAGTAACTCCCGCTAGTCTCTTTATTTCTATGATTTGCTTGGGTATCTCAATATTAGGGGTTGCTTTACTGTTTCTCCTTACACGGATAATACATCGTAGTCCGACAAGGCTTCTCTACTTAGAAGCAGCGTTGGTTTGTTCTCCATATCGCTTCTTAAGTTCCTCAATGGGTACCGGAGAAAGGAACAAGCTCATGACGGGTATTCCCCTCCAACGTGGTTGGCCTTCGATAGCTCTTTCAAACGGGGTTTTCATAATCTCAAAATCATCATCATTACCATCACCACCGGCGCCGGTGCCGCCTAGCTTCGTCTCCTCAATAATAGTATTGCCATCGTTTCTAGGTCTTTCCTTAAGCTCCTCGCTCAACGCGATGTATTGGAACCATGTGACGCGCGCATCGCCGTGCCTCTTCCCCAATTCGCGCTTCGCGATTTCGGCTATCGAGACCAACTTGCCGGTGTCGGGGGCTTTGGCGCGCAAAACGACTACGCCGCTCCCCCTCCCCGTCTCCGTCTCCGTCTCCGTCTTCGTCTTGCCAGCAGCGTGGTCGGTAAGGTGTTGGAGGATGGAAGCGACTTTCTTCTGGATCTTGGAAGACGATATGATGGAGTGCACGCGGACGTCGTATTTAGACTCGAGGGCTTGGAGCATTTTGACGTCCTCCTCGGACGACGACGATGATGATAGGTTGAGGGTCGCCTCGAGCTTAGCTTTCTTGTTGGGCGCGGCCAGCTCGGAATCGGCGCGCTTCCTCTTCGTCGGCGAGTCGGTGATTTTGTTGCCCCTTTGGGGACCTCGTGGGGCATTCATGTTGCCGCCGGCGAAGGGTAAATGGTCGTCATCGACAGGTATCGCGGAATAATGTTGACATTCGCAGCATTTGTCGGCTTTCGGTGGGGTATATTGTTGTATTGTTAAATTTGACGAGGAATTACATAAAATCCTAGCTGGGTTTACTACATAGTACATAATATCAGATGCCAAGGCAGTGGAGGCACGATTCATATCGATAACGCTGGTTAGGTTAGGTAGATACCTCTACCTATGTGTGGAGCCATTGGTATTTCACCATAAATAAAGTGCTTACCAAGTAGGTACAGTAAAACCTGTCCATAACGAATCTACGATATAACGAATACACTCTATAACGAATTTAGACCTTTGATTTTTCCAATTCGTTATGGACAGGTTTTACTGTACATAGGTAGGATCTTTCTTTCCGCATAAAAGGGATCTGGTCCCTTATTTTCACATTATATCTACCTCCTACCTACCTAAGGTAAGGTACCTATATTCAACCATATTTCTTGTGTAATCATATCATGGCCGATGAAGTAAAATACATTGGTTTAAAAAACAATACCATATCGTGGGCTATTAGCATCTTAAACCCTTTAAATACCTGGTCTGATTTGAAAAGAGTTGGACTTTGATCTTCCCACTTATCAACATGGCAGTATGGGACCATTGTGTCGAGTTATCAACGAACAACGAAGAATTCTTTCTTGGCTGACACGACAAGCTCCACGACTCAAACACATTTTGAGACGAGGACAAATCCGTAAGTGGTTGATCTGAGCGTCCGGAACTTATGGCCCTGTCACCATCATGCAGCCCAGCTGTTGCCAAGAACGAACTAGGCTACGTACTTATGCATTGAAGGTATCATATGGATAGAGTCATGATCGTCATCTCAAGTCGTGTCCATGATCTACTTCCACCAATCAGAATAATCTTCTACTGTATCTACTATCGTGGAGACATGTGTAGTTGTTTTAGTATATGTTCGATATACATGACTAGACTCGAATTCTACTATGTAGAAGGTACAGTATACAATAAGCTATTAGACAAGACGTGCATCACAGACCGACTATTAAACCGCTCATCTGAACCCATTTCACCTAGCTCTAAGAAGAAACGTTCTCGGCAACGTGATGTATTTCATGTTACAGTAATACGTAGGATATACTAAAACTTCCGATCGCCCACCAATGGTGTCCAGTTACAGCCTGCCATGTTTCAAGCGACCAGACGCATGAACTAATGATGTATGTCTATAAATATGTCTAGGTATTGGAAATACGTACGTACATACCTACTTAGGTCCCTGCTTACCTAGGTACTTTGCACATTCATTATACTTCTAAAGCCATAGTAAAACCACGCCGCTTTTAGCTTGAGCTTGCTTGGAATTTACATAGTATCTCGTGCAGCTTTGCCTTGGTAGCCTGTAGGTACCTAATGTACATTTCCACAAAACACGGCTCCCTTCATGACTATTCCCAGGTGATATTCTTGTGCGTACAATAGGGACTGCGTTATTCCTAGGTTTATCGAGTCATACCTAATTCGTAACAAACATTAATCTCTACTGAGTGCCTTGAAATACCTAAAACCGTATGAGTTATTGTCCCGCCGAAAGACGGCTAGCGTATGTCGACGTTGATAGGCACACCCGCACCCACACTCCCACACTCCCACACAACCCGCGCACATATCTATATTAGCAAAAACTAATCCCCATCTTCCAACAATCACCACTAGAGCCTATCATACAGCTCAAAGGGTCAACCAAATCCAACTCGGTCCCATAGCTCAGTTGGTTAGAGCGTCGTACTAATACTGATCGTGATTCAACGATAATATCTAGTCCATGCGAAGGCCGGCGGTTCGAGCCCGCCTGGGACCATTCCTTTTGCATTTTTGTTACTTGAACCATGTTCGCAATGTCGAGGAAAAGGTTTCTCTCTCTTTTTCTTTTTTTTTTTTCTTTTTTTTTTAATCATTCACCCTAAGAAAAGTGTAGGTACCTAGGTACTTGTGCCTACCGCCTCATTTTTTTTCAAAGATATTCCAACTTCCCCATGCAATCGATATTACCCCCTCAATACTAGAGAACTCGTGCATTTCATATATCTTCGTTTCCAACTTTTATTAGAACCCATCTGGGAATTATTGAAGCCAGTCTTGTCGTTCTAATAGACACATTGATTACTAATCATGCTTAGATTGAATTATACTCACGCAGTAGGTACTACCTTGTTCAGTAGGAGGTACCTACCTAAACGTAAGATACCTCATGTATTACATAACCTCGGAAGGTTATTATCACGTATTCTTAAGATTCCTTTTTGAACTCATCCTTTTAAACCTTTCGAAGGGATGTAAGCACGGTGATTTGGGCTTTATCTTGTTTTATAGATAGGGATTCATGGAATCTAGTAGGTGTCACCGCATAGCATAAGGCAGAGGCGAAAGGTAAGGAAATAGCTTCATCATTCCGTAAGAAACTCGATGTCATGGAAACAATTTAGTTACCGAATAAAAAAATCCATAAGATTATAGCTGCTATAGGCATTATACACGTCCATTAGTTTATTTAAAATCACGACCGACCTCCCTCTTACTTAAATTATTTCTTACGACCTCCATCACCATGTACAAGGTGTAATGTGTAGCCTCTTCCAGACGTATTGGGACGACACAGCTATTTGGTAGGAACAAGTTCTCCGTCTTGGCTAGCATGAGTGTTTAGACCTAATATCAACTAGAATTTTGCATACGTTAAACGTTAAACGTGTTATCGTCTTGTATACCTAGAACGTGGGCCTTAGCTTTCAACACACAACTCCTTAAATCCTACCCTTTCTATCAGTTCGTTCGGTACTGTTACGAAACCAAAGAAGGCCTTAATTGAAGATGACGTTATAGATTCCAAGACACGAGGGGCGTTACAGCAAGCTGCAAACCTTTATTATACATGAAAAAGTTTAACTCATGACCGTGACCGTTAGCGAAGTGTTAGGATGAACATACGTGTGCCACTGGGTGAAACTAGATAAACGAACGGCATGGCTCTTCTGCGCAGAGCTCTGACCTAGCTAAAGAAACTCGGGGTTATGTATATTGAAAATGGTCTGGTTCGGGTGTTTCGTTCAAGATATTAATAATATAAAATATATATTGTACCTAGATAGGTGTTTTACTATCTTCACCATAGCGTAATTTTGAACTCAGTGAATAAATATATGTTGTAACAAAACTTTCGTCCGACTCTTGTTATACCCAGTAGTAGGTCAGCTAATATATATGCCAATTTATACGAATATTTAATCATTAGAACTATCTTCTTAGAGCCGCAGTTGCCTAACCTACATTGAGAATGTCTTGATGTATTTCAACGGCGTATATTTTCGTTAAGGGGCTATCGATACCCAATGAATAAAAGCGTCACCGCAGTAAACACTGAAACCCTGTACTATATTCGCCATCCAAGTCAACGTGAACAAGAAAGAGTTAATAGCCTCGTTATATGGAAAGCTAGACTCGCGTTGTTCTCGTGGAAGTTAACTTATCAGCGGTAGTAGGTAGAGAGAGCCTTACGAGAACAAACGAAGTGCCTTAGAGACTCAGACTAATCCAGTTTGATACCTACTGCGCCTTAGCCATAACCGTCGAACCCGAACAAAGGTAATATTCGGCGCAGATACGTTTTTCTACAGTTTGTCTCATATAAGCCATTGGACATGATATGGCCGAGTGACCGCAACAACTAGCAACTGTGTAGTTTAAAAAAATGTCTTTATTAGGCAGGGTCAGTTCCAAAGAACCCTCCGTCCCCTTATCAATATATTTGATCACGTGACACATAACATGTGTATATTCACTCTTCTTCCTGCTCTCCCACCTCCCACGAAGAAGGGGGGTTATTTGGGAACTCAAAGCAAAAGAATAGCAAAAGATAAGATGGTCCCAGGCGGGCTCGAACCGCCGGCCTTCGCATGGACCAGATACTATATCGATGAACCATGATCAGTATTAGTACGACGCTCTAACCAACTGAGCTATGGGACCGAGGTAATTCGGATTGAGATCCGATTGAACTGTTGGACCAGCTTGGATTTGGTGAATGTTTGAATTACTATGCTCACCTATGACCGTTTCATTTTTTTTTGTTGAAAATTTTCCATAGCCAATCCAATGTCCGGCTTTGAGAGATTTTGCCTCGTCGGAGGATTTAGTCTAACACCCTCATTGTGAGGTGGAACGCGCTAATCTATAGTGGGTATAGTCTCGGGTGACTTATCGAGCTAGGTACCTAGGTAATCTGTTATGGTGCTTTCAATGTATCGATGTACTATGTAGTGTATCATGTAATATCTTAGTGAACTTGTACAATATTTAGCGTGCTGTAAATCGTGATATTAGGTACCTATCCCCTATGCAAAGGTACATACCGGCCAGCCTTATGTTAGTGTTAGGTACATCAGGTAATTAGCTAAAAGCGGCCATGTAAGTTCCAAGTAACAGCTTTTCGTCAATTAGGTACTTCCATCTCGTCTGATTAATAAGTGTATCTTGCTCCCTCAAAAAAGAGGCATCCCATATCTGCCTATTGCTTTCCTTCTTAGGAATATACCGGCTATGAGACTTTGCCACTGCAACCCCTTCTTTTACGTGAGTCATAAAAGGGAAACCCGTTAAGGGTACGTGACTGTTACGTATATTCAATCGGAGATAACAGAGACTGGACGTCAATCATATATTTACATACCATCCGATAGTAGCACCTAATCCAAGTCCAATATCCAATATCTAATAACTTGTATTGTAACTTGGTAAATGCGCATGATATTTACAAGATCGTGCATGCATAAGGTATCTAAGTGAGCTGGCAGGCTGGTTCGGTACCTAATGTACACTTCCTAAAAGCCCCTTTACCTTGCAGCACAGACCGCTCCGAGATACGTACTGCATTTAACAGGTACATACGTTTCTTCTTGGAACGCAAATGGAATACCTAATCCCTGTCCGTTAGAGCAACTCGAATTTTGATTGATTTGGAAACACCCCTTGTCTAAAAGCCCAGAATCCCAAAATCCATCCGACGGACTTGTCGCGCAATCAAGTAAAAAAAACAACCCCAAGTGAATTTACAACGTGTATGTACCTAACTTACCACATTTACCGCCCTAGCTTCAGGCAGGTAGCCACCCACCCAACAGGGAACTAACTTATCACACCCAGCACACCTCACCCTCATAACAACGCTACAGCAAGTACATAGTACGCGTTAGGTAACCTACGACGCCTCCCCAAACCCCCAAACTCGAGGGAATCAGGACTTCCTTGCACCTTCGCATTTTCGCATCTCTGCAATCTGCAATCTGCAATTTTGCGTCCTCTGCATCTCGCACCCTCTAGAAATCTTACAGCCTTTTCTTACAACAATTTCATTTTTTTCCTGCACTTTCTGCGATAATCTGCCCTGTCGCAACAACAGAAAAAAGAAGAGAGAGAGAGAGAGATTCGCAGCAAATAATAAATCGGCTTTCTTCTGCCTTTTTTTTACTTTTCTATTCACGCGTTCCTTTGCCGACTTTAATAACCTTGCCCCCCGTCGGTCGCCGTCATTACACTTTATTCTTCATTCATTTTTTTCGCCCTTATTTTATTATTATTATTATTTTTTTTTTTGTTGTCTCGGTCGCATAAATCGCACCCTTGATGATCATCATACGCGCATTCTAATACCAACGCACCGTCCACGGTATCTCCATTTGATACTGTTTTTACTTGCGCTCATTGTCCCTTTTTTCGCATCTTGGTCTTTTTTTTTTTTTTTTTACCTAAAAGACATTATTGTTTTTATTATTGTCGCCCGGTCGCAAAAGTCGTTTTTAAGATAAATCAACCTTACACACACACTATTACTATTAATTACGCGCAATCGTTTTTACGACCATTTGCGTTGCGCCTGTTCTGTTATCAGCCTGTCGTCGCGCATTCCATCGTCTTACAAGCCTACTACGAACCTGACTCAGATTGAGTTTCGTTGGGTTTGACCGTGGCCACATCAGCAATAGGCTGCTCCTTTTTTTTGCGCATCGTCGACCCATCAGAAGCCCGCGTCCTTCTCATTCGATACGTGTGGCTTCCTTGCAGCCTTGATCCTGTTTCTTTGCCTTGGTACTAGGTAGTGATTGCCTCTAGGTACTTGCAAGTTGCGCCTACTTGCTGCTTAGCCTTAGCACTAGGACCAATTCATTAGCGTGCGTCGTCAGGCTAAACAGGTGGTCGCATCCGCCGGCTGAGCCGACACCCCGATTTTCCAACTGCACACTCTGACAACTTTCCCACCTGCCGAGCTAGGGAGGAACTAAGAAACAACCTTGGAACTGGGGAACATTAGGAACTAGGTACCCACGCCCCCCTGCACCTGCAACCCATTCGTCGTTACGTCAGCCTTGCCTTCCTATTTGGCGGTCTCACCTCTAGCGATAGGTTTCCCCTTCCACCCCCTTTTTTTAACAACTTAATTGTTGCGCATCAGCCCGGGTCTGCTCTATCCGCGCCCCGACCACGTACAGCCGTACAAAACCATCAACTGCGCAACAACGCCCTTGGTGCGCAAAACATTAAAATCTCACCTTTTCCCTCTCGGGTATGCTCATGTTCCGATTTTGGATGTCAGATTCGAGGGGAAGCGACAAAACTTTACAAGTTGAACAGCCTATGCTTGATTTTAGCAGCAAACCGTTCCAGCCTTGGGTGTCATCAGAGTCGCCGCTTACTACCGCGGCCGCCACAGCCATCCCTACAACCCCGAGGCGGCGCAAGCAGAGCAACGTCGCGATAGCGTCGCAACCCGTTGCTTCTTCACCCGCGCTCAAGCGCACGAGGACTGATGATGATGATGACAGCGAACGCCTCAGGGCGCGCAAGAAGGTGGCTTTGTCGTCGGTAAGGGAAGGGAGAGGGCATGCACCGAAATCCGGATCGGATAGGCCCGATATGGATCGAGCTAGAGATGCTATCGAGCAACAGTTTAGTCTTGAGATCTTACTCAAGCACGACGAGCTACGCTTGATTAATCAAGAACTTGCCAAATGCCAGGTGGCTTTGGAGCAACTGCGAAGGTGTCATCTAATTCCGTATCCACAGAACGTTCCCACTCCGGAACAAATGGTGAACATAATGAATGGGTCAGGTGCAGCCTTGCAGCCGAAGATGGGCGAGAAGTTGCCTCAGTGGGCACCCCCCTTTGGCGTTACTGAAGGTCCGTACGCGCGGCACTATGCCAAGTGGCTCATACCCGATCCCAAGTTCGACGGCATCCAGCCTGAGGCCCACGTGCAATCCGAGAATTCAAGATTTAGGAATTCGGTAGACGGTAGATCGACAAGAAATAGTTATGCTGAGTTAGGTGCGTCCCAGGGTAGAGGTCGACCGGTAAGGGGTACGGCGGGTCAGAAACTCCAAGCCTTGTCAAGTGGTTATCCACCTCCCAAGGACAAGAACGGACCTTGTGTCCTGAAGCGATCCGACGGGAAGACCGTAAAACTTGTGTGCCTTGACTGCCATCGCGAGAACTTTTCGAGCACGCAGGGGTTTATTAACCACTGCCGAATAGCGCATAAGAGGGATTTCAAGAGCCACGAGGAAGCTGCAGTGCACTGCGGCCACCCTATCGAGGTTACCGAGTCTAGTGGTGCTGTAGGAGAAGAGAAACCCGTTGTGCAGAGTGCACCTCCGTCCGGTCTTGTCCATCCGTTTGTGCGGGAGAAGGCCATGTCCGAATCAGAGGCTTGCTTCTCAGTTGTGCGTCGTATCCAGGAATCAATAGAAATGTACAACCGGGGTCAGCTACGCGGTGTTTCGTCGATTCCCGGTGAATCCAAGAGTTCTCAGCCGAAAACCTCTCGAAGCGCACCAGCAGCAACTAAACAGCAGCAGAACTTCTTACCTTCAGCTGATTCACCACATCTGTCTCGCTTGCTTCAGAGCAGAGGATTCAACGGCAATCTAGGCGAGTTAGTCAGTGAAGCTAAGGCTAAGATCGACCTCGACCAATTCTTTTCCCCAGATGATGAGTTGGATGAGGTTGATACGGGCAGTAATAGCGCCGAAAATGCCGCTGCGCATCAAGCACCATCTCTTGTGCGAGTCCCGGTAAGGGCTACGATGTCGCCCGCTGTTGTTGCAGTTCGGCCACCTAGTAGCAAAGGCCACCCTTCGCATATTCCTTATGCCACCCCCGTCCCAACTCCGACTCCCCGAATCATATCAGCTCCTCAGACACAGATGCTTGTAGATGACGACATATTAGACGCGGAGTTAAGCCCACACACCGCCGTCAGCAATAATGCGCCGTCTCTTGTTAGTGACGATGGGGAGTATGATGACTCGGAAGCCGACTCTGAGATGGAATCAGATGTCAATGATAGCATCGGGGCACAGTCTATATCAGATGTCGACGAAATTGATATCGACGAGGAGCATAGCGGCGCACGTTCTATTCGCCACCATCGTGGCTCTACCGATGCAGGATCCGGGACAACAGTACGCCTACGCAAGGATGACAGCAAGCATGTCACCTTTGTGAGCCCCATCAAGGGGAATGGAAATGAACACCAGAGACGGGGTCGGAGGTAGGATACGATGTCCCTAAAATGGATTACATGATGAAATATTTTGGCGCGGACTGGTCGGTTGGCGGTCAAGGAGTCGTGTCAAATGAGTTGCTTTTAACGTTGGACTATACCGAATTCGTTTATGATCACTTTTACTATACACCTTTTATTACACGATTGCATTTTCGAAATTCCTTTTTTTATCAGAGATGTATCCTGAGGAGCACGTCCTCTGGAGACTCATGCGGAACATATTTGTTAGGCTACGAAGTTGTTTTGATCAGCGTTTTATCACGGGAGCACGGCGGCGTCGGGTTGATAGGGGTCAATTTGAGATTGGTAGAGGCTAGAGGGCATATTCAGTGCGAGAGGAGGCACTGACGGTTTTGATATACCTATCCTCCACAGCGCGCAAGCCAGTTAGCAGAACAATTGTTTTTACGAGAGCTTGCGAGACAGGCTGAATAGAGACAGCCATTCCTGTATCTATAATGGCAGAAACTGTATAAAGACACGGTTGAATATTGAGAGCTTGCGCAAGCAAACGCAATTCGGCTCTGCAAATGATAACTTTCCACGCTCGGCCCCTGATGATGAGAGTATTGTTCTACGGTGTTGAAGTGCCATGAAGCTTTTTATTGTGACTATGGCGCCTAGACGCCCCTTATGTATCATTACATCAGAGATTCAAGTGGCGGTTAGTTTCTGAGGCTTGAGTTCCTCCAGGATCAGATACATACGTGCTCGTACCTACACTGCTAGGTAGATTAGAGAAGTGTTCAGTCCCCTATAATACATGTACGAATAGGGACGTAAGTTAATATCAAAGAGTTGATTGGACTGCAATGCGACGAGTAGGCTTCCAAGGAGAAATCCCCGGGTTCTATCTACCTAGGTAGATTAGGTAGATACCTCTTAAATGCGCACACCACGCGCACAATATCGTGCCGTTTCATCTTGCAGATCGGATCGAATCGGATCGAATCGATCGAGGGGGAATAGAAATCCCTCAGTCTCTGCATTGGTGGAAAGATTTGCTGGCACAGGCTGGCTGGCTCCCTTACCTTGCTGGTGTATTGTATTGTACATTACATTATTCGTACCTAAGTAAGGTATACTACTGGTCTTCCTTAATGCCTTCCACCTTCACGCGCATATGTAAGTCTTCACGCAATGGATCATCAACAACAACACGGTGGATATCCCCCCATTCATCACTTTAACAGCTCTGAGCGCCTGACCGTTCGTTTACCTATCAGGTACCTAGGTATCTATCCTAGCAACCTGCCTACCTAAGTTAAGTACCTAACATATTTCCCATCCAGGGGACGATTCCAGTTCAACAACAACTATTTCATTTTCACGGATATCTTAATCTTACTTCAGCTTAGTTTACATATCAGGTAACTAGGTTAGGTACCTAACCTACCTGAGTGAAATAAAACATAAGGCATAATAATAATATCCAATCCCATATAATATCCACGTCCGCGATAAATGGATGGCATGGGGTTCTGTTTCTGTTTTGAACTCTAGAGACGATAAAAAAAACGAATGTTAACCTCGCTCCGAATCTCCTCTCCTTATCCAGGTATTTAGTTGATCCCGCCCTTCCGAGTGGTCGGAATGCACACTCACACACATATACGCACCCGTCGGCGAGAATTTTCAAGAAAAAAACAAAAAAAAACATAACGATACACGCTATATATCGCTATATCAGCCCAACTTCCCTAACCCTAACCCCCTCCTTAGAAGCCGCAAACGCAACTCGGTTAGGACTAGCAAGAAATCAGACAACGGGGGTTTAACCAGGAACAGAACACATGAAAGGAGATCTTAAAAAGGCCCCGTTCGTAGTTCATAGGGAGGAAAACACCATTAGTCGTTTCTATATACAGCAGTAGCAGCGGCAGGAGTAGTCGTAATAGTAGCAGTAAAAGTTCAAGAAGAACAAAACACTACCAAAACCAACAACAGCCTTTTTACTCCTGTCCGAAACCCATCGTCTCCTCGACCGCCGTCGTTAACTTGTTTTGCAGCTGCTCCAACGATTTATACGGGGGCAGATCTAGACGATTAAAGCTATGTTGATGTTAGCGTTATATATCCTATTTCACATACATCATCTACGCTGAATACGTACCAAGTGTGTGCCTTTGGTAAATTACCAACTTCGCCCGCTTTCTCGATGGTAAACCTCCTTGGGCCATCGCTGCCTTGAAGATCCTTGAAACCGTTGACGGGGATTCGCGAAGTACCCGTCGTGAACTGCAATAATCTGCTCTTCTGCTCGCCGTCCCAGCTCCGTACCGTTTGCCAGAAGAACTGGATGACCTCGTCGCTTTCCGTGTAGCCGCGGTAATCGGTGTGCTTCTTCCAGTCGTCCACATCAATATCGGCAATACCACCAATTAGTAACTCTAATTCGCGCTCATCGAAGACGTTAATTAGGTCCTGGGGGATAAGCTCGTGGAATCCTTCCTTAAAGGCCTGGAATTGCTCCGAAATACGCTTTTCAATGCGCCACTTCACCATGAGATCTACATATTCCTTCTTGTTCTCGTTCGTGACGTCGATATTTCGGCCGTTAGGGATGAGATCCTCGACTGTGACAACACCGAAGCGCTCGTCCTCGGTGGAGAAAGTCTGCTCGAGTATACCGCCCGAGATATCATTGTCAAGCATCCACTGCAGACTTCGATGGAAATCTGCGTCCACGCCCTCCATGTCGGCAAGGACCACCGACTTGCCTAGAATCATCTTATAAAGCGCTCCAATAAAAAACGCGTCCAAAAATCGGCGATGGAAGATGGCGAGGCCAACCACACGACCAATGAACTTGAAGTAATTCAAATGCTCGGGGTTGATACCCGAGTGCGGGTTGATCTGGAGGGTGTAGTTATCGTGTGCGGAATATTCGAAAAGGCAGTAAAAGGGGTTAAACATTTCATGCGATAATAAGAAAAAGAACTCTCTAGAAAGACCACCATAATCTAGACCATCTTCGCCATCGAACTTAATCATTAGGCGCTTCTTCAGGTCCGTCGCGGATTGTCTCGAGATCTCTGCGAACGAATCCTCAAATATATGAGATCGTCGCACTTTCATATGACATTGTCCTGAAAGTATTCGCATGGCAGGCTGCGAACGGAAGTAGATCAGCTTCCTTCGGAAATCTCGCTTATACTGCGGCACATTCTGGTCTAACGAGGACGGTAGTCGTGGGTCATCCCATGTCGTCGTTTTGGTATTGTGATCCACGAAGTAAACGCGAGCCGTGTTGGTTAATCGCATTTCCCACCCACTCGGCAGCGGGCCAAGTTGCGAGACCGGCTGTTGCTGTATAGTTCCGTTAGAATTATTTTGGCCACCGTACATCCTGATATATTGCTGTCGGCGAGGATCCACCCATGTCGTAGTTCGGGTATTATGATCAACGAAGTAAGGTCGACCCTCGGGTGTCCAACGTTGTTCCCAACCGGGCGGAAGCTCACCAGTGCCAGGACTGGTAGCCCCGGTGTGCATCAGAGTGCTTTGGCCGGGGCTATGGGTCGAACCGCTACTAGAAGCTGGCTGCTGTTGCTGTTGCTGTTGCTGCTGAAGGGTTGGAGAGTTGGCTCCGGTACGATCTTCGGGTAGGGTTCTGTTCTGATGCCTTTGACGCTCAACCTGGGTAGCTGCTTCTCTTTCGCCACGGTTCTCTGCCGAGGTGCCGGTTTGAGTCGGCCGGTTCCAGCTCGTGGTTCGCGTATTATGATCTACATAGTAAGTTCTCCCTAGATTATCTTCGCGCCGCTCCCAGCCAGCAGGTAGGCGGCCTTGGGCATCTTCAAAGGGACTCATCTGGGCTGCGGGTCGAGCCTGTGCACCGTTGCCATTAACAGCAGGCGCATTTGCGCCGTTAGGCCTGAGCGGTAAAGCCGTCTGTGCACCTGGCGCAAGCCCGTTTGGACCTGATGCGGAAGACGTTGGGCGATCGGAGGCACTAACGGCACTAGCAGTAGAGGCCTGGGGGGCTAAGGACGGTCGGCTGGAGCTCGCTGATGAAGGTTGTTGTTGTTGTATAGGGCGGGCAGGTGTGGTGAGGTTTGTAGAGAGGTTGATTATCAACTTTCCGTGAACGACGAGGTTATCGGTAGACTTCTTCAAATCCCGTGTAAGCATCTGATCTACGAAAGAAAAACGTTAGCCTAGAATGGGAGAAGTCTGGATTTCAACAAGAAGATTCATAGAAAGAGACTTATGCGTACCATCGGCGCCGTCTACTAATTCAATAACGTCCCCGATCCTGACATTGATAACCCCTAAGAAGCCTTGATCCTTTTTCTTGAACTTCTTTTGGTCAAATACTTGCACTGCTAAGATACTGTCTTCGGTTGCTCGACTATAGACTCGGTAAGTATACGGGCTAGTTGTTCTGTGCGAGAAGCGGATGCGTACAAATCGAAGCTCTCATTCCAATACGGGTTGAGTGTACGTTTAGAAACGGCCGTGGTCTTGGTTTGTTCGCCATTGATAGTGGCTACGGCAAATGGGTCGGGGAGACCTGCATTTCAAGGGATAGGTTAACAACAACTTGGACACTATGGATCATTATGAACCATAAGGATTTGACAGCGATGATTAACATACGGAATACATCTCGCTTGTACAAGCCGTCAGCAGCGATGACTAGGAGAAACAGGTAAGTATCTACGGGTCGCCAAGCGTGGTGATGGAGTTGGAGTTGGTATAGGACGCACTCGTGACTCGCAGATTCGGTTGGCTGTAGAGACAAAGAAGGGAAAAAATCAATCGAAGTTAGCGAACAGATTCATCAAATTGTAGCCATAAAATCATTTAAAAAATTCGCATAAATGACATGGTTTTCTATGATAAAGGGTTCATGATGATGATGATGATGATGAATTCAAAACTCACGCCGAAGGCCCTGGCTCAGTACGAGTTGCAGTCATATTACTATAGTAAATAGCTGCTTCACCGTTTGGAATGAAGTCAAAACGTCTCACACTCTCATGACCTTCTTGGTAACCCGGATCCCACCTTGGGCGTCCCCGTTCCAAAGGAGGGGTTCCGTCCGCGTTCGGTCAACGGTGAATTTGTAATTTGAATGAAATGGAAAATAATATATTTTTTCAATTCGATAGGTAAAATTATCTGTGATATTCTTTTTGGTTTGGTCGCGCTGTGCCTAGGTAATCTGAGTTTTAGTCGAAGTTGAATTAAATGGTACGGGGGAATTGGATGTGAGCCTCGTGGAGTCTTGATGGTGGTAATAGCCACTAGCTAGCGGGTTGAAAAAGGTATGAGGTTAAGGCAAGGCAGGTCGTAGTGGGTTCCAAGGTTAAGCATAGGAAGCATAGGATAGGTTCATACCTTAAGTGGGCAGTGACCGTAGTGGCCGTAGTGGCGTATCCATCATCCCTAAATCAGACCCGAGCAGATAGAGGGACCTAGGTAGGTAGTATCATGTACCTAACACATTTACACTAGCACTAAACGCAATACACCATAGCGCTGAATCAATCCGGTCCAATAGCTGCCGTAACTTTTTACCTGAGGCTGTGCAAAAAGCGCTAAGAAACAGGATAATGCATGCAACATCTCCTAGGCGAAAATATTCACGTACATCCAGATATCTAATACCGCTTTTTACAGCTTAATTGGTAAGCATGTTCAAGTATTTATGAACAAAGCGCTACTAACTCGAGTACCCATCGTCTGTACCTACTGTAAGAGTACGTGTACCCAGGTATTCGAGGACAATCTGTAACGCGAGAGGTACTGAATACAAAGGAACTTGATACACCCAGTAAGAGGTACCTACTACCTTATACATTTTCATCATCGTCTGAAGTTGTTACCGTACTTTGTGTTTTCATTAAAATAAATCACTGTACAACTATCTTATGCAAAATACCGTGCTTTTTCGCTAAACCTTTAAACATTGCCCATTGAACATCCAGCTTCAGCTAACAATCCCTATTGCTTTTCTACTATGGTAACTTCAAGCTTACCTAGGTCATTTCACATACCTACATACGTACTACTACTACCTTAGTCCTACATACATAGGTACTACCTAGGTAGGTACTTAAGGTCTAGGTACGCATTCCATTACTTTGGATTACATGACGCGCGCAGACGAGCTGATAATACCATCTTCTCCTATTCGACAGCCCTCATAAAAATGCCACCCAGGGTCTAAGCCTCGGAGGGGAAGTACCTAGGAAGCCTAGGGTAATACGGCAAACACGTACGGTCAGGAGACTTTCTGGTTTTACAGATCTGGGCCGTGCCGTTACCCGGTGTGTGTGTGTCTCTCTCTCTCCTTGTGCTGGGTATAGATTCTATACATGCCCGCCTACCTAAGGTAAGGCAAGGTAATAAGAATGCTCCGGAAGACATTAGGGGTAGTGGATAAGAGAAATATTATAAATCAGAAAATAATAAAATAACTTACTTACCTACCTAGGACGACCCAACTCTTCGTCCTTTTGTTTTGCATGTAACCATAGCCATGGCCGATATCTGATATGATATATTATTACATATATTATAAAGGTAAGTAAGGCCACCTTAGATCACCGAGTCGCATTTATAGAGTTCGACGAACTACGAACAAGGAATATACCAAATGGACGGTTATTATCTTGATGTCAACCATCATTTTCATCTGTCATAACTAGCAATTACATAGGTAGGTTATAAAAAGGGGGGAGCCTTTATAAACCCCCATTAGCGCTCCCTCCTCCTGTTGAAAAATACGTACGTCGGGGGAGAAAAAAAGCATCTTTCGGATTGCATTTCTTTTCCTTGTCGAAGAGTTTCGTTAAATCCACAAGCAGAAGCGCATATCGTTCCATCGAACCGCCAATCTCCTTAGATCAGGCGTTTATGAATACTACATCCTCTCTTGACGTCTCTCAGGTTGTTATTATCGTGCCTGGGCAAATATGCGACCAAGGTCAGAGTACCAAAAAAAAAGCTCCATGTGCCTGTCCTTTTTTTCTTTTTCTTTTTTCTTCTACGGTTGAGTCTCGCCTGGAAACGCTCCCTTGGGTTTTTTGGACATGGAGGTGGAAGGAGAGAGAATAATGAAGCACGCCCACCTGGCAAACGTTGCGCCATACCTGCGGAAGTCGGGTGGTCTAAGTTAAGTCCTGTATGCATTCCACATACCCAGTTGACATCGTCTGCCAATTCCTATAGAACCAAATGCCATAGGCAACCACATTTCCCTTGCGCTAAGAATCATGACCCTTTTTTTTTTATCTCTTCCTTCTTCACACTTTTGCCATCCTCAAGCCTCTCAAGGGCCCGGAGCTGACAGACTTAAGAAAACGAGCTCAGCCAACTTCAGTAAGGGTTGAAACCGCTGCCTCGTGCTCGACCCCTATAACCACCTCGGTAGAAGCCACCTCGCGGCGCATAGCCGCCTCTTCCACCGTAAAAGCCTCGTCCCGGGCCGCCGAATCCTCCACGGCCGCGGCCACGGCCACGACTTAGCCCCGGAATATTAGTTCGTTTGGGGGTGACTTTGATATTACGTCCTTTGAGAACGCTGTCGTTAAGCACCAACGCTTGGGCAACAAGGCTTGGTTCAGTAAACTCGACGTACGCATAACTATACGAAAAGCATTCAATGTTAGCTTACGCTTAAATAGCATGAGATGGGTTTGCAGACGTAGAGCGGAGTAGTCTTACCCCTTGGGCTGGCCAGTAAACTTGTCCAGTAGAATAGTGACGCGGTTAATAGAACCACAGCTCTGGAAGTGAGCTTGTATCTCCTCGGGGGAGACCGAGTAGTCGACATTACCGACGAAGATACTGCGGCTGTCGACGTCGGATCTGTCTTCTGAGACCTCTTGTCCTCTCTCTTCCAGCGCGGCATGCATCTCGCGGAGCTTAGCCGCTTCCTGCTCCATCTCAGCAACGCGTTTCTTCATTGCTGAGATCTCTTCCTATGCGCAGACATTTCCCATTAGCCAATACGATCTAACAAACATCCCTCTCCTCTTGTATTACGTATTTCGATGGAACCGTATATACTAAGCTAGGATCGAAAAGGGGGAAGGGCGCACCTCATCATTACCCTCCTCGTTGACCATGGGGTCCTCTCCGGTGACATCGCGCTCGTCGTGATTCGCGTCCGACATGATGCTTGACGTGACTGTATTCCCAAGACACGTTAGCAAGGCTCGGCGGTATACGAGAGAGACGCGTAGATGCAAGACGAAAAAGGCGAACCTGTAAAAATAAAAAGAGAAAAAAGAAAAGAAAAGAAAAGATTAAAATAAAAAGACTAACCCCTCCCTAGCTTGGGCGATAGCCTTGTTGCTTGTCAAGAATGGGAATTTCCAATGGTAACGAATCCGGGATAACTACCGAAAAGATGGTGGAAGAGAAATTCTTATCAGCGATCAGCGACAAGATAGCATCCAGTTTCTTGTCTGTCTGTACCTAATGCTGCAAACCCCAAGAAAGCGCAAGGGTCGAACTTGGACTGGACTGGACTGGTTGGGGGGACCTTTTAGGTTGCTAGTTGTTGAAAATGCGCTAGAAACTGGGCAAATTAGAGATGCTTCCCGTTTCTAAGAGCTCTAAAAAAAAAAAAGCTGTAGTGGAGGTTAAACCATAGACCCATAACAGAGGGGATGCGTCCTTATGTAATCATTTTATGCACTTGCCTTGTCTGCAAGTTTTCTCTTTTTTTTTTTTTTTGATGTTGATGCGCCACTTCTTCCAAGGTTTTCCTAACGTTTTGACTCTTAGCAGCCTAGGTACATAAGGCATCGTAGGTGGGTCCAGTTTGGCAAGGACCAGACGGATAAGTGCGTTAGGTATACATATGCAAATACCAAAGGTAGCGAATTGAAGTACCTGTGTAACTGAGGTGTTCTTTCTTTATCACCTTCATTCAAGTCTATGAATTTACGTTTTTGGCATCAAGTTTGTATATAAATTGCGTTAATATACCTACCTTTAATGGCACGTACATACTAGACGTTATGATCTATTTACCTATAATGATATTTCTAAATACCTGTTACTCGAATAAAAACGAGTGTACTTTCATAATGTCGTTAAATATCCGTCAAGTATTATACATATCTGGTAAAGCATACGATATAAGTGAATTACCCTCGCCTTGGTTCCTTTACAAACTTCATATATATTTAGGTCGCTGCCACTGGCATGAATTGAATCACACACCACTATACCTAGAGTAGCTTAAGGAAATGTGCATATAATGGTATAAGAGCCCGTGGCGTATTGTATTGTTGTATTATCAAACTGGGCAAGTATAAGGATAAGTGGTAGAATCACATATAGAAGCAAACATCCGGCCCAAGTACCTTATAATAACTCCACATCACTTGGGTACAATAAGAAGTGTTTATAATAGGATTGTGCTGGTTGGTGGAATATTATCTTATTCTAGAAATATATTAACCAGTGACACCCATAGGACTCCTAAGCTGAGTATAATTAAACACTTCTATCTAAACAGTTAATTGCTAATACCAGGAACGACTATGGCACGTCTCAGGGGCAGTTCTATGACATTTTACTTTTATAAGACTCCCCTAGCCATACGGAAAAAGGGGAAAAGAGGGGGGGGGGGGGGGGGGGGGGTTAATATATACCAATACCAACTGGAAACTAATACAAGATCCAACTCAAGACTAGAATATAATTTCAAACGGCCCATCAAGAGGCCACGACCCATTCCGAGCAACAGGCTTCTCACTCCTGAGGACCACCACGCTCTCCACCACAACCTCAGTCGAACACCCAAACGTACCATCAGCCTTGAAAGTCGTCCCGTCCCAAGTGAACTGTGTATCAGACTTATCATCGCCCACATCCAAGCTATCCCGCCACGACCCGAAAGTCCTTCCGCCGCAGCGCCGCCGTCGTATTCGCCGACTCCGTGCGCAGCGGAACCACCGCGCCCCCGCGTATATGCACCGGGATATCCGCCCACCCCACCCGGTCCTCCGTCACGTTCCCGCCTCTCTCCCGGACCCGCCCCGGCGTCTAGAAGTCGTAGAACACGTCGCCCGGGAGGTAGTACGTTGCACTGGTGGAACCACCAGACGCCCAGCAAGACATCATAGCAGGCAACCCAACGACTTCGGCATACTGCCGACTAACATCAGAAGGGGCTGGGCCCGGCCAAGAAATAGAAATCCAGTACGCCACCGATGATGTTGTACTCGAGAAACTGATCACCTGAATCAGTTTGGCCTATATTGATGTCTTGGTATACATCAAGGCCAGCATCGTATATCTTTACGTGTAATCGGGTATCTATAGTATTTACAAGTAATTAATATCTAATTGTCTAGACTTTGACCTCGATATGAACAACATACCAGTCTGATACTCGACAAGCAACCTGAGGTCAGGTAGGTTTGTTCCGTAAATATTGCATGCGTCACCAGAGAGTGATAAGTCCGCAGTGAGCGTACCATCTGCGTCGACAATATTTGAAGCCGTATATCCTGGACAAATTCTCAATAGACGCTGAGAGAATACTAGCCACTAAGGTTACCAGAGCAAGTAGTAGCTTCATGGCGACATGGTCTACTGTATCCCCATCAAACGATGAGATTTAATACAACTACATTACGGACAAACGGACATTATAGTCACGAGCTGGCGGTCTCAACGCTGGAGTGCATAGTATGTATGTACCTAGGTAGGTAGCGACATATATCAATCCCCCCCTCTCCTATTGCCATACTGGACAGTTTTGCTAGCCCGGGTCTATGACAAAAGGGGGTTGCTATATAGTAGGCCAAGTTAAATGCCCTAACATAACATATACATTACCATATAATTACGAAGAAGCTCTAGCCAGTTAATAGGTGCAAATGAGTACAAGCGAAATAAGGCTTTAGGTTGATTGTTAAAGGAACTTAATTACCTGTCAGGTACGGATCTAGACACTGCGGCGTGGACGGCTGATCCATAAACAAACACTCCACTCAGCTTTATCACTCGAAACAGTGAATGAAAACTTGAACTTCCGGTATGATCACACATCTGGATATATGTTATATGTCTATGCTATCTCTTCTTATACATCAACGTTCGGATCAATTTTCCACACCGCACAGTTAGAAGTAACCGTGCCACCCTGCTTGTATTGAGTACTAGAGGTATCGCACTTGTCGATGGCCTCGCGGAAGATGCGGCCGCAGTTATCCGAGGGGCTAGGCCCGTCGACGGCGAAGCGGCAACCGTTCGTCACCGTGACCTGCAGCGTAAGGTACTCCCAGCAGCCGGCAATGCCGCCGGTGAAAAGGCACTCGGCTACGGTGCCCCCGGTGACGTCGATGTTGTTCAGCGTGTACGTAAGCGTGTGCTCGGCGTTGGCGTCGCTACCGTCAAGAATGCGGCCGTTGAAGTAGTCGCAAAAGGCGTTGACGCCGTCGATCATACTCGCCCGCGACGTTTCGGCACCGCTGTTGTAGCAGTGGAGACTCTCCGTGGATGGGTTCGGGCTTGGCGGCGTCGGGTTGGGGGTCGGAACAGGTGTTGGCGGGGGCGTTGGCTTTGATATTGTCTGTGTGCCCGATGCGCCGAAGTTTGGATCGACGTAGGTGGGCGCTGGAAGACCGAACTCAAAGGCACACTGATCATCATCTTCTTCTTCCTCTTCGTCCCCGGGCTCATCGCCCTTGGTATCCGTCGGCTCGGGCTTGGCCGTCGTTGGCTTCCCAGTGGGTGTTGGATCATTCTCTTCCGGTGGTGTCGGTCTGTTTGGTGGGTTTGGGTCGATGGGGTCAGGGAAGTCGTTGCCACCGTCCACACAGTCCAGCAGGCATGGTGCATGGCAGAAGATCAGACAGGGCGTTCCACAACCTGACTTGCAGATGGGTCCAGGTTTTCCCGGTTTGAATGTAACAATTGGGAATACTGCCGCAGCTGCAGTCGTCGAGCTGGATTTCGAGCTCGAAGAGGTAGTTGGGCGAGTAAAGGAATAAGGGTATGGCGGAGGCGTGATAGTTCTTGTCACTGGCGGATGTGTCACCCCCTTTGAACTCAACGGATTGGGGTTATCGGTGATGGTAAACGGAGGAGGCCGGATACTCTCCGTAACGTAGAACGTTGACAAGACGGTGGTGGCAGTATCCGTACCAGTGACTGTGTACTCCCACACGGGTATAGAGCTGACGACAAGCGGAGGAATATTGAGCGTTGTTGTCTCGGTGATGCGTGTCCAGCTTCCTGACGTAGACCACGCAACCTCCAATGATGTTATGTACGGAGGGAATGTAACGGTCGAGGGCGTAGCAAGCGGTAGAGGAGGGAGAATAAAGGTGCAAGGAGGCTCGCAGTTGATGATAGGTTCGGGATCCTTCCAAATCGAAGGGTCGATATACACGATCGAATCGCTTCCCTCACCCTGACCACCACTGTTGCCGCCACTGCCTCCCGGATCGCCTGTAGTCGCATTTCCGAGACCATCCGGGGTATTGCCGCTTCCCGCGCCGGAGAACAGATCAATACTCCAAATCACTGTGCCACCGAAGCAGTGACTGCTAGCCCAGGCTTTTTTCATGGCAATGGTCTCGAGATCGTCGTAGCCAACCCACTGATCGCCCCACACGAGGTATTTCATCATGGCCTGCGAGTCGAGAATTGGTTGAACTCCGATCTCCGGTATGACAATAGCTTGGATCTCCTGGAGTGACATGACGCCGCCGAAGTCCGTGCAAGCCGCCGGACGACTCGTTCCGCTCCACGTGCAACCGACCTTGTCGCAGTTGACGTTCGCCACGGTGTAGCCTCGGCCATAGTAGGCAAGGCCCATGTTGATCTTACTTGGGTCTACGCCGTCGTACCATAAAGGCAGAGTCCAGTTGTAAAGCTCGGGGATATTCGTCTGACCTATAATAATAGGCCCAATATCGTCAACGGTTTTGTCCCATGGACCGTGAAGATCATAGGATAACAGGTTAAAGTAGTCGACATAAGGCTGCATTTTGATGGGATCAAACCACCTCAAGTACCAGTAACTAGCAGGAATTGTGGCACTGATACCAAACGAAGTACCATAAGCGGACCTCATCTCTTGTAGTAAGGTAACGAAGTTTTCCGTATCCTCAGGTCTGCCAGCTCGATCCGGGGCACCGGGGTATTCCCAATCGATGTCGATACCTTGGAACCCATACTTCTGCATGAAGGACTTGACAGAAGCGATGAAAGTGGCACGGTTAGCTGCCGATGATACGATGTCACTAAACGTTGTTTGCGTTGGTCCCGGATCGTTAAAGTCCCAACCGCCAACGGATACCCAGGTCTGGAGGTTAGCGGTCTTGAGTGCTGTGAAGTCAGTGTACAGGGGTACGTCGCGACTGTCGACAGGGACGATCTCAAAAGTGGTCGGGTCAATGCTGACAAACGCAAGAATCAAGTGCGTGGGGCCTGTCGTGTTGATCTGGGACGGAGTGATTCGCTCGCACTGCCGAGAGTAAGAGTTCGAAACCTGATAGTATGCCATTGACCGACCCAGGGCCGAGCTTCCGCCGCAGCTGGGCGCACTGACTTCACTGCACGAGCCGAAACCTGCTTGGCAGGGAGCATACGGCTCTGGTGACGAGCAGAATTGGGAACCAGTCTGATGGAGAGCAAGGAGTCGGCCATTAGCTTCCCTATCAATAATCAATACCTTAAAAGAAAACACTCACACCACAATAACCGTAGTAGCTGCAACACACGTTCAGGGGACAAGACACATCCCCATTCAGACTATCACGACCGCACATGGCTGTCGCATTACCTAGAGCGTGAAGGTTAGTAACGGATCTCTGGAAACATGGGCAGGTTCGTAAAGACATACAATTACTGGTGCAATTTCCTTTTCCGCAGTTCTCGGGTCCATAACCACAACCGCCTTGGTTGTTACAGCATGATCCATCAGGACAAGGACTAGTTGCACTACACTGATTGGTATTCTGTCGTGCGAAAACAGCATCATTCGGGGTATAGTCCAGAATTCTTGATTTCCTCTCGCGTGGTCTGGAACTTGGACTACTTGCTGCCGTCGCCGACCGCGTTGAAGTTGGAACAGCTGAACTTGGTAGAAAACTCAACACTTGGTTGAGGTAAGGCACCACATGGACCTTGGCGAGTTTTTGAATATAGATGCGTGCAATATCAATAATAGGGAGCGGAGGGCTTTCTGACAATGTTTCAAATTGTTGTCGGACGGGTGAGACCGTAGTAATGTTGGTAGTCGTACTAGATGCATTTTCGCCAACTTGAGTGTGTAGGTTGAGCTCATCTCTGTACACTAGATCTTGGAAACCACTAGTATTTGTATAGTAGTTATACTGTATCTGCGAAGTAGGTAGATTAGACCAGTGTCATCTGGGAGTCCTATACATAATTACCTCATCAGCCGTCATGGGTCTCGCGTAGCTCATGACACTCCCGTTGTTGAAAACCAATGCGTATTTCATCAGAGGTGACTCATCAGCACGACCGAAGATGTTGTTAACATACGCTCCATTGCCATCTGACCACTCTACGTAGGCACCTGGGACGTCGTCTTCGTCCTACGTTAACATTAGCTTTGCTCATGTTCGACTAAGCGACATAATTATATTCCGGAAATTTGGCTGCAGAGGATCACTATGGACAACGTACATTCCAGGTTGTTTGGAACTTGAAATTAATCAGGGTTTGTCCCGGGCTAAGCGTCTTCAGAACGTTTCTCAAAATGTTATGAGACATGCCTTGAATATCCTACCATATATCAGTTCACTGTATAAACAGACGATTAGGGTTGATCCAATGAACGACGAACCTGCTCGGAATTGACTCCTGCACCCAGGGCTCTCATAGTAGAACTGCATTTATAGTTCTGCGGGGCACAATAGGTGTGTGCTCCAGCGCCTCCTTGCGTAGTTCTGATTTGTGTGAGTATATTCATATGCCGGACTTTAAAGGGGCCGGATGTGCTATATATGAGAATGATATACTAACGTAGCTGGTGGCCACTCATCGCAAGACCAGAAAACTCCAGCAGGCCCAGTGTTCGCCTGATTTGCGATGACGTTGTAGCCTGCCATGCCAAAAGTCACGCCATTCTAACCCACCGCGAGCTGTCAGAACTTGTGCTCCCAGCGGATATTAACGGACGGGAGGATACCGTCTGAGTAGATACAAAACAAGTTGGCCTCAGTATGTGAGAGAACAAGTTAACTTGCCTGGACCCATCGCTGGCCTGTATAACCACTGCTATAAGACGACCCTGCGAGCACCACTGGCGGTTGGTTGGCTCTCGGACAGCCGTTAGCCGGGTTGGTATACCAACCCCCGGGGCATGCCATATTTCTGCGACTGTTCTTGTTGGTTTCACTGGTGTCACTGATCTCAAAAGTCAGTTCGTACTTTGTTCTGTTATATGACATGTCGAATCACTGGACACTATTGTCCAAGTCACTCGGATTCAAAAATTCACAAGTTATTGATTTCAAATCTTACTATGAGCTTGTTAATAACTAGAACCAATTTTCTTGAGGGCAAAGTAAGTAGGGTAAAACTGACCAAGGTCAAAGTTATAAAGTTTTGGCCACCAGGAGTTCGTCCTGGATCTAACAATCCCAGGTTGCCCACAGCAGCGTTGCCAACTACTGGTAAGAGCGGGTTTACAGAATTGACATTAAGGCAGATGGACGGCAGCTTAGCACAATTGTACACAAGCGTCGCAGCTTGGCCAAAAACGCTATCTACAAGACATAGTTGTAGAACCAGTAGGCGAAAAATTGAAGACGGTGAAGGCGCCATCTTGTTGACCGGGCTGGATGAGTACGGCCTAACAATATGGAGTTTCAAGCTCAAAACTTTTGCTTGAATTGCTCTCAAAGGTAACAAAACAAGTGAGATAGTAGGACTCTAATTGAGAAACAGACATATACTTGGGGGTATCGTAGGATATTCTGTAAACCAAGATATCCCGTCCCCCCTTGCCGCGCCTCTCCCAAGCGCTTACACTTTCGAACACCATTATTATGACTAGCCCAAGACCCTTGTTCTCATTAGGAGGGTGTTGGTCAGGTTGCCTTCCCACGGCACCGTGAAAAGTCCGCGAATGATCCCATGATCCAAGTCGCAGGGCCTATAAAGGACCGCTTGATTTTGAATAGCCCCTAGAGCCTCGCAATATTTAGATTGACTATATGTGGACCCCTAGAGTAGAATCGACCTAGAACTCTTCGCCCTAGTCGTTTCTGGTGTTGGGGGAGGACAATTCCTTTTAGTTTTGATCCTCGATCCTTTAGATGATAGATCACGCATCATGGCAGACCACTTCATGAAGCTGTTCAGTCGGGCTGAGTGACAATCGCCCGATTGTGGTTGCACTGCGAGAAATCCTGACTTCATTTACGCCGTGGCTGCCGAACCATTGATGTGATGAGTCCGCCATAGAGACTAAGGAACCTCATAGCGAATTATCTCGCCCTGGTTACTGTGTGGTTATACCGAGGCGGAGCTCAATTTTGCTGCTATTGGCCAATTACGTCTAACTTAGCGCCAAGTCTTGCCAAGGACGGCAGGTGGACGACACACCTGCATACAAGGTAGCCCAAAGCTGCGTCTAACATAGCTTATCTGACATAAGCTTTCGCGTCCGGGTGCGGCAAAGCTCACAGCCTCACCCCTGACTGTGTAATTAGGTATAGGTGCCTGATTCCTGGCAGATGTAACGGCATATTCCATACCCGGGAGTGTGGGCTGTTAATCGATTCGGATAATGCACGGGAATAGCGATTCCCTATTCCTACAGATTGGATCCTTCGAGGTGTTCAGGAGGGCCTGTCGGAGCTCATGTATTGCGCACCAGCTCTATGGAGTGCTTTACCATTTCTCATAATCTTGAAGCTGTTGCATCTTAACAAGCACTTGTCGCCAAAATGTTGAAGCCTCTTCTCACCTATCTCGTCGCGGAGTCTTTCGCGACAGCGACGCTGTTGGAGGATATTGGACTCGGAAACGTGCACTTCCGAAATCATCTTTTCGAGCCACGGGCGACGGCCGCCAACGTAACGTGCAGAACGAACTACACGACTAATCTTTGGAGCAGCTGCGCGCAAGTGCTTGAGGAATTCAATCTCACTCTAACCTTATTCCAGGAAATCAACCCTAGCATCGGACAGAGTTGCTCAAACTTCATACCGGGGACAGTATACTGCATTGCGCCCGGTAAGACCACTGCTCCTCGCACGTGCTTTAGCCCGAGCCTCGCTGATTGTCAGTAAGTGACGGGGACTGCGACGCCAATCTCGACGAATGGCATGTGTGGTGCGCAACAGAATTGGACCAGCACTTGTATCGGGAGCCAATGGGGCAATTGTTGTGGTGTTGGCGGGTAGTGAGTATCTTTGACTCATTATACGGTCACGAACTGAGCTTCATACTCATTTGGACCTGGATGTAGCTGCGGCACTGGAGAAGACTATTGCGGGCCGGGAAATTGCCAGGAGGGCACCGTGAGTACCCTAACCCGCGCTTTGTTAGTTCCTCCCGTGCTGAGTTCTCACAATACTACCTCAGTGTGATGGAGCACCGATTCCATATAGCACCAACGGATTATGTGGCTCCCAGAATGGCTGGGTTGACTGCCCAGCAAAGTTCGGAGTGTGCTGCAGTGAATACGGATAGTGAGTGTTCTCGAACCCTCCAGCATCTCCTGAGGGCGGTTGGATTGACCAGGCGTTTGTCTTAGCTGCGGGAACGGCACTGATTTTTGCGGTACTGGTTGCCAGAGTGGTGCTTGCCTCGTTTCGACAACGACCTCATCTACAGTGACCACACCGACCCCAAAGCCTGGCTCCGTCAGCAAAGACGGGACATGTGGTTACGGCGGTGGCCTTATCTGCAATGGTTCTACATTTGGCAACTGTTGTTCAGCAGCTGGCTACTGCGGCTCGGATAAGTACTCGTGTGAAGATATCTTGGGTTGGTAAGTCTTACTGCTCGGCGCATTAGACCCTGGTTATATTATTTTCTAATAAAACCTCTAGTCAGCCAGCATACGGAACTTGTAATGTCACGGGCTTCATGAATACGAAAGCGTGAAAAGGGTGCATTGGGTAGGTGCAAAATAGGATGTAATTATTCATATCAGGTACTTACAATGGATTTTTCGGGAGTGAGATAGCTTCCATTTGTTCATAGAGCAGCAGGCATTTAAGCTTAGCAACCAACGTTCACAAGTTACTGTCATAATTCAGCCTTTCTCAGAAAGCCCAAGACTCCCCTTTCCCAGCTTTCCGGTATACGAAATACGGCAGGACGGTTTTCCAACAAATCTCCCGACTCGCCGTGAAGTAACCTCATCCCCGTGTCACTTTCGTTCTTCCACAAAGCCGTTGAGATCTTGCTACTCTCAAACCACTGCGTCCTAGTCTGTACCGGGCAGTCTTGTTCGTGAAGTCCATGTTTCGTCATGAGGGCTGCTGGCAGTCTTGCCCCGTTTCCTACAGTTAGCCATGCATGCCTCTCAACTAAGCATGCTGCATTATCTCGAGTCGTAATCATATCATCGCCGCCTTCTTCTTCTGGCATACGAATGAAAAAGCTGTCGGCTCTCTTAAGGGGTGCGATGTCGTTCCACGGAAATGTGTAGCTCTTGTTTGCGAGAACATCGCGGCGCACAAAGGCCCCGTAGGAGTAACCCTCGTCATCTGAACCTGGCAGACAATCGTAAACCCAGAGCTTCTCGATGGCAGGTGCCTTTCCTAAGCCTGCTAAGGATACGAGACTCTCGACGATGGCATTTACGCTGGCAAGTGACACGTCGGGGTTGCATGGCTTGTCAAATCTCTCTACGTTGTTTCCCAATTTCGGAGATGCGAGTATAATGATACACTCACGAAGTTTTGGTAACTCCACAGCCGTGAAAATTGGCTCGCTCGCAGGTGAGTCCACACTACTCACATATCCGAAGCATTCCGAACATAAGCTAGGTAGAGCAAGACGCACAAACTGTAGGTTCGGTATCAAGCGGCGTATTGCAACACACAAATGCGACTCCGCATCTTCAGCGGACGCCTGATACGGCCCGTTCCGAATGACAAGCTCAAGGCCTAAGCATTTGTTTGGAACGTTATCCAGGATTTTGCTGATGGCGGTGTTCGAAACCCACAACCCGCGGGTCAGCTTTTTGGGCGTCGTTATCGAGAGGCTTTCTAGTTCTGACATTCGACTGATGCGAACCTGTAACCGCCCTAGACTCTGCCGCAGCTCTTCCATGGTAATTGCGGGATCTTCGGGGCCCGTCGCAGTCTGCACTTTAGTAACGCATATGGTAAGAGTTTGAACTGTCGCGTCTAGTGAAGGAGGCGTTGCAGTACTCCAGCTGGCGAGCTTTCGCGTACTGGTAAGGGTAACATGTTTATATAGTACTGCAGTCGCCAGGCGGTTCCAGCTCTTGCAGGTCTGGGCGCAAGCGGCGAGTGTTGCACTTGGTAAATTCTGATTAAAAACCAATAGTAACAGCTCGTTGGATAACCGCGAGATAACTTCTTGGTCACCATGTGGAGGCATTGTTCGTAATGTTGTTGGAGTTGAAGAGGGGAGTCTGGAACAAAGCAGCATGGGTGATTGCTGCTATTTAAGTCTTCTGGCACTTGCATGGCATATGCATAGACACCGGCAGGGCCGAAGGAAAGTACTTATGACCCCGTGCCAAGGCCAACAACTCGGGATGAAGTCCGGCGACTACAATATTTAATTACACCTTATAAATACCCAAAGTAACGTTATGCTTTTTGCTATAGTTTAGGTAAGTTAAAGAATTTGTAATATGCATGTTTTATACGTGTAACTAATCTATACATGTGAGCTAGAAGTACCCGCACAATAAGCTTCCTAATCCCACATCCCGAACGAACCCGAACCCGAATATATCCCGAGCAAGTTCGGGCACAATTCTCGATTCCGGGGTGTGTGTGGACACAAACTAACCTACTTAGACCCTAATAGAAGCCTGTCAAATCACGCAGAGCATAGAAACTTCGTGGCTATGTTTGGAATTGGAATATCATTCTAAAAACAGTCTTGGTGGCTCAGTTGGTCAGAGCGTTGGTCTCATACTTCTCCGTATGACTCGATTCGCAAAGAATTGGGATATCCAAAGGTCGTGAGTTCGAGCCTCACCCAGGACATTTAACCCTTAATTTTTGCTGATTTTATTTATTTATTTTGTTCCTTTAATTTAATTTTGTTATTTTCATGGTGTCTTTATGATGATGATAATGACCTCGGCCCAAAAAAAGTCTTCCCTAGTTGCGGTGTGCTTATGTAATTGCTTACTCATGCTGCAATGCATATGCGGAAGTTTTAGTTCGAACCTTAACTTTGTTTACTAGGTGCATCTTTGCTAATGCCATTTTCAACGTATGCCTGCATGTATACCTACGAGAGCAAGACATATTACCGATTCATTTATCGTGCGTCATATTGAAGAAATACGATAGTCTCATGTAACGTATAGGAATATCAACTGTAATAAGACGAAAACTATGGTCACTAACTTAGGTGGTCGCAAATCGAGTACTTTGCATTTTGCAAAACGCCGCGAAAAGATGGTGAGCTTGACTTATACCCTATAGAATACCCTACTAGATTTAAACCGTACTGTCTTGTCTAATTAGACCTGGTGGAACCATTGAGGAGATAGTAGAAAGTGTTGATTACAATCCGAAATACGTTGGTAAGGCGGTGATGTTCACAAGAGACTCGTTGCATTTTAATGGCGAACCCAAGTTTCGACTTAAAAAAAAAATCACTCTTCCACGAGAACCGATTACCAACCTAGAGTACATGATTTCCCATCCATTAGTCTATGACGAGAAACCGTTCCGGAGCGTACAACATATGCAGCAAAAAGTAATACAAATGCGGGTTTTTGCTCAGCCGTCACCATATACCCCCTTTCTACCACTTTTGTCACACATCCCCCCCTGACTGCCTTAGAACTCCTAGTTTCTTGTCTTCGATTGCTAGGCTAGCCTTTGCCGTAATTTGAGTCGTATGTAGTATTTGTTCGGACCGAGGTAACCCGTAAGACGAGGGCATATCAAGCGTATTTGGTGATAACTTGCCATCCCCCATCATCCTCGAGCTACCGCGTCGAATAGAAAGCCGTTACGGTGTTTACCGAGGCTCATTTAGCAGCTGACGTCGACGCTAGCCTTGGAGTTCATGAGAAGAGCCACGATGAGACCGTAGAGACCCAAGACTTCGGCGAAAATGAGGATAAGAATCATGCCGACGAAGAGCCTGGGTTGCTGAGCGGTTCCTCGTACACCTGCGTCACCAACGATACCGATAGCGAAACCAGCAGCCAGACCAGCAAGACCCACCGAAAGACCCGCACCTAGCTGAATGAACCCCGTATAAAGAGGGAGCACTTGATTCAACCCATCAGAGATCAAGACTGAGACGACGAGGCCGTAGATACCGATGATACCAGCCATAATGACGGGAACAATGTCTAGGAAAGTTAGTGTTATTAGATAAGATGAATTGATGGCTGGAGATGGCGCGTACTCTTCACAATGAGGTCGGGTCTCAAAACACCCATAGCCGCGATACCAACACCGGACTTGGCGGTTCCGTAGGAAGCACCTAAGCAGGTGAAGACGATAGCTGCTGTGCAACCCATGGCGCCGAAGAAGGGCTATCGGACGTTAGTTTTTCATACGGAATCGCATTCGTCTCGAAACTTAGGGAACAGAGGGATGCTGTTTTATGACGCGCGGGCCAAGGAAAGGTAAACTAACCGCGTAGACCGGGCTGTGGAAGAAACTGTTAGCATATTCAATTAAAGTAGATATAGGCTCGATAGTGATAGAAACGCTAATTCCTCAAGTTTGCGATGATGGCGATGGTAGAACATAGGTAGGGAGGCAATCATCAATTACGTACCAAGCTTCAGAGTAGGACATTGTGACGGTGGATGTGAATGTTTTCAAGAGAAAAAAAAACGAGAATAAAGAAAAATCGGAATGATAGACTTTTAAGGCGGATAGGTAAGAGTGATGGACTAAAACCGGTCGTTGATGGCGAAGCTTGCGAATTTGTAGTTGTGGTTGGGGTTGTGGTTGTTATGGAAGATTGCTAAGTTGGTCTAGTAATAAAAGGTAATGGAGTATTACGGGGAGAGGTGTTGCTTTACCTCGTTCCAGCTGTGCATTTGATTGGGGGTTTGATTTTGCAGCTCTAGGTCACCTGCAGGATCGATTATGTCAGCGGACTCCGGTAAAAGGTTTTGCCGAGAACTAAATTTCTTGGCATTTTGGAAGCTTGGACCTTACCTAAGGTAATCCAACATTTCTAGTATTTTTTTTTTCTTGAACCTTTTCTCTGCGATCTTCGACACTTTTGACTCGTCAACCTTCTACCCATTATTTCACATATTCCTCTTCAGGGCGAGCAACCGCAAGGAACCCTGCTCCGTCACAATGTCTGCTAACCAGGATCAAAGTGCCGGTAAGTTATATTGCGGCTATCTTTTTTTTATGGTGGATAATTGTACTGACTGATTTATCATTAGCATGGCCAGTTGCCGACGCTTCTCTCACCCAGGAGATTCTCGATCTAGTGCAGCAGGCCGGCCGTAAGTACACATCGCTTACCCTCGTCGAAATCCTTGCCTCTAATTGCGCTCCAATACAGATGCCCGCCAGCTTAAGAAAGGCGCGAACGAAGTGACCAAGTCGCTGTCCAGAGGTATTGCTGAGATCGTTATCCTGGCTGCCGATACCACGCCGCTTGCGATTCTTCTGCACCTTCCCTTGCTCTGCGAAGACAAGAACGTGATCTACTGCTACGTCCCTAGCAAGGTATGTTATATGTTGATAATTATCTTAACTATACCGCAAAGTACTAACAGCTGGGTTAGATTGCTCTTGGCAGAGCCTGTGGTGTGTCTCGAGCTGTGATTGCTGCTAGTATCCTTTCCAACGAGGCAAGCGACCTGTCTGGCCAGATCCGCAGCCTGAGGGATAAGATCGAGCGTCTCATGATTTAAGATACCCTTCCCCTCGAGCTAGGAAAGATTCGGTGTTATATGGGGGAAATATACCAGACTGAAAGCTAAACTTGTAGCTTGGAGAAAATAGATGCGGATAGAGAATATAATCTGCAACAGTATCCAACCAAGTTTCTTGATTCGTTATTTGCTATAAGGTCCAGGTCCAATATTTTTTCTTCTTTTTTTTTTACCCCATGCTTCACCACTACGGCGTGCCCCGGTATTGCCTGTGTTTTCAGTCCAGGCTATTAAGCTATTGGCACAACATAACCTTAATATACTTGTACCTGCGTACCTACCTAACCTAAGGTACCTATGTTACATGTATTGCTGCATCCGCGCGTCCTGGACCAACCAGATCTCAGAGCACTTAAGCCCCTCCACCGTGTGACGGCATCAGCAACCCCACCAAAATTAAATCATTTCAAGACATCATTGGTAAAAAGACCCTGAATATGACCATATCACTTTTTAAGCCCAATACAATTGTATTCATCCTGGTCAATTATATATATAGTAGAGTTCTTCTTTACCGGTTTGTAAATATTATGATCGAATGTCTAACTTAGGTACCAATAATGCCTAATTTAGCGCGGAAGCTGCTTATATGCGCAGCTGTTGATGGCCTCATAATCCAACCTCTTGCGACAAAAGGCCAACGAACTTCTGCGCCAGTCAAAATCAAGTATGGAGATGCTACGGTATCTTCGCTACCTCGCGATCAAACACCAGATACCACGAAACCCAACTCGTCCTTCGAGGCTTTTGGGGTTGTAGGTTCGTCTTGTCTCGAATAAACAACACCACTTATACAGACTCGTCCAAGTAGTTTCTAATTGGCCTTCTTTATAGGGCTCTTCACTGTCTCTCGCCTAAGCTACCTTATCACAATTACCGGTCGCCAGCAGGTCGCGCAGGTTCGCGGCTTTCCCGTCTACGTCGTGACAGACGTTGCGCTCACCCCGTGCACGAGTCGAAGCGAGGCCGAATCCGCCATCGCGAATACGGCAACGAAGCTACGAAGCGCATCAGGCGAAAAAGCTGTCGAAGATAGCGATTCGGAGAGCGAAGTAGACACCCGTTCGGTAACAGGCGGCGACGACGACGCAGAAGACCCAGGCGCTCTAAGCGATCGTGAAAGTATCGACGACAAAGACACGTCAGGAGCAGGCGGGGAAAAGAGTACCATAGCCCAGGATGTCATAAAGCGCCGTGGGACCTACGGGCGATTCGCCCAGCGCTGGTTCAGTCGTAAAGGCTGGATGATGGATCAGAAGCGAAACCTAGGGATGACTAGTGTCGAAACTGGCCAGGTCGGCGACCAAGCTGGCGACGAGAGTAACAAGGCGAAGATGGGCGATCCGGACAAGGAACTGAGCGATACCGTGTTACAGGAGAAGGTTGATCCGCCCCCGACGCCTTCAGCCGGCGAGAGTCTAATACCAAAACTACTGCGATTCTCACATATCTGGCTCGGGGCATCTAGGAGTTTTTTCTTCTCTTATGATTTCGACCTTACGAGAAGCCTTGCTAGTCACTCTACGACCTCAGCCGCAGAAAACCTTCCGCTCCACGAGGTAGCAGATCCCACATTCTTTTGGAACCGCAATCTACTTAAGCCGTTCCATGGGTATAGTGAAGAATCATTATTGTTGCCAGTAATTCAAGGGTTCGTAGGCCAGAGGAGGTTTGTCGTGGATCGTCATCCACCTCAAGTCGATTCCCAAGAAGATTCCATGGAAATGAATAATATTACACCTCCATTGGAATCCAATATTGAATTCCCCCCGCCAGAGAGAGCAGCCAGCGATCTGAGACCATCTGAGAAGGAGCTTGTTATGACCATTATTTCCAGGAGGTCTACTAGGCGAGCGGGACTGCGATATCTGCGGCGTGGTATAGACGACAACGGTTACGCTGCCAACTTTGTCGAGACAGAGCAAATACTCTCAACTCCGACGTGGAGTCCGTCATCCAAAATTCACTCATTCGTTCAGGTGCGAGGTAGCATACCGCTTTTCTTTACTCAATCGCCATATTCCCTTAAACCGATTCCGGTACTACAGCATTCTCCAGAGGCAAATTTCAGAGCGTTTACGAAGCACTTCGAACTTATGAGCAAGGCATATGGGTCTATACAATTAGTAAACTTAGTTGAGAAGCACGGCGTCGAAGCTATAATCGGTAAAGAATATGAGAAAGCAGTCAAAAAGCTCAATGAACAAGAGTCGAAAAACACCCCTCCCCTTGCTTTCGAGTGGTTCGACTTTCACTCTGCGTGTCGAGGAATGAAGTTTGAAAATGTCAGCTTACTTCTGGATACCTTGGGTAAAAAGATCGAAGAGACTGGCAGTACGGTAGAAAAGGACGGCCAAATAGAACGGAAGCAGAATGGCGTCTTGAGAACGAACTGTATGGACTGCCTCGACCGTACTAATGTCTGCCAAAGTTCCTTTGGCAAGTTTATGCTTGACCTCCAGCTGAAGGAAGAGGGCTTCGACATGTCGGTCCAGCCCGACCAGGAGAATTCGTGGTTTAATACCCTCTGGGCTGATAATGGAGACGCAATATCCAAACAATGTCAGTCGAACCCCCCAACTTACCAAGACGTTGAGGTCTTGTTACTTGTTAGCCTTATAGAAAAATTGGGAATTTGGTTTTTCTAACTTGAAAAACAGATGCATCTACTGCTGCGATGAAGGGCGACTACACCAGAACAAGAAAGAGGGATTATCGCGGAATGGTAAACGACCTTGGTTTATCATTAACAAGATTCTACAATGGGTAAGGAATATTTGCGTAAATAAGCTGATTATTACTTACACCACGCGTTAGAATGGTAAACGATTATTTCTCTCAAGCCGCCATCGACTTTTTCCTCGGTAACGTCTCCTCCATGGTCTTCGAAGAGTTTGAAGCCACCATGATGAGCAAGGACCCCGGGGTTTCAATGTCAAAGATGAGGGAGCAAGCTATCGAAACATCACAGAAGATTGCCATAGAAGATGATAAGGAAGATTTTATTGGCGGGTGGACTTTGCTGAGCCCTCATGTATCTGACACCCTGAAGTCGTTACCATTCGAAGAAGTGGTGCTTCTTCTGACCGACACGGCGCTGTACTTGTGCCGATTCGATTGGAAGCTTGACAAGGTATCCTCGTTTGAAAGAGTGGACTTGGCGCATATAGTCAACATCAAGATCGGCACGTACATAACGTCGGCTATCTCCCCGGCGGAAGCCGACGAGTCGAAGAACGTCGGTATCGTCGTGACTTACGAACCGGGCAAGTCCGACATCAAGCGGACCAACACGCGATCCCTATCTAGCATGTCGGGACAGTCTGACGAATCGTCAGGCAAGATGGCCGCGCTCAAGGACCCGGCCACAGCCCCCGCAGCCGTATCGGGCATTTTGAACCAGGGCATCCTCAACGCCATCACGGGCAAACCGCAGACACAGGCGCCGCGGAAGATCGCCTTGAAAGCGCTGCACTCGACGACGGCAGTGTCGGACGACGCGAAGGACGTCAAGGAGATGTCGGAGAGCGAGCAGATCAACCTCATCGCGACGGAGATCCAGCGGCTGGTCTTCTACAACCAGCCGGCTCTGGCTAGCTCCGGGGAGAGGCAGAGCATCATCGAGAGGGGCGATATCATCTCCCTCGCCGAGGCGAAGCGGAGCACGGGTATTCTAGAGCAGTTGGGTCATAGCATAAAGAAGCTGGTTTGGGCATGATGATAGATTGATAAAGCAAGGACCCCCTCCTTGGATAATAATAGTAATCGGTGGTGGTGGTGATGGTGACAGTGGTTAGGGGCACATATGTATATAGACCTGTGTAGCAGCCTTTAACGTCCGGCTTTTTCTTCTTCTTCATCATCATCAGTCGGAAGACCGGGGACAAGCCCGGTATAAGTGCATCTGGTAGCGCATATCTTGTAAATCCATAGGATACCGCAGCCCTTCGCCTAGACGGAACCATAGCGAGTCGTGCGATTGTAATTTCTCCCACCGGCACCCTTCGGCCGGCAGCTTGTCGGCCTGGAGCAGGGTGTGGTCCAGCAGCCACTGCATCGGGTACTTCTTGGCCTCCTTGCCCACCGCCGCCTCCGAGTAGCTGCCCGGGCTGTCGACCACGAGCAGCAGCGACCCGGCCGGCACAGCCGCGCTCAGGTTCCGCAGGAACGCCGTCGTCATGCGCATCCCGCCGCCGCCCCCCGTGGACGACGACGGCGACGACGACGCGTACAGCTCGTTCAGCGTAAACAGCAGCGTCACCAGCACCGGCCCCCGCCCCCGCCCCAGCAGCTCCCCCAGCCCCCGGCTATCCAGCCCCAGCACGTCCCGCCGCACGAACGTCGCGCGCAGCCGCTCCGCGGGCGCGACGAGCGCCGCGTTGGAGGCCCGCGCCGCGGCGCTCGCGTACTTGGACAGCGGGCGCGGCGCCGTGAGTCCCGCGCGCAGCTTCTCGATCGCCCCGCCCCACGGCCCCGTGTCCAGCAGCGTCAGGTCCCCGCTCACCGCGTCCCCCGCGCCCCGCAAGAACGCCCCGAGCGCGGCGATCTCCGCGGTGCCGCCGCCGATCGCGAGCATTTTCAGTTGTGTGGTAGTAGTAGGAGTAGGAGTAGTGGTAGTGGTGGTAGTAGTGGTGGTAGTGGTAGGGCTGTGGGGGGGAGACGCCTCTGGTTCTGGCTCGAGGGTGGGTGAGATGCGGCCGAGCTCAACCTCGTCGACTTCGTGTTCGGTGCTATTTCCGGCAGCAGTAATCGTTGTAGGAAGCAACAACGGCTCCAACTCCGCCCTGATCCCCCGCAGCACGGCGGCGTAGCACAGCGCGCGGGGCGGGCTCCATCTCGCGGCGTATACCTCGAGGAAGCGCTCGTTGCCGAAGGCGGCTTCGAAGTCCCGGTTGTACAGCGCCTGCTTGACCTTCTGCAGGACGGCGTCGAAGTCCTCGGCGCCGAGCACGGATCGGAATGTGTCGCTGAAGACGTCGAGGAGTCGTTGCTGCGATTTGAGGTCCTCTGCCGAGGTTGAGACGATGGGTGGAGGTCCTGCTGAGGAGGGCTCTGCTGCTGCTGCTGCTGCGCTTGGTTTCGAGGCGCGGGGGGTGAGTTTGGATGGTTTGGAGTTGGGGGGCTTTTTCACCATGGCTGTGATTTAGCTTTTATTTATTTTTTATGGTTATATTATCTCTGAGTTGTGTTTATCTAAGTGCTTATATTTGTATTTTGTGAGTTGAGGCTTAAGATAAGTCGTCTGGTTAAAATTTTCATAGTCACTCAAAAATTGCGAAATGGTGCAAATATGTTGATAACACGACCAATATCCAAAGTCAATTCATATCTTTACCTAACCTAAGGTATATATCTAACTTTCTTCATTTTTATCTACCATATTTCTATTATATGTGGTTTACTTATTAATTTTTTTCTTTTATTTTTCTTAATACTTTAGAAGTTCAACTTGAGCATATGTCATATTTTCATTTATATACTACGTGTATGTAAATCTTTGCCCCATTGTATTACGAATGACATACGGATCCGTATGTCTTTTCTTATTGTTACTAGACAGCTAGAGCCACTAATTTAGTGTCCATCAGAAGCTTCTCGGACCGAGTCGGTTTCAATTCGTTCACCATTCTGCCGTTCTGCTAACATAAAGAGCATTTTTGAGTCAGTAGGTTAGTTCGTCCGTTCAACCCGATCAATTTGAGATGACCAAGCAAGAAGATACCTCTAACATGTCTAAACCACGAGGCTAGCCGCCAAGTATAGGTATGATAAAGGAATGTCTTAGACCCTTGCCAGTGTCACGGGAAAAAGCGCATGTTCCGCGTTTCCGCGTGCGTGCCCTTGTCATTGGTACGTCAAAGAACTAAACCTCGAATAGTGTTGCTCCCTTTACTCACGTTGCTGAAATAGGCTTGCCAAGTGTGTTTTTTGCTGCTAATATAGCGCACCTTATTCGGGATATTTATTTACCATCGGGGTCTAGGACCGAGAACTTCAAGAACGGCTGACAAAGGCTGACGTGGATATGGAGGTGAAGGTAAAGTTAAATACCTCCTACAATATCCTAAGTCCGAAATGTCAGCGGGTATTTCAGTTAGTAGTTACACCTAAGGATGCCTTGTTCCCCGGTGGTTTACAAGGTAGATGGCAGTAATTATAATAGGTACCTGCCAATCCCGCGGGCAACAAGGTACTAGTCTTATATACAAGACACTACCTCTAACTGTGAGATAAAGAACCTTTTACCGGACCTATCAGACGATTTGAAAGGAAATTCGTCTTGCAGGGCTGTAGAGCGGCGTAGTAAGACTCTTGACATATATGTATTTCGGGAATTGTTATCTTATACAGATGGAATCGTACTGCGAACTTTTGATAATCTCGGAATATAAATCACCAAGGTAAAAAGTGACTTAAATAGTAAAAAGATGACGTAGTATATACCTATATGATTATGTATGTATTACTACATCGTTGATCTGGCATAGTGGCGAAGTACTTAGAGACTTGACTCTAATAAATTTGATTGCTTTCGCAAGAAAAAGAAAAGAAAGGAAAAAAAAAAATTAGTTGAGACGTTGTTGGAACTTCGGTGGAGAAATATATCTGGAGACCGAGATTATGTAGAGCTTGGCGGACCTATTGTGTTGAGGATTTTGATAAGGCGGAGAGGTGACGAAATATTAATGCCGCTGAGATCCAGTCTATAGAAAACTTCGCAACAATTTACTAGTAACTATCGGCTCCGATTCCCAAGCTCTTCCCAGCTCCGTGTCCACTCAGTCCACTTTCATTATGTACATAGAATAGAACCCCACCCCCACTTACCTTAGGTACACCGTACATGGCGTATTGCCTCGCATGTATGTACATACTATGTAGTACCTAATGCATTAGTATGCATAGGAGCTAGGTTATAAGCACAAAGCTGCTACCGACCAGATACATACGTCGTGTCAGGTCTTGCAGGGCCTTGTTCCCTCCACTAAGAGCTAAGAAGAAGACTAAGACCCATACAAGTGAGTGGCCAGTGACCCAGTAACCCAGTAACGCTGGAAGGGACCCCGTTGCCGGTTGTCCAGAAAGTCAAAAGCACTTTCGTCTTTAACCACCCGCAAATCTTCCCACCTTCTCTCTTTCTTCCTCCCTCAATCTTTTTCTCTCCTCTCATCGACTCTCTTTTATTACTAATTCCCAAGGCATCGACGTAAAAAACCGCAACCATGGGATATACCGAGAGAGATTGGCTCGCCATTAACACCATCCGTGTTCTTGCTGTAAGAATGACAACTTCTCTTCATATAACCCCGCCCCCGCTTTGCCCCTCCATCGTGAGCTCATTTTGAACTCTTCCTGAGCTCTCTTCTTGCAGACATCACGAGTTTTCCAAACAGTATAGAGCAAATTATATTGACAATTGTTTCCCTCTAGGCCGATGCCACCTTCGCATCTAACTCGGGCCACCCTGGCGCGCCCATGTAAGTAAAGAATATTCTATTTTAATTTATTATCATTGGCGTGAATTATCCAGAGGAAGCTGTTCCCTTGTACTGACCACTGACCGATATTAGGGGTATGGCGCCGGCTGCCCACGTCCTATTTAACAAGTTCATGAAGTTCAACCCCAAGAACCCCAAGTGGTTGAACCGTGATCGATTCGTCCTCTCGTAAGTGGAATTATCCTATGATTATTTGTTTTCTATAATTAACCACGAGGATATAGCAACGGCCACGCATGCATGCTCCACTATGCTCTCCTTCACCTTTTTGGATATGACGTGTCCATGGACGATATCAAGAACTTCCGAGTAAGTTGAATCGTGATAAATCAGGCTAAGTTAGTTCAATGCTTACGAGATACAGAAAGTTGACAGCATCACTCCCGGACATCCCGAGGCGCATCACACCCCGGGTATCGAGGTCACCACTGGTCCTCTAGGCCAGGGTATCTCCAACGCTGTTGGTCTTGCTATTGCTCAGGCCCAGACAGCCGCTACTTTCAACAAAGATGGCTTCCCTCTTGTCGACAATTACACCTACTGCTTCCTGGGCGATGGTTGCTTGATGGAGGGTGTCTCTGCCGAGGCTAGCTCTTTGGCTGGTCACTTGCAACTAGGCAACTTGATTGCTATCTACGACGACAACCAGATTACCATCGACGGTGACACCGCCTGTGCCTTCACCGAAGATGTTGTTAAGCGATACGAATCGTACGGCTGGCACGTCGAGGTTGTCCTTGACGGTGACAACAACCTTGACGAGATTGAGAAGGCTATCCAAAAGTGCAAGGACGTCAAGGACAAGCCTTCATTGATCAAGCTCAAGACTACCATCGGTTACGGTTCTAAGCAGCAGGGTACCCACGGAGTTCACGGCTCCCCGCTGAAGGCTGACGACATCAAGCAGCTCAAGGAGAAGTTTGGCTTCAACCCTGAACAGTCCTTCATCGTACCCCAGGAAGTGTATGAAGATTATGGCAAGAAGGCTGCCGAGGGTGCCGCTCTTGAAGAGGAGTGGAACAAGCTGTTCGCTAGCTACGCTAACAAGTACCCTGCCGAGTATGCCGACCTCGCCCGTCGTCTAAAGGGCGACCTTCCCGAAGGCTGGGAGAAGAACCTCCCCGTATATACCCCGCAGGACGCCGCCCAGGCATCCCGAAAGCTTTCCGAAATTGTTCTTTCCAAGATCGAAGCTGCTATTCCCGAGCTCATTGGTGGTTCCGCCGATTTGACGGGATCCAACCTGACACGATGGAAGGATGCTGTTGACTTCCAGCCGCCCTCAACTGGGTTGGGTAATTACGCTGGCCGATACATCCGATATGGTGTCCGTGAGCACGGTATGGGTGCTATCATGAACGGTCTCGCCGCCTATGGCACCCTCATCCCCTACGGAGGTACTTTCTTAAACTTTGTCTCATACGCCGCCGGTGCTGTGCGTCTATCTTCGTTATCGCGGTTCCGAACGATCTGGGTCGCCACCCACGACTCTATTGGTCTTGGTGAGGATGGTCCTACTCACCAGCCGATCGAGACCCTCGCCCACTTCCGCGCCCTGCCCAACATGATGGTCTGGCGACCGGCAGACGGTAACGAGACAAGCAGTGCTTACTACATTGCCTTGATTTCCAAGCACACTCCTAGCATTATCGCTCTATCGCGACAGAACCTACCCCAACTCGAGGGCTCAAGCATCGAGAAGGCGAACAAGGGTGGCTACGTCCTACACGACGTTGAGGGTGCCGATATCACCCTGGTTTCGACCGGGTCCGAAGTCTGCATCTGCGTTGACGCCGTTAAGTACCTCCAGGAGAAGCACGGCCTCAAGGCACGTGTCGTTTCCATTCCTTGCTTCGAGCTCTTCGACTTGCAGTCCAAGGAATACAGACTGAGCGTTCTCCCTGACGGTATCCCGTCCCTATCCGTAGAAGTCATGAGCACAATGGGTTGGGAGAGATATACCCACGAGCAGTTCGGCCTCAACCGATTCGGTGCTTCCGGCGCCTACAAGGACATCTACAAGGCAAGTTTTCCCAACATCTCTCCATCTTGATTGCATACTAACAAAGAGAACAGAAGTTCGAGTTCACCCCTGAAGGTATAGCCAAGAGGGCTATTGCTACTGTCGAGTTCTGGAAGGGCGTTCCCAACATCCGCTCTCCGATCAACCGCGCATTCCAGCAGCTCATTTAAGAAAAGAAAAAAGTTTAGACTAGGTAGCGATGTTGTTAAGTCTTGGTACGGTTATGTTAGCTGGCGCAATAAACCAGACGGTGTTCGCGGACAATATAGACCTGCGAGCCGAAATAATCCAATATCACGAGAAATGCGACGAAATTAAATATAAGTACCCTTCAGGCTATATGTAGCTAAATAGTAGCTAAATACAAATTGGCCTATTCATGAATCTCGGGTTTCTTGGTACGCTGTGTGATATAGAGAAATAACGACCGCCTTAAGACGGCGTATTCTTGCGATGTGATCCAACTTGACGGATGTTATTCTTATGTCATTGCTCTTCTGATATCTGAGTACCTAGGTACATACCTATTTAACAATATGCCCACTGAAAATGGGCTATGAGGCATATCTCCTCCTGGATTGGTTTTAAAATAACAACCTTGCAGCCCAGAGTGAAGTCATGTGCAAACTAGATGGCTCATGCAAATCTCCCAGTAAGCAGTCTAACAGCCTATAGGTGGCCATCCCAAAAGGCGTTTCCTTCGACCTGCTCTAAGCTGGCGGCGATTTGTAGCAAGCCGCAACGTAACGGGAGGCTGTCCTTTTCCTTCTGCCTCTCTCTCTCTCTCGTTTGGGCTCGTCCAAGCTATGTAAGCTGATTGGTCGGCGCATATCTCTTTGTCTCTCTTTTCTCCTCCCTTCTTCTTCTTCTTCGTCTATGTCTGGCTTGTGATTTAGGTCGCTTGGTTCTTTATTCTATTGCAATGTCCTTCACTCCTCAATCCCCTCACTCCCCAGCCCCAGCCCCAGCTCCAGCCCCGGCCCCGGCCCCTCCATCGTCCTGAATCTCGGCCCACTGCGTCTGTATCGCGCGACCCACGCGCTCGAGCCTGGCGGCCGCGCGGCGGGCGTCGCGTGCTTCGTCCGCGGAGGGGGCGACGACGACGCTGATCAGCATGGGCGGAGCGTTAGCGCCGGCGGCGCCGTCTTCGAGCGCGGATTCGGGGGAGGCGTCGATGGCGTCGGAGGGGGAGAGTTGCAGTTGTTGGAGGCGGTGCTCGAGCGCGCTGCTGTTGTCGGGGGTGGCATCTGGGTCGTCGCCGTTTGGATGCTGATGTTGATTTTGGTGTTCGAGATCGGTCTCGGCAGCGGTACTGGTGGCGGTGGCGGTGTTGGTGAAAGTGGTAGTAGACGTGGTGGAGAGCGGGCTGCCGGTGGTGGTATCTGCGCGCAGGAAGGATTGCAGCAGGACGGGGCCGGAGTCGGCGTGCTCGACCACGACGCGCAGGGGGACGCCGAGGCCCAGGCGCGAGGCGGATTCGTGGGCGCTGAGGGCGGCGTGGGAGAGCGCTGTGAGGGCTTCGAGATGGGATGGAGGGGGAGGAGAGGAAGAGGAAGAGGAGGAAGGAGAGGGAGAGGGAGAGGGAGAGGAGAAAGAGGGAGATTGGGAGGAGGTGATGAGGGGAGTGAGGGCGCGGTCGGTAAGATGGAGGGAGAGATGAGGGTATTGGGAGGGGAGGTTGGCCATTGTGTTTGTTTCTTCTTCTCTCTCTCTTTTTTTGTATCTCCCAGTTTTCTTGTGTGAGGTTAAAGTATAGATCTTAAATAGGAGGTGGTTTTTGCAAGAGATAGTTCCAATTAGCGAAGTTGGAATAAGGTAGAAGCTTAGGTAGTAGATGCTGTTGTTTGGGTCGAGATTTGGGAAAGGTCGAATACGTAAGGAAGTAGAGTAGTCCCTAATGTTGTATTTTAGTTAGCCATCTTCAATGTTCAGAAGGGACAAAAAACGGGGGTTTGGTGGGGTGCCCCTGCCGTTTGTTTCTACCGTAGCTCCGTAGTAGTAACTCCCAATTAAGTTTCCATAGGCCAGATAGGCTATCATTGCAGGTAGGTACAATGCATCAAAGCGCGTGCGATGACGCACTTAGTCTAGAAGAGACATTCCATTGGTCAGATGACGATTTTAAGGTACCTGGTAGATAATAAGTGGATCCCCGCCACAACCGCCAAAACGTATGGTTCCAATATCATCAAGTGACCTAGAAGCTACACCTATCGTTTCCTACATACAACATACTACATACATAATAAGAAGCGTTGTGTTACAGCCTTATAATCTGTCCCTTTTTTCTTTTCTCTTTTCTCCTTTTGGATAACGACGCAGTTAATCCCTTCTCACCTCTCCTAAACACCGAGTATTTCTCTTCTTTTCTCGTTTAAGATGTCGCAGAGGTCTTAGGAAAGTCGCGCGGGACTAAAGAGGAAGAAGAGGTCTGCCGTCGTCGAATATCAAGCTATGACTGGCGACAACGTTACTAGTAATAATACCGGTGCTGATGGAGCTGCAAGACCACCGCAACCTACTAGACCACCGGCAAGGAGTGTAAGCCAAAGAAAGAAAAAACCCTATTAATTATTATTATGACAACTGACCGATTGTTTTTATCTTCTTGATTTTCTTGTCCTTTTTCTTCTTCTTATTTCCGTTTCTTTATTCTTCCTCGCGTCACCAGATCATGTGGAAGCTTAGCAGCTTCAAGTCTCCGCTTGCGACTCTGAATTCCAGCACATCCCTATCTTCGAGAACGGTACAAGATTTATAAACTAACGTGATGCCCCTTCGACGACAGAAATTACGAAATGGCACTTGGATTGTTCCCGGCACCGGCGAACGAACTCGCCGCCAGTTCTCTTTGAGATATCCGCACCTCGACGGCGCTGACGACGATGAGGGCATCCGCCCCCTCGCTGAGGGTAACACGGTGAAGGACAAGGTTCGGAATTTGTGGCACAATACTCGGGTAGCGTCTGGAAATATATGGGAATGGTTGAAATCACCCACGGGGAGAGGCACGATAAAATGCTCTATCGCATATCTGCTGGCTAGCATGGGAACCTTCTGGCCCCCTGCCGGTAGGTTTCTTGGGTCACTAGATGGGAAGCATATCGTCGCCACCATTACTGTGTATTTTCACCCCGCCAGGTCGACAGGCTCCCAGATGGAAGCTGTTGCTATTGCTGTCGTTGCTGTGTGTTACGCCGTGTGCATTGGAACTTTGTCCATGGCCACCTCGGTACTCTTTGGGTCCGTCTTGGACATGGTTGAGCTATCCTATTTCTTGGTTCTCACTATATTCATCGGAGGCGGCTTGGGCTTCGTCGGATGGGCCAAGCAGAAGCTCAACCACCCGCTGGTGAGCGTTGGTGCCAGTATAGCATCCATTGGTATCATCACTATCGTAACCAAAGAGAACGCAGTTCACACAGGCGTCTTCACCAACCAAAAGATTATCCAGACGCTGAAGATGTTACTTATGGCTACTGCGATATCAACGCTAGTCAATCTGATCTTATGGCCGGTTTCTGCAAGGTTAGCATTACGAAAATCTATGCGGAACGCGTCCACGTCGCTCGGCGATATGTTATCCATGATAGCAAGTGGGTTCCTTAGTGGCGTTGAAGAGGACTTCACTTCAACCGCCTTTACAAAAGCTTCGAGTAAATACTCTTCAACTTTGTCGCAGATGAACAAGAACGCTCGGGAGTCCAAGTATGAATACTACATCATAGGACAGGAGCAGATATATAGGCAAGACAAGGCCGTGGTAAAATCAATGGAGAGCTTAGCCCAGTCGCTTGGTGGTCTGAGAAGTGCGGCTAATACCCAATTCGAACTTCTGAAGGAAGTTTCTTTCGGGCCCAGATCTTCACAATCGGCTAGCTCTCCGTTTTCTCCATCTATAAACCCATTTTCGCCTACGTTTACAAGGTCTCCGTCGATAGTGTTAAAGAGCAGAGGTAATCGATTCAATGCTCTCGGCTCTATTGATGAGACACCTAACGAGAGAAGCGACAGGGAAGAGGATGTAGCGCCAACGCAAGATTCTTCCTGCTCTTTGTCTGCGTCTGCTTCGTCGCTCAGGACCCCTTCTGATATTTTTGAATTATTCATCGCTCGTCTCGGCCCGTCGATGAAATCTTTAGTCCATACGATGGCTGAGATGCTTAGAGAACCGCTATTCGGAGCTCCAGGAGCGCCGATCAACATTAACGAGCAGTTCAAGCAAAGCCTTGCCGATGCGATATCTCTGTATAACCAGGCGAGAGGAAATGCGCTAGAAGAAATCTATAAGACGATCGAACTAGGCAGGACCAGATCTGAGTCCATCCAAGCAGATTTCGAAGAGGTAGCTGCAGCTTGTGGACATTTCTCATTCAGTCTGCTTAGTTTTGCAGACGAGATGCAGATATACCTAGATACTGTAGACGACTTACGGCATGTCAGTGAGCACAGTAAGCGGACATGGGACTGGATGAAGTTCTGGAAGCACATTAATTTCAGACGGCAGACAACGAAAGGGGACCCAGAACGACAGTCCTTCCTCCAACCGGTCAAGAGGCTTAGGCAGTCGAAACTTCCTCAAGGCATCCCCGATTCCTTGAAGCGACGCGGCACTTTTAGCTGGGATGCAGCACCGCAGGGTGAAGGCATACGGGACCTTTTTATTCGAACAATATCTCGAAATTTGTGGAGATTTTTCAGGTTTCTTGGAAGGAGTGATAGTAAGTTACAATTCGTCGACGTACCCCTAATTAATATATCCCTGAAAGCCACATGTTAACGTTTTGGTATAGTTCGTTTTGGCATCAAGGTTGGTATTGGTGCAGCTCTCTACGCTATGTTCGCCTTCATCCCCCAAACGCGGCCGCTATACGCGCACTGGCGAGGCGAATGGGGTCTCCTGTCGTTTATGATTGTGTGCTCGATGACTGTGGGCGCGTCTAACGCTACTGGCTGGTCTCGTTTCATAGGTACCCTTATGGGTGCTACCTTTGTGTTAGCCAACTGGTGGATATCGGATGGTAACGCTATCGCGCTCGCTTTCTTAGGCTGGGTCGTCTCCTTTGGTGCGTTTTATATTATGATCGATCGCGGTAATGCGGCATTTGGTCGCTTCATATTGCTAAGCTACAATGTGTCCTCATTATACGCGTATTCGCTCACCCAGAATGTCGATGATGATGACGACGACGAAGGTGGCGTACACCCCATCATCAGTTCTATCGCCTTTCACAGAGTTGTCGCTGTCTCTGCCGGCATTCTCTGGGGTCTCATTGTTTGTCGTCTGATCTGGCCCACGTCCGCCCGTCGAAAGTTTAAGGAGGGTCTGGCGGTTCTCTATCTCCAGATGGGGCTCGTCTGGAAACGAGGTCCGCTCGCCGTCCTTCTTCGCAATGATACTGCAGCTACGAGCTACATGAAGATAGGTGAACAAGCCGCAATGCAACGTTACGCATCACAACTACAGACGCTTCGCATCGCCGCGAATAATGAGTATGAGCTCCGCGGGCCATTCCCGTTCGAGGCGTATGGGCGCATCATGGCCTCGACGCAGCGAGCACTGGATGCGTTCCACGCTATGAGTTTGGTTACGCAGAAGCACGGCCGTCTCAGCGACGGCGAGAAAGCATTGCTGTACTATACGGCAGAGGAGCGAGATCAGCTGTGCTCGCGTATATGCCACGTGTTTCAGGTGCTCGCGTCGAGCATCATGCTCGAATACCCCCTGACGGACGTCATCCCAAGCGTCATGGTCATCCGGGATAAACTACTAGGCAAGATCTTCCGATTCCGGAAAGAGCACATCAATCTCGAAGCAGCGGCGGAGGACGGAGGTAAAGCCTCACCCGCCACCGGGGAGAACGGAGGAGACACAACGGACGAAAATGGCAAAAAGGACGGTCTTCGGACTAGGATCCCGACGCGGGACGAAGTCATGGTGGAGGAGCCGGACTACGCGCTCTTGTACGCGTACGCCCTGGTTACCGGCCAGCTGGCGAAAGAGCTCGAGGTCGTGGAGAAGGAAATCAAGGACTTGTTCGGACGGTTCGACGAGGACGTGCTGTTGTTGCAATAGCGAGCCGGTTTGGTTCGGTCTTTTTTTTTATGCCTACCTAGGGACGGCTAGTGTGCGTGCGCAAGTAAAGAAACTTTTGGACTCTCGGCAACTTGGCTGGGTTTTGTTCGAATTTCTCTCAATTCCCAAGAGGTATGTATAGTATAGATTAAGTACCTACCTACCTACCCAGGTACCTAAGGTTATATAATATAGGGTTAGGTATATATACCTAATGTTACGAAGCATCAATATCAGATTCGAGGAGCTAGGGAAATGTAGTCGGTCTCTGGTTTTTTTAAGGGTCTATTTGTTAGGGGGGGAAAGGAGGCGGGGCGGGGGAAGGAAGAATGAGAACAAGAACAAGAATGAGTATATGTTGAAAGCATGGCGTTAAGGATTCGGTAATAGTAATTTACCTTATTTATTCACGTTGGGTAATGGCAAATATTCATTTATAGTTTGTTTATGAATTATTAGTTCATAATTGTCACCCTCTTTGTGTCTTTTCTCATCTTTATATGTATTTTGCTATATTTTTATTTTTTTCGCTCCATTCATTCTACGTAGACTCGGGTGTATTCCACCAAGATACCGTAATGAGGACCTTGCTGGCTGGTCTCTGATGAAGTATATAGACCTCTGGTTTTCTCCATCCCGAGCAATATATTATATGCTATAGTACCTCCTACATAAACGAGAAATGTCAACGCATTGACTTTCCTTCCTAGATCTACTACCTCCCCCCCTTCCCCCCTTCCCCCCTTCCCCCTATCCCCCTATCCCCCTTTCCTTCTTTCCTCTTCTTCCCTGTTTTCATTTCACAATCGAATAAAACAGAAACGCAACATGAACTAGCAACAAGAACCTCACAAAAAAAAGTACGCCTCAAGCCATTCGTTGTCTTTCGAATCATTCATGTTGATACTTGCTTGCTATGTACCGAACCTCGCCGTGTCGCCCCCGCCTCCCTCCGGAACTCCATGGCTCTAGAACAAGAAGAAAATGCCTAGCCAAAAGAAAACCACAAAACACGATGCTTGCTTCGCCTAACCATCTAGCGCTATATACTACAAGACCAACCAACTATAACCCTCCCCCTTTCTTCCCAATCTTCAGTGATTCAAAGAAAAAGGGGTCGGGGTTTTAGTTTAGTTTCGTTTAGTCCAGGTTCAGGTTCAGGTTCTACTCGTCGTACCCGTCCTTAGCACCGATAACCCCTTCGCCGACCTGGCTCCTCCTCCTGCGGCCCACGACCTCGCGGAGCCACTCGCTCAAGGTGAAGCCCCAATTGCAGGCGACGAGGACGCCCGAGAGGATGTTGATGATCTTGATGGCGAAGGCGACGAGGCCGGCGCGGCGCTCCTCGACGTGCAGGAGGATGGGCTCGATGTCGTACTTGAAGAAGAGCCCCGGGACCATGCGCTCGCCGACCTCCTTGCTCTGCTCCGTCACCGCGTACTGGTTCGTGAAGATGGTGTGCTCGGCCGACGCCGAGGACCCGGCGCCCCGCTGCACGCTGTAGATCGTGGGGACTACCGACATGAAGTACTGGAACTTGTAGAAGTGCGACTCGGCGATGTTGATGGTCCGGTCGAGGGGGTTTACGAGGGACGGGTAGTACGGCCCGAACGAGAGCTCTGATATGACGTGCGAGAAGTTGAACGCTGCAGGCATAATAAAATGTTAAATCATTAGTTAGTCCTTTGCTCGCTTGTTCTCCTTGTACGAAGAATCAGAATCAGAATCAGGAGAATTAAAAAACGTACCGCTGTGATCCAAATGCGCCGGCATCGCAGCATCCGTATACCCGTGGCCTCTAGCGGTGATATGGAAATCGCCCTGGACCTTATTCAGATCCAGGCTGCCGAAGATGCGACAGGCGTTGTTCTCGGCGCCCCACAGCCTCGGGGTCTTGGCCCAGCGGGCCTTCTTGCGGCCCATGGAGACGATATCGTGGACGTGCTCCTCGCCGAACCCTTCCTCGTGCCAGCCGGCGCCCGTGACGGCGCGCCCGTGGCTGTCCCGGCCGAGCTTGTGGATACCCTTGGCGTCGACCCAGTGGCCCCAGTGGGTGCCGTCCTCGCGCAGACGGGTGCCCGCGCGGATGAGGTCGCCCGAGGCGTCCTGGACGTTGACGTGCAGGTCCTTGCACTGCATCTTGACCACGATGTCCAGGTTGATCTGCATGCTGTGGCTAACGCCCTTCTCGACCGCGAACGTGTGCGTCTCCTCCCCGCGCCACCACCGCGCGGCCTCCGACCACAGCAGCACGCACGACACCACGTACATCACGACCGTCCACTTCCCGCCGCCCGACGTTCGCGTCACATATTGGGGTTTCGCTTTCGCTGTTGAGGGGGGGTTTGCGAAAAATGCCCGCTGGGTTAGCTAAAGTTGTTTCGCAAGACGGTGGGAGAGGGAGAGGGGGAGGGAGAGGGGAGGTTTACGAAAAGCGTCAAAGGCGCGCACGAAGCTGCCAGGTTCGGGTTCGTCATCGTAGTGGTGACTTTTCTCGTTATAGCCGTTCATAGCGAAAAAGCTATAATTCTTCTTCTTCTTCTTATTGTTATTATCCGTCCAGCACTCCAACACTCCAACAACTTCTCCAGCGCAACACTTGCTGCAGCAGGCTCTTCGAGACTTGGTCTAGCCGGCAACGGCGCTAGCACGGCATCTGTTTCGATTGGAATTGAATTGGAATATAATGTGGGAGGTTTTGTTCTATTCGAATTGGTTGTATGGGTGTCGAATTGGGAACCAGAGAAAGTTGTAATGGTTCGTATGGACGAAAATGTAAGTGTAGGTTATAAGTTAGATGTTTTACTTGGAGCAGCTCTTTAGAGGTTCTCTTTAGAGGACAACTTGCACCAAAAGGAATTCACTTTTTTAGGGAACCGTCGCCTGTAACTTACCCCTGTCACCCCTGTCACCCCTGTCAGCGATCCGATATTAGTGGGGTCTTGGCTTGTATGTGGAGCTAGACCCCCCGGAACCCCAAAGGGTAGGGTCAAACCCATGAAATACATACATGTATCCATATTCATTTAAGAGATTCAAAGCCGCTACGGGTTGACTTTGGGTAATACTCTATTATTATTTGATGCTATTACAAACGTATTACACCCCCTCCCATCCGAGATCATTACACTACTTCATAGCACTACTCTTAAACATCATACCTATTATACCTCAAGCACCTAGAGTTATCTATGTTTTTTTTTCTTTTTTTTTTTCGTTTCATAAGCACGAGACGCACATACCTATTAACCGTTGAGAGCAAGGAAATATAATTATACAGATGTGCTCAAAAAAAAACAACGTCGGCTGACATAGCAACAAGACACTACTTCACAACCCCCTATGGCTTAGGAAAATAAAACAACGACGAGTAAATTCAGCTAGTTACTGGAAACTATCCCTACAGCCCCTGCGCGTGCCATTCTGGTTCTTATCACATAATGAGTGGACTGTAGTTGAGATGTGTAGAGGCTACGGAGAACCTTAGCCGGGAAGAAAAAAAGCCATCGCGTAATAGAAAACTTCCGAAACAATCAACACCGGTAGAGAAAACTGGAGAAACCGAATATCACACTGCAACTGCCCGTAACTGCAACAGAGTCCCTATCCTCCCATAGAACCCCCCCTTGAACCACCAGATACTATCTGGTGTGTATTGCTGTCTAGAATTACTAGCCAGCGCACCCGGTTATTATTTTACTGCGTAGACACCGGCTCGTACTGGTCTGACAGATACTCTTCGTCTGATGCATCAAGGATATCGTACTCTTCATCTGTCATAAATCCATCCTCAGATTCGGCCCATTCATCGTCCTCGCCGCACTCTTCGAAGTCATCACCCTGTGAGTCCTGCGAATCATGTACTGACAGTGCAAGGGTAGCCATCTGCCCCTCTAATCCACTCTCCGATCCACCCTTCTTCTCATGCATGCTAGCAGCTGGCGACTCGTGCTCCAGCTTGGGGATAATCATCTGGCTCTCAGCCAACTTAGGGGTAGGCGCTGGACTCTTGGTAACCTCACGCTTCGGTTCTACCGGGGCAACCTTAGGGCGGGGTGCCTGAACGTTCACGTCGCACCACAGCTTGTGGCCAAATTTGTTGCCGTCTGGGGTCGTCAATCGCCAGTACGAAATTACCTTACCTTCCCAGTCAGGAGTACGCATCAATACGGTGAAAGGGAATTCTTGGCCCGGCTTGAGGGCGTTGTAGCAGATGGTTGACTCCGAGGCTGAGACCAGTTCATGAATACCAGCAGGGTGAGTGGGGTCAACGGCACCCATGTAATCACCGCCAACAAACTTGACAGAGCAGCCTGCTGGCCATGGAACAGTACCTTCATTTCGAACAACCCATGTCTGTTCAAAGGTATGGTTGGGTGGTAAAACGGTTCCATCGGTAATTGTGTCTCGAAGGAAGACAGCGATGAGCTCGCCTGAGGCTGGCTTCTTCTCAACTGAGGGGATTCCTTCGGGCTGTGCTACTTCGGTCTTCGTCTTGACTTCTTCCATCTCCTCCGCCTTGGGCAATTGCTGTTCCGTAGGTTGTACGTCGACTACAGTCTGCACTGGTGTGGCAGCGATGCTATTGTGCACTGGGAGAGCTGCGGTCGCGGCATTGACGAGAACAGGCCGGACACGGTCTCCCATGGTAGGAAGACGCTGGCCATCCTCGTGCTCACCTGTAGTAGTGACACTGACGTGACGTACCGGAGTCTTAAACTTGATCAAGGGGTGTGTCTTGTTGTGCGTGTTAGCAGGGCTGGCCTCGCAGTTGGCACAGAAATCGGTATCGTGGCAGACTGCACACTTGTACCGCACGCCAACAATGTACTTTGAACGGGCACGGGAAACAGAGCAGAGAGGGCCATCACAGCAGATGCCATGGTGCGTACCACGCGCCAGGGGGCGAATTGTACGGTCAGTCAACGGCTCATAGATAGCTACAAAACGGTGATTAGGATGAATGAGCTCGGCATTTTTGACACATTCCGAGCAGTAGTCCCAGTCAGGGCAATCCAGACACTTGTGTCGGACGCCTCGGACATACTTGTCGCAGCCATCGCAGATAGCATTATGGGCGGCGTTTCGGCCGGGGGACAACAGCGAAGTAACATCATGGTCAAAGACCGTACCCTTCACAGCAGGTGCGAATCCATGCGCAGGGTGGTGGCCATGCTTGCCCTTAGCAAAACAGCTCTTGCAAAGATCGTAATCATCGCACGCGGTGCAGTGTACGAAATTCTCTCCGGGGAAATCCTGAACACAGCAGTTGCAGGTACGGTCGTTGTAAGTAGTGTCCCAAACTCCCGGTGGAGGTACCCAGTTCACATTCTCAGCGGGTCTAATAGGAAGATTGGTAGTAGGTTTGCTTGCTTGGGAACGGGAGGTCTTGGGGGCAATGTGGGTGGTGCTGTAATTGACCTGGCCATCCTTGATATAACGCTTAATAAGCCAATGGGTCTCGTTATGGCAGGTAATGCCCTGGTTGACACAGTCCTGGCAGAGATCGAAGTCGCCTTCATCGCACGTGGAGCAGTGGAAATGGGCATCAGGAACAGCCCGGTCACAGCTGTTGCAGCAGACAGTGAATTGACGCGTAGGGATACCAGTGAAAAAAAGGTCATCGCTTTTCTTCATTTCCTCGTCCAACGTAGAGATGGCCATGGCATCTGTTGGGAATAAAACTTCCGCGGCTTCCGCAGCCTTGGGGATAGTGGCCTCTTTCTGGTGGCATTCCCAGGTTACGTCGGTACCGTGAGGAATCTTCGATGCAGCTCGAGAGAAAGGACATCTTGGTACGTTTTCTTCGCTCGAGTCCAGCGATAACACAGGCTCGACCGAAGTTGAAGAAGTGGAGCTCAGTAGGTCAACTACCTCCTTGCCCTCAGCATCTCGCTTTAGGTGGATTCTAGGTCTGCCATGGGTCTGCCATAACTTAACGAAATTCGGTAGATTCGAATGAATTTCGGAAACCGGAACGGTATCCAATATTCTAGTAGAGGCCTTAGAGTCAGCTGGGACCGAGGACTCTAGCAGAGGTGATAAGATACGAGCAGCGGGCTCCGGAATTTCTCGGGACTCAGTCTCAGGCTCGAGCTTGGGCTCGGTCTCGGGCTCGGGCTCATCCTCGATAGTTACAGGCTTAGGAGCCTTGGGAGCCTTGTGTAGTTCTGGCTCAGGAGCAGGTACGGGTACAGGAACAGACTTGGGTTCGGGTTCGGGTTCTGGTTGACGCTCAGGCTCGGGCTCTTGTCTGGCCTGGGTAGTTACTCGCAGCTTTAACTTTTGCTTGGCCTTAGCAGCTCGGTAAAGTTGCTTGTAAGCAGGAAAATTTGTCGCATGCAAGACGATGAAGGATGCAGCCGAGTCGGAATACCGTTCAAATGTGGCGGTGGCACCGGAAGGAATCTGTAGGAAAGAACGGAGCTGCGAATACAATATTAGCACGATATCCCACAAGATGGATTGAGGGAGATAATAAGTTAGATAGATGGATGAAATATACGATACACAGATGAAAGAAAGCTTACCTTATCCTCAAGCATACCGGGACCTAGATCGCGAAGAGGTAGCTTGAAACGACGGGTCGCGCCATCAAAGTTGATCTTAAGAGTAATTAAGGTGTCCGGAGTAGCTGCCGATGACGAAGCCATCTTGACCGGCGGACTAGTGGGGAGAATTTATCAGCAAAGTTAAGGTTTAGCAACTAGCTGAGGGTTAAAAAGAAGAAGAGGGAGTAGGTTTGTTGTAGGTTTGTTCCGCCAATGGATTGAAGAGATGAAAAGATGGTGGCGACTTTGGAGATGGGTCGGGAATTAGTGTGCAAACGGAGGAACGCACAGGTACATAAGGATAGTGGTAAGGGTAGTGGGTAGTAAGAGCGGGACGAAGTGTGCATTTAGGTTAGGTAGTGAGAGGGGAGGACGGAAAGGTACAGTATTACATACCAAACGATCAGATTAATAAAGTGTCAGGTGGTCAGTTTCCGCTTATCGGGGGAGTGATTGTGACACAGGGGCTCCTAGATTTAGGCGGTCAGCTCTAGCCTCTGACGTCTCTGACAGCCGTGCGTATCGTGGCCTCAATCAAGGACGAGGATGGAGATGATGTAAACGAATTAGGATCAAGTATATGTATATGCATTGAATGTTGCTATTGCAAGGCACGGACAAGTCCGTTAAAGGTCATAGAAAAGATGAATATAGCAATGAAGGGGGAAGATGAAAATGATGATACAAGGAACAAGAATACAAGAGACAAGAATACAAGAAACAAAAATAATAAGAATCCAAGATCCGATTAGGTATGTGAGGGGGGATGACGGAATTAATTGGGTTTCCTACTAGGTAGGTAATAATGTAATGAGGTAACGGAAGAAGGTAAAATGTAAATAAACCTTAGGGAAGTAGGGGAAGAAGTAGTGGGAGTGAGTTGGTCCGAAGCAGACAACCGCCGATCTACCTAGGATGCACGGCGGGAATCACGACGGGAATCAAGAGGGGGAGGGAAAGGCTGCTTTTTTACTCTGTTAATGCCCGTAAAGGAACACAACTTACATGTGCGATGTACAATACGCGATGGTTTGGTCGCCTGCGTAAATAAATGCGAGAATAAACCGGTACAACAACACCGCGTATTAAAAAGGTTGGCGATGGCTTGAGGTGGTGTTGTGGTTGTTGTGGTTGTTGTTGTAGTAAAGATAGTTCAGGTAAATGGATATAAGATGGATAAGACGGAGAAAAGTAGGTGTCTAAGGGATCTAAAATGGACATGAGTTTGACGAGTTGACGAGTCGAGATCGTAAGAATAATGGGGCCGTTAGTGCACTAATCGAAGCGGCAATTAGCAATGCAGGCAGATAAGTTGGCCTCGCAAGCTAAAACGAAAGCACGCCTTTGGTGTGTGGGGGAGGAACGAGTTAAATGGGTGGGCCTTCGACTTGGGAGCCTGGGAGCTAGCAGTCTAGAAACAGTCTAGGTATGTACAATATCCTAGTGACAGTACTAATAGTACTAATCACACTCACTAATCAATAGGCTGGTGAAACAAACTTCGCGCTGCTTCGATGACGGATTACTTTACATACCTGTACATGTAGTACCTACCTACCTACTAAGGTACTTTTAGAAGCGGGGACAATAAAAACCGGGAGAAATAAGGAATCGAGGGTCCTAATTCACACTCCCTTTACTATATAGTCCATAGTATATTTTATGTCGCAGAATCACAAACGAGGCTATCGTAAACGAGCAGGTAGGTACTCGTTACCTACCTCTAGTTGTTGCAGTTGCCTACCGAGGTACCTAACCTAAGACATCATAGTACCTAATGGTACCTATTTATTTATTATGCACGGTGTCACGGTAGGTATTAGCAGCCACGCAGCTACTAGTTTGATCCAAGCGAGCGAACTGTATATATTGGAAGTGAATGACGTTGGGTTATTGCCTTGTGTACGTACGTATATCGACGATATGTGACGATGGCACGCTTATGAATTTTTTAGCAAAATAGGCGCTAATAAACGAGTAAATTAGAAAATCGCAAATACTGAAAATGACAGGAAATACTATGCAAGTCACTAACCACACAACCGGTGGGAGGTCATTGACTCAGGGGAAACCTAATTGCCGCGGAGTTAAGACTAGTAGAGGCGAAGTAAAACGCCACAGCTTCGCGACTTCGCACCATATATCGTGCCTATTAGGTATTCATACATACCTACGTAGGTAGGTAGGTACATCCACGTGTACGAAGTAATATAGCTCTATCTAACGAACGCATAACAAAAGCAATTGGTCGCCTTATCATCTAGAGTACAATATCTTGGATGGAGCAGAGCAGAACACCAAAGTACCCTTGGCTCTCGTATGATCTGCTTCTAACCATAGCGAGGCTACCTCTTATCCAAGTATATTCTCGAATGTACGAACCAAATCTTCGGCCTTTAGCTATGGAAGTTGCCCCGTTCGCCATGTCCGAGGCACTTGTGCCTAAGCTCCGATCTAATTACTTACTCAACTAATGAGAACTCGCTGCTGTGTTACAAGCTTAGCAACCGAGGTCTAGGTATTCTTTTATAGATAATATCCCCCCATAAGTGCACGGTCTTTATGCCTATATGGCGTTTGGATACAGTACCTGTTACAGAGGGGGGGTAGTCCTGGCGAAAATAGTCAACCATCTGAATAGACATCAAGCCGGTACGATGTAAGTTTCCCAGGAGAAGTGTGTTTTTGTTGAAAAAAAGAAAAAAAAGTTGGAGAAAATGCTCTCAGAACTTTGGCTTGATGCAGTTCAACCCTACCGAGAGCACTAATACCTTGGCTGTTACGATTGATCGTATCAATACCACCTTACATATCATCCGTCCTATTCTCCCCGTGTCCCCGGGTGGTGACGCTTGGTGACTTAGTGGATGTTTTTTCTATACTATGAGGCTCCTCCTTCGTTTTCCATTAAGCATGTCCGGCCATGTGTTAGGTCTCTTCGACTTGCAGGTTGATAGATATCAGCTGACTATGGTTAATGATACATTTCCAATTATCACCGCATTACCTCAGGGCAATCTTGAGAGGTCAAATCTAGCTTCATATTCATACAGCTTACCCGTGGCTGGTGGATTCGGCATGCCTTGGCTTCTCAGCATAATATCAAATACCAGGGAGTAGCTTTTGACCTTCTGAGTACGCCCAATGCTTATCCGTTACTGGATGAAACGTGATCGAAGATATTAAAACGATGCTATATCGAGCCCAAAGCAGAATATCTACTCTACGACAAGACTTGCTACGCTGTAGGGCTTCAAATCCAACCATGCTAGCATATCTCCTCTGCAGCATTGCTATGAACAATTAGAGGGAGATGGCCAATGGAAGTACTTGCCGCGATATCCACCACGATGTTACGGCTTTGGCTTTGCTTAAATATGATCCCTTGTTATGACCGTTACCTCCAACCAAGCCGGAGGCCCAACCAGCAGTAACCACAACTGAAGTCCATATGTTCTGCATATGTACGACAGCTATAACTTGGGGTGTCTTACGAGACTGATACTATGATTTATTATTAGCTAGCTGTGTTCTCCACGCGTTGCGGTAGGTGTGAGTTATGGAACGGCCCTGCAACTTACGTTGCTTATAGCTTGACATATTCCATTATATAGGTACCTGGTACCTACCTAGGTACTCAGGCTCCAAGCATGAAACCAATTGTATATAATGCGACACGAATCAACCACAACTCTGGAAAATAATTGAACATATGGGCGATGTAATACAGATACATAAAAAAGAGCTCACCATACTACCTTAAGGAACGCCCAGCTACGAGCTATATCGTAGTCCTGTCTACAGGGTAAGACAGGTCCTCAGTTACCTATCGGCTATCTCTTCTCGCCCACATGTACTAATCAGGGACATAGAGGTAGGGTCGTGGTTGCGCTGCGCTTGAATGCGCGCCATTATAGGCCAAATGTAGCATTCTCCCCAGGCCAGCATTGGATCGGCAGTAAGAGCAAGATCGGCAACGGCGAATTATAGATTTGCCCAACGGTTTCATAGCGCCGGATGTGCAGTGTGAGGCTTCTCATTGGCTATGATCGTAATAACGAAAACTTGACCAGTGTGGAAATAGACAAAACACACTGAGCTAGCTAACCAACACATAGGAGGCTTGTAGGTTGAAGATTTGGTTTTTAAAATCCACGTATAGAGTTACACAAGGCAGTTCATCTGGCAGAGTATGGTGGCGGGTTGGCGGATTGGCGAACTCGCGATACCGGAGGCCGTAAGGGGGAGCAGCAGATAGGAGTCTGGGCATCCGGGGCATGCTATACCAAGCTTACTAATAAAACATAGTCTCCTCTCTACTGGGCTGCTGGGACAAGCGGACAACGTATGACAGATGACGGATAACAGATAACACTGTGATATCTTTGGGATCTCGGTCTGCCGTGTGGAATCTCGAGGTGTTTATACGAGCTAGGCAGAACCAAGTGACTGGCAAGACCAGCTGCAAGGCCGTAGCGGAGTTTTGAAGAACCCATCGTCAAAAATGGACAAGGATCATACAGGCGATGATTCATGCTGTCGATACGTGTAAAGACTGGTTGGTGAAAGTGATGGGAGGAGCCTGGACTGTGCTGTACATTACATTACAGTTGTACTCGGATGATTTGGACGTGATTCTGCATGCGGAGACGCCCCGGCCATTGACTGATTATTAGTGGATGCCCATGGATGGGTGGATGGATATACCTAAGAAAAGTACCGCTTTAAGCTGGCTGGATTGGGCGGGATATTGTGTTTGCGGAATAGGCCTTCGAAGACCAATTCTCGCCCAGTGTAAGAGGGAACACACAGTACCTGACTGCAATGTATACACATACGTCCGGCTCTAGCCTCTATCTAGCACATTAATAATTAATACAACGAATGAATGTATGCGATGGAGAATAGGTACGCAGGCAAAAAGAGGAGGTAATAAGGACCTCAAGAGGGACGTTGAACGAAACACCTACCTAGTAGGTAAGCTATTTGAGATGTATGGAAAAGGGATAAAGGTCAACGCGTAATACACATACGTATTGGTAATTGGTATGTCCGTCCATATCAGGTCCGGTAAAGTAGTAAAAGTAGTTGTTGTAACAATATAAAAACAGCAAACGGGCAGAGGAGAAAGACTTAAGGCCTTATTTGCTTAGGTTAGGTTAGGTACTTAAAGTGTTTAACTACCTAAGGTAGTTGCGTTGTTATATTTAACGATTGACGCAAGTTTCGAGAAACAGATTGGACCTCATTGATAAGATTTAGGTAGGTACTCGGGTCGTTTGTACCGACATAGTGGGAATACCAAAGAAGTATACATGTTACCAAGACGCTAAGACATAAATGCAACTCAGCCCATTGGCCCCAATTGGAAGAATAACAGGGGAGGAAAGGCGCAGTGACCACCTTCACAATACTTAGGTAGCAGTTATTAAGTCGCCGTCATTGCATGGTAGGTACCTAGGTAGGTAATCATCATAGTGCGGTAGAGGATGAATACATTACTGTATTGTACAATACATACCAGCAGCATACCTAACGGACCTACCTGCCTACCTAGAGAAGGAGCAAGCATTTCAGACTCTGATCTGGACTGGGTTCGATTTGGGTTCGACTGGGTTTGTCTCCGCTCTGTGCTTTCCAACTGCTACGCTACCTCGTCCCCACTGTATTGTATCGATTGTACATAGTACTGTAGGTACCTAGGTATGTATCTTGTTATGTAGGCATTTTATGTATTTTATGTAATTCATACTATGTATGGTCATACATAATTTCATGTACCTAATATCTCATCGTAACTCGGTATTTTTTCAGTTAGGTATTCTAGCTTCTAGGCGTTCTGGTGATATATTCTAGGCGTTCTAAGGTTGTAACTCTTGTATTGTATTGTACCTTGTCTCTCCACTAAGGCACGACTCCACTACCTGTACCCTCAACCTTACACCAAGTCAAAGCAGGCCTACCTGAATCCTGACCTGACTTCAGAACTTCCAAATATTAAACCCTTTTGGCTTGGCTTCTATCCCATCCAACAAAAAAAGCCCTCCTTGATACTACATCACCTAGAGAAAAAAAAGATAAACACGTTAAACCCCCCTCCGTAGTGCTTGTGAACACCTCTCACAAGCCTCGAGGCTTTTCTATAAAAAGTTGTTCTTGTTTTTTCTTTCTTTTTATTTTCTTCCTTACCGTTACAGTCTTCTTTTCCTCTGGCCTGACACCTCCGAACCTGGCTCGACGAAAAGAGACAACCTTCCATCGTTTTATTTTAGGGGAAAAAAAGGATTCTGGGAAAAATAGGCATACTGGCTTCTTAATTGATTTTATTCACTAACTTTCCTTTCTTTTCTGCACCGCAGGCGGTTATTTCGCCTTTAGGTTTTCGTTCATCGAGGAAGCCCGTCGTTCGATATTCCCATCCGCCAATCCGAATATCGCATGAGATCCATAACCATCACGACGCCTCCGTCGTGCCCAAGCACAGCTGTCAGCTCTACCAGGACGCCCGCCGCCACCCCTCTCCAGCTTTGAGCCCTATATTTCATTCTTTATCAAGGCTAGCGCACTTTAAACAATAAACCATTTTCAACATGGTAGCTGCTGTCCGCCGAAGAAAGATGATCGGCCATCGCCGACGGGTGGAAGATGAAGGCGAGGATGAAGGTGGTTTAGATCAGCTCGATATTGATGATGATTCCTTGACTGATGGGTCAATGGCATCTGAGGATCCCGATCCGGCTGACGACAGCGATACTAGCAACGTTGATGAGGCTTCACCAACGACACCCTCTGCTCCAAAGTTGACCAGCCAAGCAACTAATGGTAACGGCAATGCGAAGAGGACACATACCAAGTCCTCCGGCGGTCTTCCGACAAAAGGCGCTAAAAAGACCGATGCAAATGCTGTATCAGACACTGAATTCATGCTGAACAATCTGAGCATTTCAGACGAAGCTGCTCCGGTGCAGGTACTGAATTTCGAAGATTCTGTGGAGCCCTCATCCAAGTCCTCGGCCCCTATAGTGGTCAGCTCAAATTCCGCCGTTGCGAATCCAGATTCCTCGCAAGACCGGACTGCCGATCCCCGGCGGAAGGAGCACGAAGAATATAAGCGTAAACGCGATGAGACTCCATGGTTTGTTCCCAACAGAGGCGCTTTCTTTATGCATGATCACAGGCATGCTGGCCCTGCTGCCAACGGATTTCGCCCTTTTGGTAGGGGTCCTCGGGGGAGAGGTCGTCCTGGTATTGGCGGTCCTTTTCCGCCAATGGGGTATGTTACTTCTAGCCAGCATCGTCCAGTTGTCTCCTTAGCTAATAGGAATAGTCACCAAATTCATAGTTCAGCTGATCCAACAACAAATGGCCCTTGGGCACACGATATGCACGAAGCGGTTGCACAACCTATACATGCCCGACAACCACGACCGTCGTTTACTGACGATGGCCCACCGAACGGCGATGGCTATATTCCCACTTGTGCTGCCAGCACCACACCAATCAACCGGAACATGGCAACGGAAAAGCATGTTGGCAATGTACAGATTAGGGTCTACTTCCCAGGAATAAACGAGCCCATCATCTTCCCCGGTATACAAGTACGACAGTATACAAAATTACCAGACCACCGGCCACCCTTGAGACGGGATAAGCCTGTCCGTATCTCTCTACCTAATTTTGCTCCCCGATATATCTTTCCGGCCACCGACAGGTCTTTCATCTTTATACCCCGAGCAATGCGACCAAACCAGCGATTGCGGGGCAAGCCAAGGTCTGGTCTCGGATCTATTGGCGGGTTTTCTAGGAGAACAAGCGTATTTGGGGGGAGTGTATACGCTGGTAGTGCGTATACGCCGAGTATTGCTCTTAGCCGACGATCTTCTATTGCCCCTGATCTAGGGAGGGATTATCTTGTATCCCCCACCGGTTCTACCATGTCGCGGCCGCCATTACCGTATGATGCTGCACGTCCCGTTGTCAGACTTCCTCCACAGGGTCGACCTGAACAACAGCTTCCCACTGTCGATGGGGCATCAGCAGAAGGACAAGCAAGAGTCGGTCAGCCCGCTACGACTGACCCCTCGACACAGCAAACGCAACCTGCAACCCAGAAGCCGGCGTTCCAAGAGAATCGGCCTGTGCCCATCCCTATGCACCAACCTCGACCACAGAAGACAGTCTCGGTAGCCGGCATTGAGTCACCAGAGATGCAGCACAATCCGTCCCAACCGTACCAGCAGGCCTTCCACCAGCAAGTTCCTGTTCAGGTGTCTAATAGCCTAGGTCAAGAGTCTCACGCCCGTCATCCCTCGTACCAGTCTCAACATTCAACTGGCACGCCACTCTCCCAGATTCCAGAGCGTGCCATCCACGCTGCGCCTTTCCAGCCAAATCAATTCCCCCAACAGAACTACTACCAGCCTTACCAGATGATGCAACCCCCGCCTGGTTATTATTACCCGCCTGCTACTTATCCAGGCGCATTAGCTCCCTCTGCCGCTGCACCTGCGTTCGTCCCGGGAGCGCAGCAACCCCAGCCTCAGGGCGAGGCCGCTACCAGTCAGCCAACTGGGCAGAATACACCTAATTCCAACTTGGTCGCTCAGGAAGTAAACGGAATGGTTTACTATTTTGATGCGTCTCAGTTGCCCCCTATGGCTGCGTATAACCCTTACCCAGCCCCCCAGGGTTATCCGATGCCTGGTGGAGTGGTTGGTATGAATGGTATGGTTACTCCGAGCCCGGATGGCTACTACTACCCCCCGTCAGGACCTGGTGTTGTCTACTACCAGCAGTGAGCTATTTACACGCGGCCTCGGCAATGTTGCATCGATCACCTAGTTATGGAACGCGGGATATACTCGGTCGTGCGGATTGGCACGTTAACGGCATTGGTTAGCTTCAGCGTAGGTCGCTTAGGGCCTTGGTCTGGCTATGGCTCATACGTATTATGGCATTTCCTGCTTCACACCCATCCTTTGGAATACCACGGCAATATACAAGACTCCATCCAAACCCTCCATCTCAGCGGTACTATAGTGATTTCACAAGAGCTTAGTCTCATTAAACCTGTCCTAGAATTGGTATCGTGAGCTGGTGGCATTATTCTTCCCTCGCCAACCCAACCCAACCCAACCTAGCCCATACTTTTCTTCCTAACCTAAACCACCTAACCACCATCAACTTCCCTTTTTCTCCTCGTCTCTAGCTCTTTTTGTGTTTCAAGGAAAGGGGCCCCCATACCGCATAGGCGTTCGGTGGCGTTTTTTGTGCTTTGCTATGCTTTGCGTTGCGTCACGTCGCGTTGCCGTTCGAACATTTACTACTACTTTTCTGCCGCTACTACTATTATTGCCCTGCCTTTTTTCTTCCTTTTATTTGAACTGCTCCTGCTTTTTTTGTTTCGTTTCTATCGCGTTGAACGAAGCGAGCTGAACCATTTGCCGTCTGCTGTTGTTGTTGCCGTCGGCTCTCGGGGAAGAAAGATGATATGCATTTCCGTCGTTGGCAACGAGTGAGTGCTATGGGAAATTCTTGTTGTTTTTTTCCTCCGTGCGAAGAGAAGAGGAACGGGAACGGGAACGGGGAGGGAGGGAAGATGGAAGTTATTGCGGACGGCAGCAGAAGGGGAGGGGAAACGAAATGATTGGCAGTAGTAGGTTAGGAGGTACCTAACTCAACCTTGCGTTAGAGATCTAAGGGGAAGAAGCCAGAGACGGAATCGCGAAGGCAATTGTCGATCGACGCTTGATTTCACCGACTACATACCTACCTACCTAAACTGATTGCCACGATAAATAGCGGTGATGGAAAGGGACGAGTTGTGTGGCCTTACTTACCTGGTAGTGCAGCCGGTTGCGGACGTAGGAAACCTAAATTATTCAACACTCCCCCTTCTGCTGCCTGAGTCTTGCTCTTGGATATAATGTAATGTGATGGTGATTTATGTTCATGGTCCTTGTAATGCCGGGGAAATAATTGCTACAAAACCAAAACCCCGAGGTAGGGCGAAGTATCAGAAATTAAGTAGTACCTAAGTATATTCAGAATAGGGGTAAAAAGTAGTGCAGTTCCATTCTGTCTGGGTTAGGTTCTTCTAGTCTACAGGACCAGGTCTATGATCAAAATTCTTAACCTCCAATCTACATCTTAAACCGGTTTACATACCTAAGGTACCATCTTAGTTCGGAGACTCGACCCCCTTTCCCGGCATACCCCTTTCTTTTCCTTTCCTTTCCTTACCTTATCCTCGACGACGAGGACATCTCAAGCGTTCTACTGGGACTCGCCTTCCGGCTGAGCTTCTTCCTCGCCCTTCGACACGAGATCGATGCTGGGGACCCATTTCTTCTCTCCACCTCCGGAGTCGTCGTCGTCGTCGGGTGGAGGCTCGAGGTTCTGAGATTCTTCGATCTTGGGGACTAAGCCGAAGCGCTTGTTTCCTTGGTCCCAGATCTATCGGGTTTGGAGCGACGGCGAGTTAGTATCTTTTCATAACGAGTGTGTTGTACGTAGAAGCATAAGAGATGGATAAAAGAGACAACCTAAAAAGAAAAAAAAAGGAGGGAGACGCGACGAGAGGGTTGTTATTTGAGTATAGGTTAGGTTAGGTTAGGTACTTACGGCGTAAACGCTCTTCAGAAAAGTATCGCCGAGGATATCGAACGGCATCATGCCGCGGCTCTGGATACCCCCGTACCAGTACTTCTTGTCGTCCGTGAGCGCGAACGCCAGGTCCTCCTTCTGGATGAGGAACTGCTTGCCGCCGACGGCCACCTTGACCTCGGGCATGTCGTCGGCCTTGACGCCGACGGGGAACACGTAGCCCTGGTTGAACCAGTCGTACGACGCGCCGGGGATCTGGTCGTAGATCTTCTTGACGACGGCGTCCGCCACGAGCGCCAGCGTGGTCCCCGTGTCCGCGATCGCCGTGTTCCCGCTCAGGTCGACGGCTTCCCCGCCGACGCTGTACGACTCCGAGGGGACCCGCCAGAACCCGTCCGCGTTGTCCACCTCGGTCCAGTGCACGTCGTGCCCCGACTTCTCGACGAGCTCCGAGTCGACGAACCCGAACGTGTAGAACGAGCCCGGGTCCGCGTCCCGCGAGCTGTAGAAGGCCGTCGTGAACAGCTCCGACTCCTTCGGGATGTCCTCCTGCTCGATCATGTTCTCGACCGGCGTCGCCTGCGGGTCGGGCAGGCCCGAGTCCGTCACCGTGTTGATCTTGCCCCAGGCAAGCCCCAGCAGGCCGTCGCTGGTGCCCTCGGAGAACTGCTTCGACAGCTTTGTCGCGCACTCGACCGTCTGGTTCTTGATGGTCAGACCGCCCACGGCGAGCGTGTCGCTGCCGCAGTCCCCCGAGGCCGTGGATCCGTCTCCGTACTGGATCTTCCAGCTCTTTCCCGAGAGCGTCTTGAACGATTTCGACTTCTTGGGGTCGAAGGCGTTGTGCTGGGATATGTCGGACTTGTGCTGGAGAGTCGAACGGACCTGAATGCAAAGGTAAGGTACCTAAGGTTAGAATAGAAGAGGCTCGAAGGAAGGAAGGAAGGAAGGAAGAATGGTTTCAACGAACCCATGTATCGGCAGAACCGGTGTCGAAGTCTAGCAGCAGTTTCTGGGGAGGTGTGCCGATCTTGACCTCGCAGATATACATGCTGTCGTTCTGCCGATCTTCTGCCGTGACTTCTGTCGTCTGGCCGTCGTCTTCGGGGTTACCTTTTTTGACCAGGGTTCGTTGCGTATGAACGGTACCCCCGAGGGCTCCCTTGAGTTCTTCAGGGAGGAGGCCGTGCTGGCGGACTTTGTCAATGTGGAAATAGGGGCCCGGTATGGTAGGTTGAAACCCGAAACGGTTCAACGCGTGGACATACGACTTGGTGCCGTGACGCTTGTAGTTTTGGTTGTGGATCACTTTGACCTTAGATAGGCCAAGGTCCTGCTTGACCTTGCTTTGTGCAGCGTAAATGGCATTCATCGTGGCTTTAGGTTAATATGATCTAGTGCTGCTGAAACTTGTTGATGCTAGATAGTCTTCTATAGGGAATGGGACTCTTAGGTGTACGCTAATTAAAAATATAGGTTAGGTAGGTAACTATTTTGTGATATATATAGGTATAGGTTAAATCATGAGGATGAAGAATGATAGAGAGGATAATCGACTGGTTAAGAATGAGACGATTCATTTTCTAAGCAATAACGATTATCTCCTTCGCTTTCGCTTTCTACATTAGAGGGAAGTAACGGTGAAACACCCATAAACTATAACTATTTAATAAAGGATGCGGCTATCAGGCCATATTGGATCATCTTGATCCTAATGTAAGGAACGTGTTGAGAAAGGAGGTACAAATATGAACATACTTCCTGCTGAATGCGTACCTAATGAGGCATCTTATACAGCTTGTTTCGATATTGTAATCAATATAGCAACTGCTTAATGATATACCTACACCGTAGTCACAAGCATTAATTCGAGTGATGTTCAAGGGAGCTACTACCGTGAGCACCACTTTGTTATAACTCAAACCATCTGGATAGGAATGTACATTAACATGGATAATTCCGGTAATATGAGTAGAACTTGACTATTTGTCGGATATGTGGAACTTTGTACCTCGTAGGAGTTTGAAGTCTATGTTGAACACGATCGAGGCTCGGCTGCACAGGACGGATATAGATGCGTGTTTTACCAGATACTGTAGCATATGAAGGATGTCACCATCACCACGGATATCAAGGTCTAAGCAGCTACTACTCGAGACTCGCAGTAGAACGTCAATTGCGACTGTGCTATCCACAATGTAATCTTTCCTGCGGCACCTGCGCCTTTTTCCCCGCCTGCACATATGTCAGTTTCCATCTTTGCTAATGGACAATAGTTGCAGACGTACGAGAGCGACACACACCTCCCGAAATACAATTTCTTCAGGAATCTTGCTCGGTGCACCGCTAATGAGATAGACCAATAAGTAAAGGCGACAACCTCAGTTATCCTTTTATGTCCATGTTGAATATAGGCATTTCCTTGACGGCCTACATCAAGTTCTAGGATTTAGTATAGCTTCACTCTTCCAAAAACAAATCCCCGAAGACCATTGCTGATCCAGCATTCTTCGCCGTCGACCAGTGAATCAGCAGGAACGACTTCTTCGACAGCAAGGTTTCTTTTCAAGTTAGCACCATTGACTTGTTATTTAGACAAAAACCTGGTGGTAGCAAACTTGGGAATACCTTTCTAGAGCCCATCTTCTTGTTGTGCCGTCGTTTCCGCCGCTCCCTTCAGAAGCGCGGTACTGCGTGGGGATGGGAGGCGTCACCCATCTTCCATCTCTCCAGAAATAGGAGGTGCTGATACTACCCTCCATAATATGCCCGTCGTTGTTAATAAGAAGCACTTCCTTCTTATCACCTAGATTAATCTGGGTGCGTTTTCTGGCTTCATTATACATGTCTCTAAACGTGGTTTTATAATGAGTGAACTCGGATTTGGCAGTCCTCTGACTATCCAGAAAGATGTCGTATACGGGCTCTTGGGTTGGGACTTTATTATCTTGTTGGTCTGGGTTTTTATTACCTTGGATCGGTAGGTGCCCGGGGAACAGATTTGCTAGAGGCGTTTCTGGAAGAGGAGAGATCTGATAATCCAGGCTCCCATCTCGAGCTAGGCTCAGCATTATTCGATGTGGACCGCCGCCGACTCCAATAGTAATGTCCTCGAGAAACTCGTGTATGTACTTCAAGCCTTCGTATCCAGAGATGCGAGTTATAGCGTCTGACCATTGCCAGTGGACAGCAGCTCTCAGCATGCGATCTCTATGTAAGTCAAGCATGTAAAAGGGGGAGGGATTCTGATTCCATCCGACATTGGTATATCCCGACTCTGGGGCTTTTAAGAGAGAAGGATCATATCGTATGGAAGTAAAAATGTGAAAATCGACCATTGTGTGTATAAGGTTAGGTATATATATTATATATGAGATTGAGGCTAGTTATGATATTCTTACTAGCTTCATTGACGATCCTTAAGGGAGGAGTGAAAATAATGCTATGTAGATATGATATTGCCTACCTAAGGTACCTGGTAACATCATATAGGTATACTTACCGAGTAGGTACATGGCACTAACAAAGATATATCACCCGGGATAACGAATGTGACGGCTGGGTGGGTACACGTATGTACATATGTACATATATGCGTGCACACATACATAATGTACATAACATACATTAGGTACCTAGTGGGCGTTTGAGACATGAGGCTGCTGGGTTTGAGCATGTACGCATGTACCAGGTAGTGACCTAGTGCAAGGTACCTCCATAGGTACCTTCGGTAAGGTACAATACCTGACTGAACCTATTAGAACTTAGAAGTACGAAGTACGGCATGTCAACTTCGGGAGTTCCAACTGCAAGTTTGTACTAGCCCTAGTCTGTACTACATTGAACGTCCATAAGTCAAAAGGTAGGCAATGTATGCTTACATAAACATACCCTGTAGTACATTGAAAAGATAAGACAACGAGGGGAGGGCTGGAACTTGGAAGGGATGGTATGGTGGGCTGTCTGCCTATGGAGCTCTCCGATTGATGACGAAGTTTTGATTGTGGGCCAACCAGGGTCGAAAGCTTTAAAGCACAGCGCATGTTAAACTGGGTCTCACTAAAAAAAAAAAAAAACGTACTATGGGATTATATTGTTAGGTCAGGTACTTCTGTACTTTTGTACTCATTGTAAAGTAAACTTTTTTTTTGCGCTTGCAAAGTGTTTTCCGATCGGTAATAATAAATAAACTTACTGAATTTTGATAAAGCTTCCTGGCACAAAGCTGCCCGCAACCCAAAAAAATACAATACCAAATCGTCATCACTATCATCCTTCACTCCATTTGTTTGTATCTGTGACTTCGATTGGGCCAAGCAAACCTCGACTTATCAAGTCGTCCTTTTTTTTTTGTCGTTTCTGGTCACCCTTGTTGCCGCACTTGTTCCCCACCTCAAAATCAAAATCGACGACATCCGTCCCATTCCACCGTAATGTCTCGTGCTTCCGCAGCTCCGCCGCCGATGCCTCCCTTATCACAACCTGTTGCCATCCCCGTAGAGCCCTCCCTATGGGATCGCTTTACCAATTGGGCATCGGATAACAAAGGACTTGTCTATACTATTGCTGGTGTAGCTGTTGTTGTCACTAGCGCCGGTGTCGTCTACTACCTTAACGGTGACGCTGTAAGTCTGTTTGCTTTTTTTTTTTTGGTCTATATATATACCTAATATATATAATAATATATTTATATTTATGTATAATATATTATATTATATCCCATCTCTATAACAAGTACCAAAGCTCACACCCTTGCCTAGCAAAAGCAGCGATCTGCGCAATCTAAACCCAGCAAGAAAGAGAGACGGAAACGAAAGGAAGCAGAGCGCCAAGCCGAAGCATCTAAGTCTACCTCTGCGGGTGACCAAGCAAAAGCTCCGACGGTGGACGCGGTCGATGAGTTACCCGAGATCAACGAGGATACTGTCGCTACCTTCACCGACGAGCAGCGCCGCGACTATGCTTTGCAGTTGAAGAATGCTGGAAATAAAGCTTATGGAAGCAAAGACTACGACCGAGCTATTGATCTCTACTCTAAGGCCATCCTCTGCAAGCCCGATTCTATCTTCTACTCTAATAGGGCCGCCTGCTACAACGCCCAATCTGTCTGGGACAAAGTTGTAGAAGACACGACTGCTGCTATTAACCTAGATCCTACATACGTAAAAGCCCTGAACCGAAGGGCCAATGCTTACGAGCATCTATCCCAGTTCAGCGAATCGCTCCTGGACTACACTGCCAGCTGTATCATCGACGAGTTCAAGACCGAATCTAGCACCAATGCCGTCGAACGATTGCTTAAGAAGGTTGCCGAACAGAAGGCTGACGAAATCCTGAAGGCCAAGGATCCTAACAAGCTACCCAGCCCTACCTTTGTATCCAACTATATTCAAAGTTTCCGAGCGAAGCCGCGTCCCGAGGGGTTAGGGGACGATGTGGAACTACCGGAATCGACTGGAAAGGGGCAGTTGCAACTAGGGCTGAAGGCTATGGAGAAGCAAACCCACGAAGGTTATGAAGAAGCCGCAAATGCGTTCGAAAAGGCGCTGGAATTGGGCGACCTGGGTGAGCACGAGGCCCTCGCTTACAACCTGCGAGGTACGTTTAGAAATCTACGTGGGGCGCAGGAGCAAGCTCTGCAGGATATGGACAAGAGTATCGAACTCGATCCGTCGTACACTCAAAGCTACGTCAAGCGTGCAAGCATGCACCTGGAAATGGGTAAGTCACAGGTGTTACCGTATCACGGGAAGGACGACTGAAAACTGATCTGATGGCAGGTGATCGAGCGAGTGCTGCTGCGGACTTAGAGCAGGCTTTGAGCCAAAACGATAGCGACCCGGACATCTATTACCACCGCGCGCAGTTGCACTTCATCCACGGTGAATTCCAAGATGCTGCTAAGGATTATCAGAAGTCAATCGACCTTGACTCTTCTTTCATATTCTCACATATACAGCTTGGTGTAACGCAATACAAGATGGGCTCCGTCGCGTCTTCTATGGCAACGTTCCGTCGGTGTGTCAAGAACTTTGACAAGGTACCGGATGTGTACAACTACTACGGAGAGCTCCTCCTCGACCAGAGCAAGTATGATGAAGCGATCCAGAAGTTCGACACGGCTATGGAGATGGAGAAGGAGACGAAGCCTTTGGCGATGAACGTACTACCTCTTATCAACAAGGCCTTGGCTCTATTCCAACAGAAGGCCGAGTTTACGGAAGCAGAGAAGTTATGCGAGAAGGCGCTGATCAGTAAGACCATTATTACCCTTAGGAAGATGAGGTGAAAAATCGAATGCTAATTGGTTATACAGTTGACCCCGAATGCGATATCGCCGTGGCTACGATGGCGCAACTCCTCCTTCAGCAGGGCAAGATCACGGAGGCGCTCAAGTACTTCGAGCGGGCGGCTGAGCTTGCGAGGACGCCTGGAGAGATCGTCAATGCGCTCTCGTACGCCGAAGCCACGCGGACGCAGATCCAAGTCCAAGAAAAGTACCCTCAATTAGCGGCTAAACTCCAAGGAATGGGCACGGGCGCGGCTGGTATGGGAGCCGGCGCATTCGCGGGCGCTCGCTAGATTTATAGCAATTGAGCAGTATTTTTTAATATAACGCAACCATTCACACACACACACTCACACAATTGCGCGCGCACACACACATTTAATATAGGGTATATCACTTCGCGACTCTACTTATCGCCCACTTGTTCTATTCTCCCTCCTCCTCCTTCCCCACCGAATTGAGACCAGACTAGGAAGACACGTTGAGAAGTTGTTGAAGGGCGAAATGCATTTTAGGGTTCTCACGGGAAATTACTAAAAAAAGAACCATACGCCCTGGAAATGTCTTTTGCATTAGGAACCTTTTTGGGGGGGGGAGAGGGGGGGGAGGGGGAGGGGAGCTCCCTCCGAGACCTGCAGAACCTAAGGATGAAATCCATTTGTAATTTTTCTTTTCCCCCGTCGTCGTGGTCGTCCTGCTCGTTTTCGTTGTACCTAGTTAGTATTGTACATAGTTTAACGCCTATACTCCTTTTTCGTATTCTTCTGGAAGCCTTATTAGGTACTTTGGTAGAGGTATCTATCTAGGTATCTATCAGAAATGCCGGGACAATGTAAAATGTCGTACCTTTGAATTCGAGACTGACGCACCAGAAACATTTGGTGGTCGGGTAGTTGTTCTAGAGAGATGAGATAAAAAAAAAGAAAAGGGGGGAGGGAAGGGGAACTAGGTAGGTAGGTAGTGGTTGCAGGTTCCGCCCTCGGCCTTACGAAATACGAGGAGGGTGGGGAGAAGAAGAGATCTGCGATTTCTAAGGGGGGTGGAGGGGGGAAAGCATATAACCTAAGGTACCTGTTACTACGATATGTTTCTAGGTAACGTAGAATACATAACCCATTACGAGCAGCTGAACCAGCGTAGGTATTGCGTAGTGCATAATGGATAAGCTGAAAACCCCCTTACTAGGCGAATAGGGGTAAATATAGATAAAAGAAAATAGACGAATACCTATTACTACTAAAACATAAGGGAATAACTAGGTAGGTAGGTACCTAACCTAGCATATCCTAAAATTAGTTATCCAGCCTAATACATATAATACAAAATTCCATTCCGAAGAGTTGAAAGGTTGGCGGGTGGGAATCCGACGAGCTGGTGATGATGATGGTTTTCTTACGCTCCCGCTCCCAGCCCCCCAGCCCTACCCCCCTCGCTCTCTATCCTCTAGTCTCTATCCTCTTGTTCCCAAACCCACCGCCCCTTTCAGACCTTCGCAATCCCCTCGGACCCGGCGCCATGACTAGAGCGCGAACCCAGATCCGACGACGACCCGTCGCTCGACGCGGCGGAAGAGGGGCCCATGGCGGAGTACTCGCCGGCGGAGGGGGGCTCGGTATCCGACGCGGAGACGGGTTCCGCCTCGCCCGCGGCGCTGGCAGCAGCAGTAGCAGTAGCGATGACGACCTTGCCCTTGTCCTTTTCCTTTCCTTTCTCGCCCTCCTTGTCGACGTTGATCCGGGAGATGACGTCGGCGAGCACGTCGCCCAGCTGCTTGACGTTATCGGCGTCGCGCGGCACGAGGTGGCCGAGGCCGTGGTCGTACAGCTGCGCCGAGTCCTGGTCGCACGTGTTGTAGAGCGCGACCGACGAGTACACGAGCGGGTCGTTGGACCCGAACACGTGGCACGTCGGGATCGAGATCGACGTCCCGTGCTCGTCTGCCAGCCGCGCCGTGAACCCCTCGCCCTCGGCTACCAGGGGAGGGCTGCCGGCGAAGAATATCGCGAACTGGGCGGAGAATTTGTTAGGTTATATCGTGTAAATTGGACAGATAGACAGATAGACCGGGCAAGGAAGGGATTTTAATGAATAAATGAATGAATGGATAAATAAATAGAATATACCTTAATACGCCTGGGTATACCCTTCTTCTCCCACCGCCTAGTCTCCTCGGCGCAAATACACGCCGCCATCATCGCGCCCTCCGAGTATCCGATGAGGCCATCGATCTCGGGGTCCGCCTCGATAGTCTCGAATATGCCGTCCAGAGCCTTGCGGAACGGGGTCCAGTCGAACTCGACGGGGCGCGGGGGCTTGAACAGGCGAAGCGTGGCCTCGGGGCTTAGACCGCGGGGGATGTGGTGGACCCGGCGCAGGATTTCGAACGCGTCGCCCGTCCCCCCCGACGTCTCGACGAATCGGTATAGCGGCCGCGACCCGAAGTAGTTCTCCCAGCCCAGCGGCGGTTCCACCTCGTTCGCGCCTTGCGTGAAGACGAAGGTCGCCAGGCCCCGGTCCTCCATGTGCTTGGCAAAGGGACCAAGCTGGACGCCGAAGTTCTGTGCGTTTTTGCGTTAGTACTGGGACGAGATGGCGGTGGCTTGAGGGAGGGTTTACCTTAGCGCTGCCATAGGCGCCAGGCAAGCAGAGGAATCTCATAGTGGTGGAAGAATGTTACGATGATTCGCTCTCTTCTTTTTCCTTTGGCCCGAGTTTCTTTTCCGTCTGATCTATCCAAAGAAGTTGCCTAGGTACGTAAGTGCTGTGGGCGACGTGTTCCTGTGGAAGGGACGCGCATCCAAGCTCTTCTTCTATCAATCGATTGATGGGGCAAGTGAGCAACACCCTTAGTAAGTCTAAATGGCGTAGGCTTGTTGAAGATATATATCATGAGTTAAGAGGAAATCGTATCTCCCAAGTCGCCCTGAGATTGCAGTTAGATGGCCAACTCGCACAACTGCTTGGTACACGTGGGGAGCACCCGTAAACTCACAGAGAACGAGTGATAGGCTTATGGGTGTCCTCCTGGCGGCTTCTTTGAAGGCTGTCTATAAGAACCTGTGTCTGCACCCTTGTTGTTGTTCTAACCCTTAGAGGCACATCGACGTATGTCAAGGCGATGGATATGTGGTGGATACTGTTACACTATCTGGGCGATAGTTGTAGTGAACATCATCCTCGTGTGTTAGCTATGCGGAATTATCCCTATCCGTAGAACCATCAACCTTCAAGGCTGTTGCTGATTAATAATGTTGTAGACAAAACAATACGAGTTGCTAATTTGTGATTGACGGGCTAACCTCTCGTAAGTTGAAGCTTGTGATGATCTGCCCACGGACTTCCGACACTCGTCCAGACTTTGGACAAAGTGTGTTTCTTATTAGCTTCCGACTAAGTTTTGGAGGTGTCTCGTAAAGAGAATGGTGAACTTTATAAGCCTATGTAATAGCTCGTATATGTTGTAAAGTTGGTTTATGATGGATTGTGTGCCAGTTAAGATATTCTGTTACATTGAGTTCAGTCACAAAATACGGCTAACAGGGCGTGAAAAGGAGCCAAGATAACGTGAAGGAAGTACGTATGTGGCGAACAACCCCCCTCCTCCCCCCGCTGCCGTCAAGCAATGGGCAAAAGCTAGCTTATAACAGAATGAGTTTCTAGTTGAGTCGAATATGTAACTGTCTCAAGTTGGGAGCCAAAAGCGGATCAGCTGAACTATCGAAGCGTCGGAAATCATCTTTGTATGATATTATTCGTCCCAAATGGGAACCTTATTATCAGCCAGAGTATCGGCGTCCCTGCCCGTTCGACCTCCGGGTTCCCAGAAAACGTCCAAGGGAATACGCTAGGTAAACTCAACCAAATAGATGGGTACGACATGCTTCAGAAGATCCGAATTATGTCTGGGTTGCGACGGATAACTGATACGAGGTTGCTTCTCTCATTGGCATATATATGACTTTGGCACGTTCGATTTGATTGATCCCAAGTATCGCTGGGGAAATTTCCAGCTGCTACTGCTCGCCATCACTATACCTTCTTTTTCTCACATGTAAAGATGGAGTCAGAGGCGCTGATGCCCATCGCCATAATCGGCATGTCATGTCGCCTCCCTGGCGATGTATCTTCGCCAGGCGACTTTTGGAAATTGCTGACCAAAGGGCGAAGCGCATGGTCCAAGATACCCGGAGATCGATTCAACCAAGAGGCTTATAATCATCCCAACCCGGAAAAGAAAGGAACTATTAACTCACAAGGAGGGTACTTCCTATCTCAGAATCTTGAGATGTTCGACCCTGGCTTCTTTGATATGACGCGCAAGGAAGCCGAGACGATGGGTATTTACTTGCCACCTCTAGAGCTGGCCACGTTAAGCTAACACTCGTTTAAGATCCTACGCAACGTCTCCTTCTTGAATGTTCATACGAAGCACTCGAGAATGCTGGCATTTCTAAGGAGTCTATCTCGGGTCGAAAAATTGGTGTTTTTATTGGTGGCCCCGACAATGAGCATAGGATGGGAAATCTAAGGGATTTAGATGACTCGCCGATGTTCGACCCTACCGGTAGTCAGGGGGCGTTTCTTGCTGGGCGAGTATCATACTTCTTCAACCTATCCGGCCCTGCAATTACTGTTGACACTGCCTGCTCATCAAGTATGCATGCGCTGCATATGGCTGTTCAAAGCATACGGCTGGGGGAATCGGAACAAGCAATAGTTGGGGCCTCTCATCTGATAACTCAACCTGACGTCTGGGTATCTATGGCAAAGTTAAGGTAAGACAGCCGGTGTTCCCATTTCAAGCGGCCAATCGATTTAACAACGTAGGTTATTTGCGGACTCGGGGAAAACTTTTGCGTTTGACCACCGCGCTAACTCCGGATATGCGAGAGGTGAAGGGGTAGGGTGCATCATCCTCAAGCCCCTGCATAAAGCCCTAGAGGATAGAGACTATGTGAGGGCCGTCATCTCCCATACGGGAATTAGCCACAATGGCCGAACAGTTGGTACGTACGTCCCATCTATATATATATTGTTTGTGGCAAACTAACATAGAATGTTTGAAGGCATCGTAGCACCAAGCTCGGAAGAACAGGAGTCGTTACTGCGCAATGTTCTCTCCCAAGCCAATATCGATGCCAAAGACATCGGCTTTTTCGAGGCCCATGGAACAGGTACCAAAGTTGGAGATCCTATTGAGGCCAAAGGTATTTATAAAGCGCTTGGCCAGGACCTAGACAGCAGTGATCCGTTAACGATTGGATCTGTTAAATCCAATATTGGCCACCTCGAAAATGCCAGTGGTGTTATCTCGATTATGAAGGCAGCACTCATGTTAGAAAAGGGGTTCGTTGTACCAAATGCCGACTTCGAGAAGGAGAACCCAGCTATTCCCTTGTCGGACTGGAACTTGAAAGTCAGTTTGTTACATTGAGTATCTCTTGAAATTCTTGAAGTCTTGATAGATGAAATCTTGATAGAACTCGGTGAACTAGGATAGTGCTGACCTCTTTATTCAGATCCCACTGAGACAGCAACCTTTCCCTCGAAATAAGAAGTATATCTGTGTCAACAATTTTGGATATAGCGGATCGAATGGGCATGCAGTCCTTAAAGCGTTACCAGCGGAAAATGAAATTGAGTTCTTGGATCCCGAAAAGTTTGAAGGTCATATTAAAACGAAGCGTTTATTCATATTGAGTGCCAATGACGAGGCGGCTGCGAGGAAAAGCATGGAGCAACTGGGAATTTTCCTCGAGCAGCATGCGGAACTTTATCAAAGTACAATGCCTCGAAACTTAGCGTGTAAGTTTTTATATTGTTCTGTGTCGAAAGAAAATGGGTGTGCTGATATATCGATAGACACATTATGCCAGAGGCGTTCACAGCTGCCCTGGCGCATAGCTCTGGTAGCTGATATGTGCAGCAAGTTGGCAATAGCACTCAATAGCCCGGAAGTAATACCAAAACGTGCGCCTTCATACTCGCCAAAACTCGGCTTCATATTTACAGGGCAGGGAGCGCAATGGTTTGCTATGGGCAGAGAGCTACTGGAGTCTCACGCCGTGTTCGCATCCGCTATCCAACGAGCCGATGAACATCTTCTGTCTATCGGTGCAGATTTCTCACTAATGGAGGAATTAAACAGGACCGAATATAGCTCCCGTGTAGGTATGGCTCATATCAGTCAGCCGATTTGTAGCGCCGTCCAGATCGGGCTGGTTGACCTCCTCGCATCATGGGGAATTAAGCCTTCGGTAGTTACGGGCCATTCTAGTGGAGAGATTGGCGCCGCATATGCGACCGGGGCTTTATCACTCGAAGCGGCAATGTCGGCGGCATATTATCGTGGACAAGCTATCATCACCTTGAAGGATAAATTTCCAGATGTGAAAGGCTCGATGATGGCGGTCGGCATGGGTGCGAAAGACTTACAACCCCTTTTCAAACAGCTGCCTCACCCGCTTCAAGCTGTAGCAGCTTGCGAAAACTCTCCCACCTCAACAACTGTCTCAGGTGACGCTGAAGCCATTGATGAACTTTCCAATCTCATGACGCAAAAACAAATCTTCAACCGCAAACTTTTCGTCGATGTTGCCTACCACAGCCCGCACATGAAGTTAATAGCTGAGACATACCACGACATGATCGCAAATGTTGAGTTAAAGAAAGGAAATGGCGATGTACGATTCTTCTCTTCTCTCCGTTCTCGCGAGGTAAATGCGGACGAGCTTGGTCCACAATATTGGGTAGAGAACTTGACCAACCCGGTACGCTTTACGACGGCCTTGCAACTACTCTGTAAGGAGAGCGAGCCAGATATACTAATCGAGATTGGTCCTCATGCAGCACTCAAGGGTCCGATTATGCAGACTTTGAAGAAGATGCAGTTGCCAGCTTCTAAGACTCCACCATATATCCCGACTTTGGTGCGAGGTCGTAACGCCACTGTGACAACCTTAGAACTCGCTGGCCAGCTATTCGTGCGTGGCTACCGGGGTATCGATTTCTTCAATATCAATCATAACCGCTCCGAGATTGAAAAGCCTGATATTATCCCCTTTCTCTATACGTACCCATGGTCGCACCAGCGGTGCTGGTATGAAAGTCGGATTACGCGACAGCATCGACTCAAACCGTTCGCACGACATGATCTCATCGGCACGTTGACCGACTGGAGCAGCGACTTGGAGCCAACCTGGCGCAATTTTATAAGGCTGGAGGAGCTGCCTTGGCTACGTGATTACCGAATTCAGGACCGTTCTGTATTTCCCGTCTCGGCCTTCATCTCTATGGTTCTTGAAGCGGCCAGCCAACGAGCAGCGGTCAAAGGTTTCGAAGCAGGTAGCTTTGACATGCGCGATATATCCATCCCAGAACAACTATTTCTAGCGGACGACACACCGGTTGAGCTTATACTGGCATTTAAGCCGCATGGTGTGTTCAAACTTGACTGGGACGAATTTCGGATTTCCAGTTTCGACCCTAAACGAGGATGGCTGCAACATTGTCATGGTCTTGTTCAAGCAAGACCCTCGCAAAGCCATACTGAAATGCCTACTTGCTTCAACTCCTTTTTTAATGTCGAACCAGGGAAAAATGAGTCGGCAATACCTGCAGCTGGCTTCTATTTTAACCTGAGTTCTAGCGGTATCTGCTATCCGCACACTTTTTGGAACCTAGTGAGCGTAAAGATGGATGAATCCGGGGCCAGCGCCCAAGGTGCCCTTCAGGATTCAAAGCTCATCATGCCGTTGGCATACGAATCCCCATACTTAGTCCACCCCGCTATGTTAGAACCCCTTTTTCAGATATCACAAGCTGAATTAGGGTTCGAGGGAACCGCAAGCCCACAACTGCCATCTGCCATCAAACAGGTGCATGTCAATATCAGCGACGATTGGGAGAGGACTCCTGGATCTAAATTTATTGTCCAGTCGACGAGAGACGAGGACTCTAGGCCACCATTAGCCGAGCTATTTGCGCCAGCGAATAGCGGGTTTCCTTCCGTCTCTATGCTGGGTTTAGAATTCACCTTGCTTAAAACTGCAACAAGCATGCCGTTGAGTCCTAGAGAGCTATTCTATAAGTGCCAATGGGAGCAAATAAAGGGACGTCATGCTAATGGTGTTAGTCGTATGCATACCCGAGCTCATGGGGAGCGTATAACGATTGTGACAGAACGTGCCCGAGACGACACACTTATAACTTCACTTTGTGAGGTTATCAAGTTACACTACGGAATTGACCCGAATATTTCAAGTCTAATCCGCGTCAAGGATTTCAGTGGCTTTTTCGTAGTACTCTCGGAGCTTGACCGTGCAGTCTTAGCCTCGGCTGATAAGACAGAATTCGAACAAATCCAGTCCATCTTGGTACGAGCTGGTGGCATATTATGGGTAACTTGTGGTGCCTCAAAAGTGCCTACAAACCCAAGCACGAACATGGCATTAGGTCTACTCCGTACGGCACGCTCCGAGCTCGGCAAGATTGCTGTCACCTTAGATCTCGACCCAGATAACACTCTAGATGTCGATGGCCAAGCTGAACTAATTGAAGATGCTTTTAGGAGAACAATTCTCGGAGGCAATCCCGAGACCGAGGCCGAGGTCGAGTTCGCGGAGCAGAGCGGAGACTTAGTTGTGCCGCGTATTGTTGTGGATGATGATATGAATTTACGAGTTCATCGCGAGCTGGGAAATTCGAGGCCGTATCTACAAGAATTTTGTCAACCTGGACGTCGGTTACGGGTGGCTACACACACCGAGGATTCGTTTGACAATATACACTTTGAGGATTCCACGTCCAACGAGGTTTTGGATGACGATCAAGTCGAGATTGAGATTAAAGCCACCGGACTCGGCCAAGATGATGTTATTGTGCACACTAACGCAGATGAGTTTGCAACGCCTGAAAGGTCATGTAGCGGTGTTGTCGTTCGCGTTGGGCGAGACGTTGTCAACATCAGGGTTGGAGACTTCGCGTGCGCGTTAAGCGGTGACCGGCTAGGTACACATACCTGTGTGGCAGCAAATAGTGTCGTCAAGATCCCCCAGGGCATGACTTTCGAAGAAGCAGCGTTGGTTCCATCTGCCTTCAGTGCAGCCTTTTACGGACTCTCGCATGTTGCACGTGTTCGAAAATTAGACCGCGTTCTGATCCAAGTCAACGGCCCCCATGGACTTGCTGCAATACAAGTAGCGCATTACCTAGGTGCCGATATATTTGTCGCTGTCCATGGCAGCGAGCGAAGAGACTTTGTTGCAAAGTCGCTGGGTGTAAGGCCAGAACACGTTTTCGACACTTCTAGCTTCTATTTCAATCGTGACATTCAAGATGCTTCCGGCGGGAGAGGTATGGATGTCGTCTTCACCAGTTCGTCCAGCTTCCCAGCGTCAACACCAGATTTGAGCAGGGTATGGGCAGGTGCCGCGCGCTTCGGACGTATTATCCATGTACAGGGAACATTTCACGCTCGCATTGGTAGCTGGAATACCGGAGCCGATCTTGCTGAGAATATAAGCTTCACATCAATCAATTTACTAAACCTAACAGTTACACGTCCACGTCTCATGAGGGACATCCTCAGAGATGCGTTAGAATGTCTTTCGAAGGGGGCTTTGAGACCATTAAAGAAAGCGATCATATTGCGAATCGCGGGGTTGGGCCAGGGCTTGCGGATGATTCAGCAAGGCACTTTGCATCCGATTATTATTTCTACCCAGAAGAGCGAGAAAGTAATGGTAAATACCATGTCCACCACGGACTTCCTTGATTGGTTCATTACCTGGTGAGTTACTAACGTCTCTGCTAGGCAATGCACCATGTTTCAAGGCGTTTCTTGAACCCCAACGGGACTCACATCATCATTGGCGGTACTGGTGGGTTAGGGCGTAGTACTGCCAAATGGATGGTGAAACATGGTGCTCGATATATCGTATTACTCTCGAGAAGCGGAGGCAAGGCTGGCGAGCTACAACAGCTTATTGATGATGTTCAAGATAGGGCGAACATTATCGTCAGGACATGTGACGTTGCCAGCGAGGATAACGTCTACCGACTTGTGAAAGAACTCGCCGAAACACTTCCACCGATATGCGGTGTGATCCATGCTGCTATGATGCTCCACGTAAGTATTGTGATTCGATGGCAGATTCTCAGTTGAGCCCACATTACGAGAAGGGTATCTAATCGCTGTATTAGGACGGGCTGATTGAAGGGATGACCCACGACTCATACGTGTCGGCGATTCGTGCTAAAGTCAAGGGGACCTGGAATATCCACAACGCACTCGAGTCTATCAACGCACGTCTAGACTATTTCGTACTCTTATCCAGCGCTGCGGGTATTGTCGGTAGCCGTGGCCAAGCTGCATATGCTGCTGCCAACACATTTCTAGATGGATTTGCCTCTTTTAGGGTCGCTCAAGGCCTGCCGGGAGTGTCCCTTGACCTTACAGCTGTTAGCGATGCTGGGTATATTTCGGAAAACCTGGCACGAGAGGACGAGATTATCAAGAATTTCGGTGGACAAACCATCTCGGAAGCCGAAGTGTTAGGACTTTTGGCAGTGGCTACATCCAGCAAATGCGGTACGCAGTGCCTAACAGGCTTGAAGCTTGTTCCCAGTAACACAGACGCTCTACCGTACTATGCAGACGATCCACGATTCGCACACCTCAAAGCGGCAGCGCTTGCAGAGATACGAGCCGCGGGAAGCGATTCTGGACAGGCCATCTCGTACAGGAATGCATTCCGGGCTGCAGCCAACAACGAGGAGGCCCGCCAAATTGCTGTACAGGGGGTTTTGCAGAAACTATCGGAGGTGCTCTCCGTGGCACACGGTGATGTGGATGCTCTGCGAAGTATGACATCGTATGGTCTAGATTCTTTGACTGCCATTGAAGTGCGCAATTGGATCACCAGGGAACTGGGCGCAACTCTGGAGATCCTGGAATTATTGACGAGTGCAAACGTGACGGAATTGGCAAGCCTGATTGTTTTACGGACTAGAACATAAACTGTAGGTATGTCTTTTAAGAGGTAGTTGTCTGTTATGAATCTTTGTATGAATCTTTGTTTGAATATATGGTATATGGTAGGTAATCATCTATTACAGAAGAATTGGGAGATAGGTAATGGAAGGGGACGAACTGCTTCAGAATTATCCATGCACTAAATAAATAACAGTGTGACAGAGATGGTTTCAAGTGGGGTCGCTCGATCGTCCTTTGCATAACTGTGGGTTACACACACCTCATGTAGAATCTAGATGTGTAACCCCTTTTAACTTACATGCAGTTCCCATACTTGTGGTACCTGAGAAGGTATTTCATTACTTCTAGCGGTCAAGTTCCATATGTACCTCACGATTTAGTTTCATGACGATATTCATAAGCCTTAGGTACCTATCATTTCTGGTAGATCTCTTTTTTTGCTATTAATCCTATATGTACTTCGTATCTTGTAACTCAATAAATAAATTTGATATCACGTTTATTTGAGAAGGTTATATCTATATATATCTCGAATCTCCATATACAGATTATCATATAAATTGTTTGCCTCAAGTCATATAAACGAATTAAAGTAAACTTTCTTGTACCTTGATAATCAAAAACGTCGGTAATATCCCCCAGTAATATGCATTAAGACACGTTTTCCAACCGGGTCGAAAAGAGGAGAACAATAGAGAAAATTAGGTGTTTCAACTAATTCCATCGTTTAATGAGACTTAATAGAAGCATGGCTGTTCGTGTCGCGTCCAGCCATACTGTTCGGATACTCGGTGTTTGAGGCTGATTTTATACTGCCGTTATGATTGGTATGCGTGGTGTCGACACTCAATCGGCTCATCTGGCTGGCCATGCTCAAGCCGGTGCCCTTTCTTGTCCTCAATGCCTTTTCCCATCTTTTCTTGTCCTTGATAGGGGCACCGGTGCCACTCAACCCAAGTACCTCCATCAGCTCTGGGATCTCGGCATGATCTCGGGTCGTCCGCATCCGATGACACCATGTGACACGCTTTTCCTCTATCTTGGGGTCTTCGTGATCATCTAGCCCCTCGTTCTCGTCGGGAAGCTCAAGTTGCTTGTTCTCTTCGCTACGTGGAGTGGTGACAGGAGTGTCCAGCGTTAGACTTGCGGGTTCAAAAAGGAACTCTCCGCCCACTTGTTTTTGGTCGCCCATCTTCGTCGCTAAACCTGATTTCACTTGCTTTAACCCCTGGACTACGCCAGAGACGACAGTATGAGCTACCGACTTCCCTTGCATATAGGCCGGTCGGGGACCCAATGCTAAGGTGCGCACCATTCCGAGTTCAGCATATAGACGACGGGTTGGATCAGCATAGACCGGAAAAGGACAACCGGTCTCTTGGATATACGAGTTGATAAGCTGTGGAGAGCCACACCCTATTACAGCGATGAAAGTGCTGACTGGTAACTGCAAAAGAGCCTCTGGAGTAACCGAGGCCGAAAGCGTGCGTAGATATTCTTGGCAATTCTGTGACATGTTGGTTAGCATGGAACGTCTTGGTTAATACCCTTGTAAATGGAATTATTAGTAGCGTACACCACAGAAGAAATGCCGGATAAATATTATGAGAACTCGGCGCGGAGAATTGCGGCCAGCATAGAGGCTCTTAAAACTATGCGACTTCCCATCGCTATCGAGAACGTTGTATGTCTCTATTTTGCGCAGCGTCTCAATGGCGGGTAAGTCGTTCGTAGTTTGGACTTCGCCATGGAATTCTTCAATATTCATTGAAACTCTGGGTTGTGCCAGCAAGTCGCGCTCCTTGTCAGCTGCGATAGATGCATCTGTCGTCAAAGTAGGCTTGGCGCTTTGTGTTAAAGCTGTTTTGTCCACCCCATTTGACTCCCCATTTGACTTATTCGAAGAGTCTTTGGTAGGAACCACCGTTGCCGTTGGCCCGCCTTTCGAAATCGAGAGCGGCCGTGGCTTCTTTTCAGCTGCCATTGTGCATAGGAGGTAGGTACCTGGTTTCAAGGTGATAGCTCGTTAGGTATTGTACCGACAAGTCTACCTAGGTAGGTTGTGGTTGCTTGCTCTAGTTAAGCTTTATTTAAGAGGTAAGGTAGGTTAGGTAGGTTAGGTATGCTTGCGGGTTTGTGTACCTGGGTTAGGTAGGTAACGTGAATTACGAAGGTTGGAACTCGATTAACTTGGCCTATGCAGGGGTGCTTGAAAAAGTGACTTATTGTTGTAATAATAATAAATGCTATGGAAATAAGGGTTTTTATCGTGCTTTGCCAGAAAGAAAGGATAAAGGTAAAAAAAGAGTTTGATAATTGTTGTGTCTTACGAAAGGAGGCGGAGTTGATACTGAAACTCGAGAAGGCGCAGTTTACCTCTTGGGCCAGTGAATGGATGCATCGGTGCATCAGTGCATCAATGACAGGTACCCAAAAAGAACTTGTGTGGTACCTTATGCAAGCAGGTATTCGCCAGCATTTTCCAAGTATCTGCATTAGGTAAGTATGTGCCTAAACGCCCAACTCACAGTAGAATCATGCAACTAAACTTAGTACATGCAGAATACCTACTGTACTACTGTACACATAAGTAGCAGTACGAGGATTGGTAAAGAACCTTGGAAGTTGCTAGGTTTAAAAGAGGTATAGCATTTACAATTGTCTCCTATAAGAGTGTTAGGTTAGGTAATCTTTTTTAAAGTTTGATACTTGCTAGACCTGCTAGGTTAGGAGGTACCTAGGTAGAGGTAGGTATTGCTATCAATTTTAAGCAGTTTCATAGAATGCATAGAATGTAGTAGGATTACCTAGTTCAAAACACCGACCGCAATTTAGGTACCTACCTCGAATAACTTCGTATATACCTAAGGTAATATTGATATTCAGGTACCGCTCTGCATAATTTTAGAGTATCCCAACCACGTGGTTTATGTTTCAAAAGAGGTTGCACCCAATCTAGTATTCTCTGTAACCCGATCGCGTAGCTCTCAAATTAAACATGAACCGTATAAAATTCTTGGCTGAGGCTAGGAGGGTGCAAGATATTTGAGTAGGCGGTAGCCCATCTAAATACTACCTACCTACGTATAAACTACCTCTGACGTATATATCATAACTATATGACATAGAAACGAAGTTTAGGCAAACGAATGTATATTGTATTAAGGGTCAGTATCTACTCAAGTTATCAATCAAAAATGCAGCGAGCTTTAAAGACCTATGGAATACCGAAGCCGACGCAATCGCAGCAGAGTCCTATTGAACGGAGCAGTCCTCACGCTCTAAGGAACAGGCTGGATTTGACGTGATTCCTAGTTGAGGAGCATTATCAACACCACATGCTCTTGCTGGTGGCGACCGTCCTTATCTTCAGCATCGAATCCTGCAGTGGTCACTAGTGTTTGCCACGACGAACTCGTCGCGTGACTGCTTTTTTCCTCCGCTTTTTTCCTCCGCCGTCGGACCAAAAAATAATGAGCTCAACAGCTCATATCACAGTCCCCGATGGACCCCCGATAGGATCGCCCATTGGCGGTAGCTTGAGCTCAACCGCTCCGGTCAGATGGGTTGCGAGTAGCAACTCCCGGAGGAGCAGGGAGGCTCCAAGATTCGCAGATTGTCATGTGCCAGGGCACAAGCTGTCCCAGCGTAGAACTCGTGTTGGAATGACTGCTAATCAAGTGTCTAGAGCTTGCACGGCACCAGGACTCTTTGCCTATTAGGCATACCTGCCCTCATCTAAATGATGATATTGTTATCCACTTGTCATACGCAAATCACTCAAATCCACCGCCAATTTGACTAGCAAAGGCGGTGCTGACCGACTTCTCGTCATCATCATATCGGCGACGGAAACCGTTCGGATAAGCGGGATAGCCAGAGCTCTCTGCGACGTGCTGCTTCAGCCGATCACTCTGAGTATAAGATGTAGGTCGAGAGCGAAGTGCATCGGGAAGCCCAGCTCCAAGACTAGCGCCTCCTTGCCCTACACCTTTGCTGCCAATGACGCTAGCAGTTCCGTCGGTATATTCTGAAGTAGCAACGCTTTCGCCAGCAACACTCTCTGTTCCTCGACCCCTATTCTTACTTCCTACGCGACCACCCGGCGTTGCATTAAACCCTGGAAGGCCAGGCCATTGTTCAGAACTGAAGTTGGAAAACATTGTTGGGAAAGCGGTATTACCAAGCCCGGCACCACCGAGAGCCGAGCTATGAAGACTAGATGTATCGTCGGGAATGAAAGAAAGCATGGAACTCGATTCAAAATCTTGACCAGCGCTTTGGCCGTTGAAGCCAGCCGAGCGACCGTTGGAATATCCGCTAGAAACGTGTGAAACCTGTTGAGGACGGGGGCGGTAAGTGTTCTTAGGTCGGCTAAACTGAAGCAGAGATGTCTGCAAGTTAGTCAAAGGTCCCTCAACGAGACATTTACGCTCCTTAAAGTGTACTAGAAGGTGGTGCCAAAGCTCGTGCTTGGATAAGACCTTCGGGTTGCCGATAATGACAAGGCCGTACTTCGCACGGGTAAGGGCGACGTTCATTCGGCGAGGATCAGAAAGGAACCCAATGCCTTGGTTGTCATTGGATCGTACGCAAGACAGGACAATAAAGTCCTTTTCACGACCTTGGAAAGCATCGACCGAGGCAACCTCGACCTCTTTGTAAGACTCCTTCTTGAAAGTGCCCGTATTCTGCATCGTAGTAACAATATAGCTGCGTTGACCTTCATACGGGGTGATAACGCCAATATCAGATGGCCGTACGCCAGCTTTGAAGAAACGGGTCACGATCTTTTCCACATTAGAAGCCTCAGTTCGGTTGAGGTACGAAGTTCCAGAAGCAGAAATCTCTTCATTGCCAAGATTAGACCAAAACATCATGGGCATCTCAGCAACAGGCCAGGGAAAGTCGACATCTTTACGGATCCTGTTGGGGGCAGAAACACCGTTCTGGAGAGACCCCTCGTAAAACATATTCGATGGGAATTCGGAAAGACAAGGGTGCATTCGGTACTGGATGTTAAGCCGAATGGGTGTGAAACCGAGGCGGACGAGGCGTTCAAATAGTGATTGGTTTAGACCAGCCTTGGCTGCTTTCTTGTTCATTATCACTGGTCCAAGCTGCTTGTGGTCACCGACGAGAACAACCTGCTTACAGCCGAGAACAAGAGGAATCATGCACTCGGGTTCGGCGGATTGTGTAGATTCGTCAATAAGGACATTACGGAATTTCATCTTAGCCAAGCGCGGGTCTCCGGCTCCAACACACGTACAGCAGACCACGTCCGCATTGTTGAGAATCTCGCGCTCAGCAGCGCGAGTCAACTGTTTAAATTTCTTCTCATCCCCGCTTGCAAGTTCGCCAAGCTCGTTCTTGAGTTGAGAAAGCTTCATCAAGTCGGGATTGGTGTCGAGCATGCGCACTTGTTCGTGCAGAGCGAGGAAGCTGACGGAAGACTCGACGTCTTCACGAGACTTCGCTGTAAGTCGGACAACCTTTAGCCCCGTGAGATTGATTCGTTCACAGAGCTGGTCCACGGCCACATTAGACGGTGCACACACAAGGACTTGGCCGTTGTTCATTTTCGCTAGGTGGTAAATAATGGTTGCGGACGTGACCGTTTTGCCCGTTCCCGGGGGGCCTTGAATGAGACTGAGAGGTGTAAGTAGGACGTTCTTGATAGCACTAATCTGACTGCTATTGAGCTCTGGAAGACCCGGTACGCTGAACTTCTTAGGTAGATTAGTCTTCATGGGAGCGACAGCAACCTCATGGCCGAGCAGTTTGTGAAAAATATATCCAGAAACGCTCATCTCATCCACAGCAAAAGTCTTCATAGCAGCCTGCATGCGATCATAAGATGTTGCCTTCCAAACATAATCAGCTGAAAAGTTATGAGTGCATTCCGTCGGCACAGACTTCTCATTTCCCGTCTTGCGCAGCTCTAGAGTAACTTCGTCGGATTGATTATTCGGGATCTTGACCACATAGCCTACTCCTTCCCAGGGAGGGCGAAGTTCACCCTTGTACTTGAGTCGCATCTCATCACCTACTGCGAGCTTGACGTCGCCAGATTCCAGCTTGGGGAATGTGAAGCTCGCAAGATGCTTGTTGTTAAGACCCAAGTCCCATCGAACAACCAGGCCATCCTCAGACTGCGCTTCCTTCAACTTCTTATCGTAGTCGGATTCCATCTTCACGAGAGGACCAAAGATATTCTGATACTGGTACGGGTCTTCGTATTTTAGAAGAACTGGGAGCGGATCGTCGTCAATGCTGGCCGCCTTTTCTAAATCTGCTATAGTGGCACTGGCATTTTCTTTCCACATCTCTTCCAATTTGGCAATCATAGGAGGGGTAAGATGCCGAGCACGGAGCTGTTCATTGTCGCTAGGCGGCGACACAAGCCACGGGAGGAAGCTACGGTCCTCAATTAAAGGCTGCCATCTAGAAGTATCCCAACTCATGTCCTTCGAAGAGGGCGTGGCGGCACATGGCTGGCGGCAAAGCAGTACGACGACGGTGTCGGATTTCGCAGGAATAAATCCAAGAAGGAAAACGTTTTTCGTGCCACAGTTATAACATTCGAGGGTCGTGTCGCCAAGCGTAGACTTAGGATGAAGTTGTACTTCTTTATGTCGAGCTCGAACTAAGTGGTTGACAATATGCGAAGAGCTTGCATTTCCTCGAGCGCTGCAGAACCATTTGCTGCAAGCAAGACACTTGACTACCGATCCAGGAGAATGGATACCACAATACCTGCAACCGATATATTAACAATTTGTTGAGTTTCCCGCTCATAGTCTTAAGGAGACCTACGCGCAAGCATGAGGGGGAAGCTTCTTGTCTTCTTCGGGAGCCTTAAGGTTTAGAGCCTTCATAGCCCCAACAGGGACGCTAGCTATGCTCTCGTTGTCATCGTCGTCAAAAACCTCGGTTTCGTTATCGTCATCATCATTTCTTCGTCTCGCAGTACCTAGCCCACCACGACCGCTATACTTGCCATAGAGAAGGCTCTCATCGGGATCAAGAGTGGAAAGATCATCATCGCCGGCGTTGATAGCGGCAGCAGAATCGGACACGAGGTGGTTACCCAGGTGGGTAAAAGCACCTTCCATTGTTGCGCCGTCGGCCGGCTGTGGGAGCCGGGATTCGGGAGGACTATTTCTTCGTGGCTGGTATTTGTTAACAAAGATATGTCTCAAGAAAGCCTCGTGTACTTAGGCTTGCAGTATATGAAGAATTGAAATACGGCAGATGGGAAATTAACAAGAACAAGAGGGGAAGAGATAGAAGAGTTTCGAGGGTTGTGAAAGGCGGATGGATATTGGAGGGAACGAACAAAAAGAGTTAAGTAAAGTTTAAAAGCTTTCGACAATACCTTACAGAGTTTAAAAATAACACGTGAATCCACGGGTAGGATGTCTCTTTCGTTGCTGCCTTAGTTGGCGCAGTAAGATGATCAATAAGTTAGGTTGTAGAAAGTAACTAGAAAAGAAGTCATCACATTGTGTGGAACTTTGTGAGGTTTTGGAATTCTCAGATTGCGATTAACTTTCGCGCTTGCATCTTTGAACTGTGGCGGGCAGAAATCTACATATGTATGTACCTTAGGTATTGTACCCAGGTATTGTAAGCCTGTAGGAGGTACCTTATATAATTTGGCGGGATGATGGGTCCCCGAAAAACGCCTAGACCAATGACCAAAGAATAACCTGAGCATCCGCCCCCTCTAAAGTCGCACTGGGACTGATAAGCTCCGATATGAAATTTTCCAATTGATGTACGCCAAAAGTCAAGTTCGTGACTTTATAACTGCTTATTCAAATTCTCGCGCGTCGATGGTTGGCATTAGATCTTAGAAACAACTGCGCATCTTTATTTTTTTATTTTTTTCAACCTTTACGATACTCTGCAGGAAACTCAATTGCGGAATACATCTACCCCCAAACTTGCATAGCGCTGCTATACGCCACCATCCGCTGAAATCATGATTGTAAGTTTTCATTTCATTACAATATTAAATACACCAAACCGACTAACACGATCCAAATCCGTAGCGCAAACAAGCCCGACAACGGCGCGATTACCTCTATAGAAGGGCTCTTTTACTCCGCGATTCGGAAATCAGTGAGAAAAGAGCAAAACTCAGAGCATCCTTAGCAACCGGCAGACCGTTAGACCCATCGATTGCCAACGATAAGGAACTGAGGAAAGACTATCAATATGACGAATCAAAGCCGGATAGGAGCGCGAATGAAGAGTTAGATCTTGACGATGAATACTCCCAACTTTCTGGGATAGTTGATCCCAGGGTCCTTGTTACCACTTCGAGAGATCCATCTGCCCGTCTATCGGCGTTTGCGAAAGAGATTCGCTTGCTTCTCCCGACAGCCATACGACTTAATCGTGGCAACTTAATTTTACCGGACCTCGTTCGATCAGCACAGAGTAGTGGCCTCAGCGACTTAGTTCTTCTCCATGAGCATCGTGGTGTTCCTACAGCCCTGACACTATCTCACTTCCCACATGGACCGACCATATCATTCTCCTTACACAATGTCGTGCTGCGCCATGACATCCCCAACAGTATTCGCGGAACTGTTAGCGAATCATACCCGCACCTGATATTTGATGGTGAGTTTTGCGCATAACCCATGTCTTCCAACTATCCCTAACCTCAAACTATAGGCTTTACCTCTCGTCTTGGTGCTCGGGTCGTCAAAATCTTAAAGCATATATTTCCCCCGAGGGAACCTATTACAAGCAATGCAAAGCTCGGAAGCCGAGTAGTCACATTTAAGAATATTGAAGATGCGATTGAAGTGCGGCACCACGTTTTCGTCCGAACCGGATACGATAGCGTAGAATTATCTGAAGTCGGACCTCGAATGACGATGAAGGTATTCGAAATCCGAAGTGGTACCCTGGAAAACAAAGATGGGGATGTTGAGTGGCATCTAAACCAATATACGAGAACCAGCCGCAAGAAAGACTATCTTTGAGGTTAATATTACGACTAGCCTTCACGTCGCGATCTAGGGTATCATGGCTCCGAAGGTTTCGTACCTCCATACCTTACAGGAAGACGTGGCGCCATGAAGAGCCGTGCATCTCTGTCCGGATCCAGGAAAATCTCCACACGAGCGTATAAATCTTTTCGAGTGTTTCATCAACATAACGGCCGTTTAGCGTACACAAACACTCGAAAATGAGAAAATCTCGCGCGAAAGATTGATACATTGGATAGAGGATTGGCAGAGTTTTGACGTTGATTTTCTCAACAGCGTTCTTCCATTGCGGTTGGTCTAAGTCTGAAATGGCGAAGGTCCTTTTTATAAAGACTAACAGCTTCCCATGGCGTATAGCAGTGATTTTCCTGAAAGACCATAGCATGAAGAAATCATGTCTACGATAACTTCGGACAATTCATACGGTCAAAAGACTTAGAGAGACATCTTCTTAGTTTGATCTCGTGTGTGTAACTCCGGGCAAGAGAACAAATGAAAGAAAACCAAACTCTCCAATAAAGCTATTTTCACAATAGAAATAAACCAAGAGCAAATTCATGTCTACGAGATAATCTAAACCTTTCTTATTCGTGTGATTGGAATTATATCAGTAGATATTGTAGGGAAAGATATGATAATAGAACAATATCCCATAGTTACTAAGCGGTAGTTCTCACATCCCCCCCCCCCCTCCCCCCTTTTAATGATAAAGCGTTGTTTTCCAAAGGATTTAAGAGATGTCGAAGACTGATGTTGAGTCCTAGACGGTTGTTTAAAAAAACAGGATACACGTGAGATAGGCTACCAATTTTTACACCTAGTCTGCTAGTATGGCAAGCTATGACGAAATGGGAAATTAAGAGTTCATAGCCTTCTGAGGTTAGACGCTGATGTGACCTAGCACCGAGGAGCAGGGCTGTGCTATTTTAGGGTCGTACTTTGTACACGTACAATACCGAATGCACGGATGTACCTATGTACGTACCTAGGTAGGTACGAAACGTAGGTATGGTAGGACAATACGGTCCGCTGTCTGCGGCCACTACAGGTATCTATCTTCCTGTCTTAGGTAATGGCTTATGATTTTAAGCGGTTTGTTTTGCTAGAGTTGTTTGAAATTAGGTACATCCATATGAGAAGGGTTCTCAGAGTTATTAGGTACTTTGGTACATGCAAGTTTTAACATGCATGTACCTAGCCAGCTAGCGTACCTTTCTCCAGGCTCCCGCCAAAAATCCCAGCTTGGCAAACGTCGATTTTCGTCCAAGCCACCCATGCCATGGATCATCACAATCACAACTTACAGCTAGAACTACTATGTACCTCTTACTACTCTACTAGATGGTATGATTAGTTTGAGTAACCCGATTTGCAGATTAGTACTCGGATAAAAAAAGAGAGAAAAAGAAACGATTCAAGTTTAAACCTGGCAAACTTCCTTCGTCGATTCCTTTCAGTTTAGATTTCGTTTGTGCTGTTATTTTACGATTCTTATTATTTTACTCCTCCACTCCCTGCTAACAATCCGACTCGGAAGACGGTATTTGGAGCGGAAAGGCCCTTGGAAGAAAAAAAAAATACTCAGACGCCACTACGGCTGTACCTGTACGGTCAGCAGGGAACATCCGCCGTTGCCCCAGCCCCGTCTCTGCCCGCCTGTCCGTCTACAGCGGAAGAAGTACGGTTTAGCTGTAACTTGTAAGTACCTACCTAAACCTACCTAAAGATTGATTCAATCTCAAAATCATTCATCAATCACCTTTTTTGTCCTCTCCAACTCCCCAGCTTCCCCCATTTCCAGCTCTTCATTTCACGTCGCAGCACGTCGCATCACGTCACACCATATTATCGTATCCGACCATTCCATTGCTTACCATCCGTCATCTATTATTAAGGTCCTAGAACACCGAGGCTTTTTGGATGTCATAAAGGCGACGGCCTAGCAGTCAACATGTCTTACGGTCAATATCAAAACAACCCATATCAAGACAGTTCCCTAGCCGAGCAAGGCTACCAGGTAAGGCAATTCTACAGCCAGTAGAACTAATTCAGTGAGTGTGTATCAACAGCTATCTAACAAACAGCTAGGAGCATGAATTACAAAACTATCCAGAGCAGCAACAAGTCTCAGATATCCTCTCACAACAGGATTTTCTCAGCCGAATTCAATTCCTCCGCAATGAAATCGGTACCCTTACTAATAATGTTCAATCAATTGCGTCCCTGCACCAGCGCGCGCTGGCTGAAGGCGACGGTGGCGTGGCATCGCAACAGCTCGAACGCCTCGTCGCCGACACGCAAACCTTGAACATTGGCATTAGAGATCAATTAAAATTCTTGGCGAACGACGCTGTCAAATCCCCCGTTGACAGCTCTACCCGTACTATGAAACAGCGGCAGGTCGATGCCATCAAATCCGAGTTCGAGCGCGAATTAACCAGATACCGGGAGGAAGAGAGCCTCTACAGCCAACGGTACCGCGACCAAATTGCCCGCCAGTATCGCATTGTCAATCCTGAAGCTAGCGAAGACGAGGTTCGTAAAGCGGCTGATACGGATTGGGGCAATGAAGGTGTCTTCCAAACAGCGGTAAGTTTTCCCCCCTTGTTCTTGAGCCCTTTCTCCTCGGAAGGATTCAAGTAGTTCCTAAACCGGATAATGCTGACCCAAGACGCAGCTCCGTTCCAACCGTGCCGGACAAGCGTCGTCAGTTCTCGGCGCAGTACGTGCGCGCCACAATGAACTTCAGCGCATTGAACGGACGCTCATCGAACTGGCGAATATGTTCCAAGATCTCGCCATATTAGTGGAGCAACAGGATCACGCCGTAAACGAGGCAGTGAATAATGCCGAGAATACGACTAAGTACATCGACGAAGGCAATACCCACGTAAAGAAAGGAATCGTACATGCCCGAAACCGCAGAAAGCTAAAGTGGTGGTGTCTCTTCGTCGTAATTATCATCATCGCCATCGCCCTCGGTGTCGGTCTAGGTGTGGCTGCCAATGCGGGACTACTAGGCAATCACAACAACAGCAACAACAACAACAGCGGCTAAAGTGCCGCTCGAGAAACTGAAGAGTGAATGAACGATAACGAGACGAGTTTTCAACTTCGGTAGACGGGATAACCCGGGTAGAAGTAAAAGAAAATTACCAGATCGTGTAGAGATGACAGATCTTGGTCGACTTTATATTAATTCCTGGCTTTCCATTCGATATCTAGAACGTCGGCAGACTTTCTGGTCCCCCGGTTAGTCTATGGAGGGGTAAAATCCTTAATGCATTGTTCTTCCTTTTTTTTTTCATGTACGCATGGTTTTAATGCGAAATTATTCACCGCTCGGGCGGCGTGGTCTTATTTGGATCTTTTCTCAGGGTCGGAAGGGGAGGGTTCCAGGCTGAGACGAGCTGACGTTGTACATAATATGCCTATACGCTTATTATTACCTCTTTTTTTCTTCTTCATATTCAAATGATTCCGTATTGTACTACTTATGTCGCGCGCGCTCATTATTACTTGAGTTTGAGGTACCTAAGGTATGAATTGTGAAGAGAAGACACGGTTACGAAGGCCGACTAGATTTCATGTAGGTATTTATTTCAACGCGCAAATATGATCTTCAATTCATAATGGGAAGCACCTCATAACCATAGTTCAGGCTATTGCGTCTTGAATGGATCGGATATCCATATGAAAAGCTACCTTACCTAGGTACCCTACATTTCGATACCGTACGACATAAAACTGGTGTCCATATCAGGACACAGAAAAACGTGTTTGCTAGCCAGACTTTATAAAGGCAATCTTACAGCTTTTAATACCATAACCACTTTTATATGACAAGAGTTTACTGGGTACATATATTTAGCGGTGCGAGCATACACTATATAGCTCTATCGGATAGCCCGTTCTTTTTCGGATGTCTGGCGGAATCCGGACAGCCAAGCGAAATCTACAGGTAGGTATGTACCTCCAGTTATGATATACCCATCACCAGCTTCTCTCACCAAATTAGGTACAAGTACCTACATAGCCTAGTTTAGCTCAGCCATGAACTTTCACTTTATGCATGTAGAGGTAGGTGGTAAGTATTCTTCACGCAGAAATCTTCGGCATATCGACCCCCGGCGCGACCTTCGCCAGCAAAACGTCGAACAGCGGGGTCCCGAGGCCCGTGACGGGATCCCACCCTTGCGTCGCGTTCCACCCGGCGCCCGGCACGTACGGCGCCGGTAACCCGCTGTAGATGTCGCGCCCCGTGCACCCGACGCTCCCGCCGTCCACGATGTCCGTGAACCCGCCGGCCGCCGCCGCCTCGCCGTACAGCCAGGGGTTCAGGAAGCCCAGGGGCGCCTGCCCGCCCTTGACGCGCGCGTTGTTCAGCAGGCTCACGAGCGCCGCGAACGTCGGCGCCGACGCCGACGTGCCCCCCACCTTGACCAGCTGCCCCCGTGATACCACGTTGAAGTTGCGCCCCTGCGCCGCCACGTCCGGGAACCCGCGCCCCGACGGGTTGTACAGCCCCGCGAAGGTCGCGCCCCCCAGGGCGGCTAGGTACGAGTCCACGGCGGCTTTCTGGTACGACGGCCGCGCGAAGACGTCGGAGAAGCCGCCGGACGAGAAGGACACGGCGTGCTCGGGCGCGACGCCCACGGTACCGCCGACGGATGTCACGTACGGGCAGGCCGCGGGGAAGATGGGCAAGAGGCGCGTGGTATTCTTGCCGTCGTTGGTCTGGCAGGCGCTGCCGGGGCCGGTGCTAAGGGAAGGGGGAGACAAAGTTAGCTTTTTTTTTTTCTTTCTTTTTTTTGTGGTATGCATAAGATGGTGCTGGCAGGCGGAAGAATAAATGGATAATGATGAAATGAATGATGAGAGAGAGAGGACTTACTCTCCGGAGCTGAAGAGCACGGACACGCCGCGGGCACCTAGCTGGCCGAACATGGTGCAGACCTTCTCGACGTAGGTCTTGGGGACCGACTGCTCGTCTTCGCCGTAGGATGTGGTGAGAGTGTGCGGGAGGTCCTCGTCCGGCAGATCCAGGAGATACGTCAGATACTCGAGGTACGGCTCATTAGATCCCTACACGGCAGAACGTCAGCAAGTGGGATTCTTCGCGCAACCGACAACTTGACGATATTTTACGTACGGTATTCGGGTCGGGTTGGCTAGGTCAAATTAGCATCTTCCTGATTTTTTTTTCTTCTTTTTTCAAAGGGCGTTAAGACTCGTTTTAGGCTAAGCCACTTACTCGAGATCGGGAACCAAGGGTCCACGGCCTCCGTTGGAGTAGTATCGGATATCTGTGTTGAAGCCCAGGGACGCGGCGTATTGCATGTCGAGGTTGGCCTCGATGTCGTCGTCGACCGAGTCCGTCTGGTTGTCCAAGCCGCCGTTAACGGAGAGCGTGGTGAAGTTCTGGGCGAGCGCGTAGGGGGCGAATTGCGCGAGGAACTTGTCCAGCGCGTCGTGCTTCGCGTATTCCTCCAAGAAGCCGCTGACGCCGAAGATGGTGGCGACGCTGGGATCCGCAGCCGTGTCGCCGACGTTGTAAAGCGCCCTTAAGCACTCAGGGGTTACGGTAGTGTTACAGAAAGTCGCGTTGAGCTCCTGGGTGGGGATCTCCGCGGCGGCATGGAAGAAATCCGCGGCCTCTTTCTGCTCGATGACCTCGTATACCTGTACGGCATGTGGCCTCATCTGACCAAACCTGGTCGTCGGCTGGATCATAGTGATGTGGGATCGGACCTCCTCGGGGACGGAGTAGCTGTTTTCCAGTTAGCAAATCTCGTACCGAATTTCGTTCATCCCGTTAAACAAAGGCGGGAATTTCATGCGTACTGTAGAGTTCGGATTCGCTGCGCGTCTGTCCCGACATGGTTATACACCTGGAACTGAGTGTTCAACAAGCTTGCCGCCTTGAACACGGTCGTTTTGAAATTGACCCATTCCCCGGCGTTCTTGATATCCGACGCGGGGATGCCAGATTTTTGGAGCCAATCCAGTACGGCCGCAGTCGACTCCTCTCTCGGCTTCATCATCTCCTTGACTTCATCGCGCGACAGATGACGGCCGTATAGAGGATGCTGAGGAGTAGATACCTCGTAGAGGACTCTCTCGAACTGGTCCAAGTTGGGTTGCTCGAGGGCAATGCGCAACTTGATCACTTGGTTCGCATCCGCGTTCTTGACCTTCCTCCAGCCCGTTGGCACCTTTGGCAGGGATTCTACTACGACGTCTTTGCCTTGGACGGTGGCCTGGAGGAGCGCAGCGGTGGCGCAAATGAGCGAGAAAAACTTCATTGGGAACCCCACGTCACAGGTCAGGTGGGGCGTAGATGATGCAGCAAGTAAGAGAACGGCTGAATGACCAGCTATCTCCTTCACAAATCTTCCTCACGAGAAGACCGGGAGTTAAAAAGAAGGAGAAGAAGGAGAAGAAGAAGAAGCGAATTGAAACATATATGCGCCTTCAGGAACGGGTCATCCTAATAAATATGTGTGAGACACAACACGACACGATACAACACCCCTGGACAGAGAGCTGTTAAAAGGTCTCAAAAGGAAGAAACCTCGCGTAATTCGTATGTAATTCATATCTATTATCACTATCATTATATTGTTATTATTAATTTACATCTAACATGGGACGTTGCGTATACCCCTCCAACTTATTACTATTAGTACTTAACCTACCTAGGTAGGTACTATGTAGGTATATTTTCGTTGTGAACTTTCCGTTTATTATTCCCAGATTAGCTTATAGCCAATCGGAAAAGGCAGGTTCATCGTCGTTATCTTGCATACCTATAAACCGGCACCGTACCTTACATATGCGGCATGTGGGGAAAAGCCCAACAGGATTGGGAGATAAGACTAGCGGCCGGAGATTAAAAGCATGAGCTACGTCAATGGGGGCAATGGAGGCAATGATCAGCATTTTTAACGCGACTTGTGTTGATACGGTTTACTATTTAGTAAGACCCTACCAGCCTACCTAGCAGCCTAGTTATTGTGGCTTATATACCAGGTAGGTAGTAAGTGACGAAGGTCGAACAAGGAAAGTGCTGAGCAACAGTTCTCGAGGCGCCAATTGGCTGAGACATGACGTCATTCCTTAAGGAGCGTGCTCTTGAGTCTTTTGGCTGCTTATTATAACTCCTTTTATTCGCAGATCTTTGGTATAACCATATGCTCACCAATCATATGCAATTTTTTCTTCTTATAAGGAGGTACCTAACTTACACGTTGCCCCATATAGGCCTTTGGAATTATGAGACGCCAAAAGCCTACCGCAACTAGCATTATAAGTGCTTGCTCGTTGATTTGAATGAGATAAAGGTCTAAATGAGTAGTTTCAACTAGCTATTGTCATTAACTGGGTGCCTACCTATATGCGGCCATTCAAGTCGGAAATGATAGGGTATAGTATAGCATCACAAGTTATTTATCATATTCGATATATAGATGACTACTGAATAAATTATAGAGATAATAATAAGAACGACGCTGGATTCCCATACCAAACTTAAGCTATGTACCGGCCACGGCCAACATATTGACTGGTTGTTTAGGTGCTACATCATTTCAAAACACACATGATATGTAAGTACTTACGTAATGAGGTTTTTGACTATTGTATTTTTTGAGATCACGATGTTTTTTTGGTGTTTTGAAAAAAGGTTGCTGGAGTAAAAATTGGATTAGGGTATGGTGGGGAAGCTAAGTGGGTAGTGCCCCATATTTCCAACCAATCGGAGCGTCCGGAGGTCATTTATCCGAAATTTAGCCCCAAGTCAAGCCTCTAATACAGCCAAGTAAGCCTCATTACGTCATTATTTGATTTGCTTTATGTAAGCCAAATGTATACCGTTATTTGATTTGATTTGATTTGTTGGACACGCTGCCTTCATTCTCACCACTCTGCCCATCGTCAGCTAAGTTAAGCCCATCCAGGGCCGACGTTAAACCATTTGACGCACGTATGGTATAAAACGGGACCTCGATAGCCGCTGTTGCTTGCCATTGGTTGGTCACGCTCATTCCAGTCATGATGTTCCCAATCATGCGACCGCGAGCCCTGTGCAATATACCTGCATTCATAGGCAAACGGATAGCTGCCCATAACCGATTCTCATAGAGGTTATGGAGTCTTCTCCGGATCGTCCCGCGGGCAGGGTTCTTCTTGTCTTGAATAATACCCTCAAGTCTTTCAAACAAGTGCTCGACAATCATGTGGATAAACACACCCGACTCGTGGCTGCGGTTATGCAACATGGGAATCTTGTCCTGGGACATGAACACCGGCCACCGTCCGGGGACGTCTACGCAATCGATATCGCCTTCTTTCAATATGACTGGGAGCCGCTCTAGTATTTTCTGTCGCCTTTCAATCCTACCTTCGTGAACGACATCGTAAAGTCTCACAAACCTGGCAATGAGTGACTGTCCGTCCTTTCTAGATACGTCCATGTCACCGTCAGGGTCGTCGATGTCGTAATTTACTAGATGAAAGACGAGCAGAACCCAGATGCCATCCACCGTCATCCCCGCGAACTCGATGCAAGCGTTCCCGCAGGGAACCGGCTGCGGGCCGTGCGGCGTGCCGCCCAGAATCATGCTCAGGACCATGCACGTCTGCGGCAGCCCCTCGACCCGGATGTGGTTCTCGCCGACGGGGCCCGTCATGGTGACGGTCGCGTTCAGCGCGTCGCGGTAGCACGCGTCGACGTTGAACTGCGGGACGCCCTCCGGGGCGGTAGGCGGCGGCGGCGGGATAGTCCTCGGGCAGGTTGAGCTGCTCCGAGAGCTCCTGCGCCAGCTTCGTCGCGTGCAGGAACCCGGCCCGGCTGCGGCGCTTCCGGCATTTGCCCGTGCCGCACGTCAGCCCGACCGTCGTCGCCGCGCCGATCGTGCCCGCCGTGATTCACCCCGTCACGGCTTCGGCCGTGGCGGCCGAGAGGCCGATCACCATTAGGGGGATCGGCGCTAGGATGCACTGGAGGAATGCGAATGAGGCGATGGCTGAAGCGGCAATGGTGGAGTGACGCATTGTGTTTGATTTGCTTATAAGGAGTCTTGTCTTGAGAGGTTCTAAGAAGTGATATTCAGCGCGGGTGGTATTTGAATGAGTTCTCGTTCCTGCGAGTTCTTAATGGTGTTGGTGTTATTGATACAGAAGGCTTTGGTAAATGTGGCGACGATAACCCTTATATAGACATTTTTAGGCCGATATATTCCCCAGGTCGACGATACCACGGACCTTGCGGCCTGGTGTGATGGTTTCTAAAATCGAGGTCATACTCTTTTTTCTTCTTCCTCTTTCTAACCGCACACCCCTTTCACGTCTGGGGCTACGTATGAGCAAACCCACTCAACATACCTTTCCCATGAACTACCCCAATCATTAGTTTCTCTTACTATGCAGATCTTTGCAATTGGCTGATACCGGGGGAAAGGATACTCTCCGCGCATCTATACCGCATAGCCAGTGTCAGTCGCTTTGTAAGTTATACATTGGGCTGGCGACAATTCTCTATGAACTCCTGTCTGCGATTTTTTTTCTCCGACATTCTCGGCGGTGTCTCTTTCCTAGATGCTTCAAGTTCTCCAAGAATGGAAACTAGTCGATGGTTTTCTTTCCGACAACAGGATACCTAGGGATCAAACTTCTAAAGCCAGACGTTGTTCTCAAGGTCCGGAACCACCACACCTAAATCCACCTGGTGTACACCCACCACACCACACCAGGTCTCTCTACGTCCGTGCACGTTTTTACACCCACCGCACCATGAGGCTCGAAATAGGTGTGGTGGGTGTGGTGGGTGTGTTAAGTGTGGAGTAGTACGCTGAGTTTAGGCCATGCATAGCCACGATGTTAGTGTTTACTAGTAATTTTGGTAGTGGCACTAACAAATTGACTTGTGGCGTACTGTGGCAACTGGGAGATATTTACCCTACATTTTGTTATATCGTTAGATTTTAAGCTTAATATAAGACTTGAAATAAAATAATTTATATCGTTAGAATCCCCAGAATTTTCGCTTTCTAATGGTATATATAGCTCAAGTTACAGGCTTAATTTGGTTGAGAAATACGATTTATATTAAAGGTTGAGAAAATAGACATTAAAAACCTTATATTTTGAAATCGAAAAACAGTAATACCACTGTCACTATATAAAATATCTACTAAACGCGCTACCTATAAAACGAAATATATATCATTAGAAAGCCCTTGAAAAGGCGTTTTTAATTATTTTTTATATAATTTTTCTGTACTAAATACACGAGAAAACGCGGGTTATTCAATTTTATATTGTTTGAATATATCGATAGCCTCGAGGCGCTAGTGTCCACGATGCTTCAAAGGTCCACTTAACTTCTTTTTGACCGCTCCAATGTACCGCCTTGCCCATACAATTTTGTATGTGTATGTAAGTACTTATGAACTTTCCCTAGAACATATAATTACTTAAGTAGCTACCTTAAGTATTAAACATTTACAATACTAATATCTACGATATTAACGTTTACGATACTAACGTCTACGATGCCTACGTTTACGATGCCTACGTTTACGATACCAACGTTTACAATACCAACGTCTACGATATTAATGTGTACTTAATATCATTACAACACCAAGCCAAGGCCTGAATACGTGTTTTTGGTGGTTGGGGATAGCTTCATTTAAAGGCCCGTGCCCTGGCGTACTAGTCGTCCACCTAATCCACCTAAATCCACTGGTGTACACCCACCCACCACCGGTAGGTGGTGGTTCCGGACCTTGGTTGTTCTACCCCGGATCGACAGCGACACATGAACACCAGTTAAACCCAAGACCAATAACCTTTCAAGACAGCTTACGGCACCTTGGCTCTGGTAGCAATCCTACTTCGTTATCTGGGGATTTCAAGACCGAGTTTTGCTAGCAGTTCGGCAAATATCGCTTCAAATGCTGTCTATTAGTCACGAGATGCCTCGCTCGTAAGATGTTTGTAAGTTAGGTTGGCACGATGTCTCCTCAACGTTTCACATAGAAGCATACCGGTTGTTAGTTTCTATATCGTAGTCTGGAGATGTTGTTCTCCCCTCGCGGTATACTCAGACATAACGTAATACACACAAAAGCTGAGCGGATCCCAAGTCTAACAACTCAATGCCTAGTGGCATTATCCCTTACTTCGGAACATACTGGTCCAATGAGAATTTACCTATGGATGAGACCGGTGAAATATCTACCCAGCATAACAAAAATACTCTACTTGTCTCTAGAAAGCCGATAGCATTCTACTCTCAGAAGCGAGAGAGTCGTGGTGAACAACATTCTACAAGATGCTGACTGTTGCCATGTCCTCTCATTATGAGGGGACCCATGGCCAATTCTATCAACAATGTTACCACCTATGTATTTTCCTATGCAAATTACACTGTAAGAATATACCGCATCTTTTTACGTATAGAGAACCTCATAATATGGGTAATATGAGGGGAGTGGTATACTAAGGCAGCTCGCTGGTATAGGGTACATGCACAGTTTACGTACAAAACTAAGTACCCGTCTACTATGTAAACATCTAACGTACCCAATTAAACCTCCCATGAAAGTCACGCGTAGAGTAGGCAAGAAAAAAGAGGATTGATTGTTGTGTCTATCTACCACTAAGATCTAGCTGCTTAGGCCACTACCACGGAGGTGCCGGGTAGTCATTCAGCATAGGTAGTTGAAGAAAGCATATCACCTGAATGGTCAATGCAACGGATTATACATCTCAAGGGGTGGGTGGTATATTCATTACATACCTAGAGCCAAGGATTCTGGGGGACCTCATTACGTTAGACGCGGGGGATAGGGTGAGCGGCATTCTAGAAACGAAGGGCCCTGTTCCTACCCCGGTTTACCCAGTTGAGAGGGTTTTACCAGGTAGAACCCCTGATCCGGGATCCGGGGGATCTTCTTTACTAGGGTCGAGACCTGGGGTGATCTACGTCTAGGATCTCGAGCCATCCTTGGCAGAGATATCCGACTTCCTCGTAATCTAGATCCTATGCGAATATCTCTAGAATCCCGTATACTGGATCGCCTGTATTGTACTGTATAGAATAACCGGTTTCGAAGTCTAATTTCATCTCATCTAATACGTTGCGAATAGTTCCGCTGCCGTTGCTATGACGGTTCCTGGTGATATTCATAATCTCTTCCGCTTTCACTTAGGTTTGACATATGTACCTATCTACCGGTGGAGGCCTTACCCATGGGGAACGAATCGAGTATACTATTATAGTCTATATTGATCGACAGTTTTGGAATTTACTGCCAGGTGATTGCGGTACCGCCGAAAGCCCGTCGACAAAACATTGAAGAACGAGCCAAGCCTCCGTTTCACGTACTATTCCTAGTCCTCAGAGCAAACATTTCTGTGGTATGAAAATTTTTGTCAGTCTCAGCCCCAGATATAGTCTACCATACCCCGGCAATTTTCAGTCTACCTATGGCGCTCTGGTGTTGCGACGTGGCGATGCCGCAGTGCTCTCCGGTTTAGGTCACCGAGTTCGAGTCGGGGTCGGTGACATGCTGGTCCTTTGGGCTCAGGAGTATCCACTCTGGAAGACTTACTACCCTTACCCTCTCTCTCTAAATGAGGGGAAAGCGACGGGGATGCCGGGAAGACGTCTTTCACTAGTCATCGGGTAGTTATGAACGGATATCATAGGTAAATATTATACGCATGAAGAATCGTTGCTACTAGGGCAGGAATACTCCCACCGGGACGAGATAAATCTGTTTTGTGGGAGGGCATTTTCCACAAGCGAGTTTCCTCGTTACACTTAACTGCTATAGTTACTCTGAATGAAACTTCACCTTATGTTAGACCGTACTACAGCATAAAATAGTTGTTAAAGATAGAGGCGCTCAGACTAGGAAGTAACCGGTGACCACACTGCTTAATAGGCTTTTATTTGGGTTACGCAGAATATTCAAGTAATCATTATGATCTGTCTACACTCGTGATCGTAATATCGCCTGCTTCAAAGACCAACGAAGAATCTTGGGATAGAGCCACCTGGGCGTTGACCAAAAGAACCAAGCGAACACCCACACAAACCCCAAAGCTTTTCCAACAGCGCATACCCTCGAATCCTTTAGTAACACTTCATACCTCGTTCCCTTCACCAAGTTCCCAAAAAGTTTAGACGCGAGGATCTCGCCCCCTATGACAAAATAATAAGCGCAGAAAAAGAGCAAATCACGCCGGCCCTCTCCCTGGCCCACTTTCCAAGCCGTTACGGCATGTATAAGCCCGGACGAAAGGAATATCTCAAACGCGACTACGACCTTCTCGACGGCCGATCCTGGTTCCAGCTTTAGGATATGTTGCGAAAAGGCCTCAGCGTACACGCGGAAGGTAGGCGACGCGATGCGGTGCCAGAACCTGCCCCAGAACCGTCTGACCGTCCACGCCTCCGCCGGGCTACCGAAAAGCGGCGGCCAGTCCGCCGGCCCGTCGAAGCGTAGTACGACGACGAATAGCAAGGAGAGCAGGGCGTGGTATGACTCGAGTACGAGCACGTTTGTCCATATCCAGGAGACACATATGAACGCTCTTAGGAGGAGCTGATGCCTCGAGACTGGATCATCTTCGTCTCTTTCAAGTAGACGCCGAAGAATCGGCTCTTGGTCCGGCGTGAAATCGAGTATGGTGCTAGTAGCGGTGATATGTTCGCACAAGGTTTGAACGAGGAGCCGATCGATGAGGATAATCGTCCCAACCCTGGAAATACGGAAGAGCGCATACCTAAGCAGCTCAGACCAGGAGACCGATCTACTCCGTGGTCGTGGGCAGGGCAAGTGTCGAGGATTGTTCCAAATCCAGCACGAAGCCGATATACTAGACCTCGTAGGCGCTAGAGCGGAGCTGCCTGATCTTCTAGGCTTGCTCTCATCCTCAATCCCTGGTAACAATGAGTGACTCTTGAAGCATAAGATTCGAGGGAGGATCAGCATGTAAATGATACATGTTATTGCCGTGTAAGATTCTAGCCCGATTAAACTCCCAGAGGTGGTTTTCCCTTTAATAGAGGCGAATGACCAGAATGTGAGGAACCATGTTGGAGGAAGGAAAAGGGGACGAAGCTTGGGAGAGAAATGCAAAGCTAGAGCGGTGAGAAAAGTGGCTGCCGCAAAGAGGATGGTAGGCTTGAGGAACTCATATGACAATAATATTGATGAGACCATGTCTATAGTGAGATGTTGCTTTTGGTTTAAAGTATTATGGCTCAACAAGATAAGATGCCAATCGTGTGCTGGTGTCTGGTCATATACAACCTCACTACAATAGGTAGTACGGGTAACTCAACCACTCCTTGACTTCTGCCAAATGCCGGTAATAAAATCTACAGAAGCCATTATCTCACCCATCCCAGACGTAATCATTGAAGAGGTCGATCTATACAGTCGAAATTTACCCGCTAGGTGCTACGATTATGATGGTTGTTGGTTACTAGCCGCATCATATCGTGGGGTATCAAGCAATCAATGTTAAAAATAGGGGGCCCACGTCGTGGGCCCCACGTGGAGGGGAAAGAAATTCGTCATAACGGACCACCACAGTTTTCTTCCCTATTTGAGCACACCGAATCTATCGCAGTGTCGCACAGTATCACCTAGTCTTCGTCTGAATACGTTTTATGGAACTCAAAACTATTCATCGGCTTACTGTAGAACGGAATTTCACGAGCGAAATGCCGAGAAGCCGGTCAAAATGGTCATTGTTAGGTAGTCGCATGGTATAGTAATGATTCAAAGAGAACGCCAGAATGGTAATACTCCCGTCAATCTTCAGCTGTAGATCGGGAATCGTGAAGCAACTTCCATCTAAACGAGTCTCGCTACCTAAGCTAGATTACACTCCTTATAAGTTATGTCTACCTACTGCTAGTGCCAGGTACGCATCTGGCTTCCCCAGCTGCGATTTTACTCTCAGAAGTCCTCCTCTGCGCCTTCAGGCCCCATAATCTCAAGCCCGTAATAACCGTCATGAGCGCGAACCTCTCCCCCAGCACCCCCGTCCGGCCGCTACCCCTGAACTCGATCTTGAACGGGTCCATCAGGTTCAAATTGCTGCTCCAGGCGAACACGGCAACCAACTCTTGGTTCTTAGGCGCGCTCTTTTGGAGTGTTCCGTTGGCCGGATCCGGATCCAGATCTTTTCCGCTGCGGGGAGAGAGCCTGAAGAGTTTGAACCCGCACTTCCACGGCGCGCCAACCAGGCCCTTATCCTCCTCGCAGCCCTTGCTCTTGCGCCACTCGAAGTCCTCGCGCCACAAGTCCTGGCCTGGCCCGACCTCGATCGAGAACCGGAACACGACCGCGTCTGGACTTGTCGCGGCGCGCAATATCTCCGTGCAGTTTCCGTCGGCGGTGGTGCCGCCCGACAGCGAAGGCAACGTGATGATTCCGTTTAGCGAGTAGGAGTTGGCGTAGTGCTCGTCGCCGGCGGCGGCAAGCATCGGATACTTGTCCGTAGGCCCGTTATGCAAGACCACGCCTGGTCTGCCAGGCCCGTACCCGCCGTAGCCTGTGTGGACCTTGACCGCGAATAGTCTCTTGTCTGTAGGATCTCCCAGATGAAATACCGGGGTTATCATCTTCCACTGGTAATGTGCGCTCAGAATAGGCGGAAATGGTCGATATGGAGAGATCCTGGTGGCGTTCGTTGACGTGTGGCGGTCGCCATTCGTTGATCTCGAAGCCTCACGGTGGGACCCTTGAACTGCTTCGGAATATGGCGGCGGAGCACTGCTTGTGTATTCAGAGGTATGGGATTCCGCTTCTTCTGGATTCCCCATGGTGATGTGTAAGTAAGGTAGCCTTGCCTAGCGATGAAATTCAAGTATAATTCATTACGAATATTGCGGTAGGTGTTTAAAAATGGTGCTCAAGAGAACGCAAGACTTGGACTTTTATCTCATTCCTATCACAGATAGCTACCTGCCTTGCCTAAGATAGCCTAGGGACCGCCATATCAATACAAACGCATTCACCTTGTATACCGCAGTGGTACTGTATTACCTGACAGATGGGCGTATGGAAACATGCTCAGCTAGTGGCTGTTTTCCACTTTGGATGACAGTTATGTCACAATTGGAGTTTACAGTGACAAGTGCGGCTGATACAGCCCAGCACTAGTGGCAAACAAACCATTTCCCCCCTTACATGCCTACTACCTTGGGTACATTTTGCAGAGCACACCCTACCCACCCCACCCCGAAGGGGCCAACTGTAGTTCTGGGTCGGAATGTGTCTTTGTGGTGAGGTAATACACCCAGCACCATGGTTTTACCACGAACGCCTAGAGTCCTCCCTCAACATTGTATAGGATACCTCCTAGTGATTCATTTGTGTCTTCCTAGGTTAATCGTCATCGAATAATGTTAACATACCCTGAGATTCATAGTCATCTTCAGTAATACCATATTGGAGGAACCAACCAGTATATCCGCTCGCCTCACATATATTTAAAACATCTGGAAAGCATAACCAGAATTTGCTTGACTTGGCTTCTGATACTATGATCATCTTGCTACCGGTCCGATCTGGAGAAAGGAACATACAAGAACAGGCGATGTTATAGCCTATTGTCCAACGTTCCTCTAGCTTCCAAGTTTCATCAGGAGTCGTCGATTTGATTATTGAACCGACCATTCCAACTAAGTACCTCCTATCACATCTTCCTCTACACCCAACAAGTCCAGCTTAATTTCCAGCAATAGTCCAAAATTTGCTGACTACTGCCAACAACCCCTGAAGTATCGATATACCGGCCATCTGACGGTAAAACGCCATACGGCTGAATTATATCATGTCCTAGTTCCTATTTAGGTGTAGGAGGAATCACCTAGAGCATCTTGATGGTTGAGAGATAAGTTCTAGCCTACTTTCACATAGTTCCCTACCATGCAATATTTAGTTGGAGCGAATGAGATATCCCGTGAAATAAATACTTACCAGGAAACTGGCCTTGTTTACCGTGGCACTTTCCAATCCACCACTCATTCTCATTTTGTGTTCTACTGACAATTTCTATTATGTCTCCTGCCCTAAAACTGATGTCGCCCTCGGCTTGGGCTGAATAGTCGTATAAAGCGGTAACTGTCTCTACAGCTGGAGCGCCGGTGAGTCGGCTGGGTTTAGGCTTCGGTGGAGGTGGTTTCGGCTTTCCTGCCGCAATAGCTGCTAACCCAGGTGATTTGGGGCCGGCCAAGGGCGGGGACATCGGCGATTTGAAGGCGGCTGCTGATGCGGAATAAGGTGGAGGGGGGTTATCCACACCATCTGCTTGTGACTGTTGGCCGAATTTGGTTGATGTTGGGCTCGGTGCGGACGATGGACCTGTAAGTAAACCAGCAGGTCGAGGTCCCGGTTCAAGTGCCGCTGGTTTGTTCCCGTACTTCGGTGGCCTCTTCTGACCGCTAGTCTTGAACCGAACGATGGTTAATTGCTCAGTCTGCTCCTGAATATCTGCTCGCTTCCTCGCGAAAGCCTCTTCTACGTCAAGAGTTAGGTCGAAATATCCAATATCGCAATGCTGCATCTTCTCGTGAAGTGTGTAGAAAATATTTAGCTGCATATAGTAGAATGATTGGAAAAGAGGTTTGATGAATTGGCGCTCAAGAGCGAACAGCTTTGGTAGTTCATCCTTTAGAAGGTCGTTGAAATAGTTGAACTCCTGGGTAGCTTGCTCGACATCGTTCTCCGCTTTCCACAAGGCCTTCTCGTCTTTGGCGCTTTTCTCCTTCTTATCTTGTATCTTCTTCAGCGTCGCGTTGTGCCGGTCGTAGTCGAGTTTCTTATGTTCACGTTTTGTCGCCGTTTTCCTGATGACCTTGAGCACGTCGAGCAATTCGTTCGCGGGACGGATGACGCGCGAGTCGATCATCTCCAGTTCGGGTTTAAGTGATTCTTGTAGATCTTTGACGACAGCCTCGTACTCTTCGCAGGCGCGGATGCCTTCGGGATTTCCTTGAACCTCCACCGAGTCAGGATCTGACATGCGACCTGATATTGGCTTATAAATCTCGGTCATCGCTTTGCTGAACTCGATCTGGTGGTTGAGCATGCCATTAATGGCATCGAAATACTTTTTGCTCTCATCGTGGAGACGTTTGGTCTCAACTTCAAGCTCGTGGAAACGTCTCTCTGCATCGGTGAAGACAGGATCTTTTGAGTGTTCTCCAATGTTGAATTTGGCTTTGAATTGTTGCGGCGCCTATGCATTGGAGGATTCCGATTAGTTCTAACGTATTCTTTTTAACAAGTTAGGCGCATCATGACTTACTCGGACAACGCTCTTCTGGAAGCCTCGGAAGCTCATCGCTTTACGAGGTTGCGATAGTTTGTTTACTTAAAAGGTAGTTCCGATTTGGGATGGATGGTTTAGCGGGAGTATTAATTCGGGATCGGGATGAGGATATATTCCTTTCTAGTTTTTATTGCGTAGTTTCGTAGTTTCGTAGCGCTCAGGGGAAGCAATGCTATGCTGCACTAACAAGATTGTGAGGTAATAGTTTGAGGAGCGAAAAAAAGAATTGGTTATTAAGAGCGGAAGTCGAGGTTGCGGTTGACTGTAGTAGGTAGCAAGGTAGAAATTATTAGTTAGTAGTGACTTGTATTAAACCTGACTTTAAGTGACTTAGGTCGTTTTCGTCCAGTGACGACGTCGTTCTTGTGGCAGTGCTCTACCTTAAATCATGAGCTCGGCTTCGGGACGATTTGTCAATTTTATGTGGCTTGGACCTAACAAGCCCTGCTACATGTAAGAAAGCTTAAATACAGATAATATGTAGCTTAATGCATTTATTTAAGTACCTCAATAGTAAACATTTCGACATGCGAAACCAAAGCTGGTGATCCGCTTGCCGCATATCCGAGGGCCACCCAGTGCTGAATCGTTAATCCCGAAGCGCGGCCTTTTCTCTTTTCTTATCTAATACGGTAGGTACAGCTAGGTACCTAGGTACCTAGGTACTTAATGGAGGCCTGTCTTTTATCATTCTACCTAGGTAACGCCAAGAGGAGAGGCGCTTGCTAACGTCATCATCAATGATGAGGGGCAGATGTCAACTACAGGTACCTCTAGCCTTAGGTCCACTAAAGGTGCCTAACCCAATCAGATGCCAAGGTATCTCTAGTTTTTCCGTTTCCGCTATCCCCGAGCTCAAAGGCCCTCAATCGCCGTTGCCCGAGCTTCGGATCTTTTTTTGCGACTTTTTGATATTTGATTTGAAATTCGCCTTCAAGCCTGCAACAAATTCCCTTAGCTTCTTAACTTTCTCCTTCTCATGCACACAACTATTTTTTCATACTTTAATACCTAAAATCCACGTCTCCATTTGATGCCATCATGCCGAATGTGGCATCTGCAGCACTGAGACAGGCTTCACGCCTCGCTCTTAAGCAGTCTATCGCCACCACCCCTCTACGAAGGCTTCCATCCATCTCAAGAGTTGCGGGCGTCACGGCCGCGCAAATCGCGCGAAGAGGCTATGTGTCAGAAACTAAGCGCGACAATGCCCAAGTCAATGTTGACACGGCCATCAGATTAGATAAGAAGGATTTTATGAATGAGAAGGGCGAGCTTGTCATGCCTGGTTCTAACAATCCCGCGAACGCTACGGTTAGCCCCATGGCTGAAGTGCTAAAAGAGGCAACCGTTCTAGGGGAGGGCCAGCGACCTATCTATTTGGACATGCAAGCTACGACACCTGTCGACCCCAGAGTTCTAGACGCCATGTTGCCGTTCTTTGTCGGTGTCTATGGTAATCCCCACTCGCGAACGCACGCATACGGCTGGGAAAGTGAAAAGGCTGTAGAAGAAGCGCGAGAACACGTTGCTAAGCTCATCGGTGCGGATGCTAAGGAAATCATTTTCACCAGTGGTGCTACTGAAAGCAACAACATGTCCATCAAGGGCGTCGCGAGATTCTTCGGTCGATCTGGCAAGAAGAAGCACATCATCACCAGCCAAACGGAGCACAAGTGTGTCCTTGACAGTTGTCGACATCTTCAGGATGACGGCTTCGATGTCACATATCTACCAGTCCAAAGCAATGGCTTGATTGATCTAAAGGAACTGGAAGCCGCAATCCGACCAGAAACGGCACTTGTTAGTATTATGGCTGTGAACAATGAGATTGGTGTCATTCAACCTCTTGAAGCTATTGGCAAGATATGCCGGGCCAACAAGGTGTTCTTCCACACCGATGGAGCCCAGGCTGTAGGCAAGATTCCCCTGGATGTCAACGCGATGAACATCGACTTAATGTCCATTTCGTCGCACAAGATCTACGGTCCTAAGGGCATCGGCGCTTGCTATGTCCGCAGACGACCACGCGTGAGGTTAGAGCCCATTATCAGTGGTGGTGGCCAGGAGCGTGGTCTGCGCAGTGGAACTCTTGCTCCGCCTCTAGTAGTTGGATTCGGCGAGGCCTGCCGTATTGCCAAGGAAGAGCTGCAAGTAAGTTTCCCATTTTATTCTTATTTTCTTATTATTTTCATTTGATGAACCGCTCAATACATGCATGGCTTTCTGAGCTCCTTGACCGGAACCGCTATGTTGAGAAAAAGCACACGCGTCTGATTTTCCCTTTATGTCTTTCTTTACCAATTGGCCATCTGGAAAATATTGGTGGCTAACTGATAAATAGTACGATTCGAAGCGCATCAAGGCACTGTCCGATCGGTTATTGAAGGGGTTATTGGCATTAGAGCACACGACTCAAAACGGTGCTCCTGAGAGTTTCTACCCTGGATGTGTCAACGTTTCCTTCGCATACGTTGAGGGTGAGTCGCTGCTCATGGCTCTCAAAGATATCGCGCTATCGTCGGGTAGTGCTTGCACATCAGCCTCGTTAGAGCCAAGCTATGTCTTGCGAGCACTGGGCAACAGTGATGAGAGTGCACACAGCAGTATCAGGTTCGGCATCGGTCGATTTACTACAGAGCAAGAAATCGATTACGTTCTCAAAGCCGTTCAGGAACGAGTCACATTCCTTCGTGAATTAAGTCCGTTATGGGAGCTTGTGCAGGAAGGTATCGACTTGAACACAATCGAATGGAGCCAGCACTGATGTGCTGCGGACCCGTTGGTACACTGGCCCTTTTTCCTAATCGCATCTAAGGGAAAGAGGAGATGCCACTTAATTGATAAACTTGTCATATTAAGCTAGATGCCTGGTTTAACGCTCACTTCGAGCTGGGTACCGAGGACGACAGGGCGTCTCGTTTGTATTTCTAGGAGTTAGGGTGGTCTATCGTGTACTTCGCCGCTTACTTGCGAGCATGCATTCAGTTCGGGGTCGCATAAGGGTATGCGTTTATTTAAGGGGGGTTACTGGAAAGTTGGACGGGCACGCATGTTTCATTGATACCAGATGAAATGGAATGCTAAGTACGAGTTCATGAGTAAATTAGTTTCCGGTTGAGATGACCGTGAGATAAAAAATTCAATACCACGATGCCTATGCGTTTTGAGACGTACGTTGTTATTGTTCTTGTCACTGCCACTCTATGTTAGGTACGAAGCTGCAGGCTCTAGTGGAAAGTTAGCTAAATGGTTACTTGCATTTGTTAACTTCGTTCCCCGATGTATCATAACACGATGGCTTTCGTGTTTGGTTACTGTTCACGGTTCCCTTCCTCGGAAGACGACATGAGCACTACGTATAAGTCACATATCGGATAAGGCCTTTCATGTTAACTATCAATAGTTGAGCAATATAATAAACGTCAAGTGCGTCATCGTCGAAATCACGCGACCCATGGCCTGACATTCCCAAGGAAGTCGATGGTTCGTGCTACATGCACAAAATTACGTATGTAGCGGCAAGCTTGCAAATTCCCCCTATGATTGAACAATCAGAATTGGCAGCGTAGGTACACGGAGTCGGTAGAGCAAGCAGGCAAGTGGCTTGAAAGCAGGCTTTAGCCTAATGCAAACATATGACATCAACGAAGAGGACCCGACGCCACGCTCCAATGACGTCTTACTTTCCTAAAGGGGTAATCTCCCTCCCAAGCTTTGTGCCACCAAAAGCCGAAAAGCCATAGTCACTTACATCGAGATTTGGGGATTGCCCTCAAAGACCGGGCCCGATTTGCATATCGCCGGTGTACTTTGCGCCTTGTTTCGAGGCTTGTTTCTAACTTTGCCTTTTAGTAACGACATTACGCAAGTTCCACTCTCCGGAACCAGCTGTGATATATATAAAGCCCCGAACTCTGCTCCTTTTATTATCGTACTCTCAATTCATCTCAATAAGATATCTGAATCCAATCGAATATCAGACGAAAGACTATTTTCAGCTACACTCACACCAAACTTCTATTACTTAGTCAAATCATATCATCCTATTTATCAAAATGTCCAACGATAACACTTCCACTCTCAAGTCCGTCGTCGACTCCGCTACCGGTATCGTGCAGAACGCATTTGGTGCCATAACCGGAAGCACAGCTGACCAGGTATATACTCTCCTTATATCGGTTATTTCTATATTAATACAGTATACGCTAACATGAATCTCGCATAGTCTCAAGGTCAAGCTAAGCAGAACAAGGCCGATGCTGAGTATGACGCATCGCACGCCACTGTAAAGGCCCCAGGCTTTACTGCTTCGTCAACGGGTGCCGTGACCAAGGATCATCCGGACAGAACTGCCGGCTCTTACAACCAGACCGTCGGATCCGCCAAAGAGTTCGTCGGTGGGCTAACAGGCGCCGAGGTAAGACATATATATAGTGCTTGACTACCTAACAAGCTACCCTATAAAGTAAAATAGCAAAGTACTAACATTTCTTGTAGGGTCTAAAGGCAGCCGGTCGTCAGCAGAACGAGGAGGGTCAGAGGCAAGAAGCCAAGGGCCAGGTCAACGACTACGTTAGCGGGGTTTCTGATCGCGTTACTGGCACTGTAGGCGGGGCTTTTGCCAATATCACCGGCAACAAGGCCGCGCAACAAGAATATGAGAACCAGCACGACGCTGGAAAGACTACTCAACGAGGTGCCGAGGAAGATATAGTCAAGCAGGCAGACGCCGACTCCGCAGCCTCACGTAAGGCGTAAAATGATTCACCTGCAACAATGTGGGGACAAGATTTTCGGGGGAGGGTAGCAGATGACATTGTGATGAGGAAGATACCCAATATGGAATGATAAAGCGTCAGCTAAGTGTTCGGAAAACGGAATCGTATGGTATATAGTTGACTATAATCATATGCAAATGGATTTTATACACTTACTCGCCGCAATGATAGCTTAAATGATCATTGAGAATCCAGACAAGAACAATCAAAAAACCAAAAGACGACAAGGGGGAATTAAATCGAATCGCGATCATTTCCGAGATAAATTCGAATATATTTTATTTTATTAGTCCTGCATAATAAATCAGCGAATAGAAAGCGTTACCAGGATTGTCCATTCGTCAACAAACCGAAACCCCCTGTCGAGGCTCTTCGCTCGGGTAGTACTCGATGTTCTAGCGCGGCCTATAGGGCAGAACTTAGATTGGCGTGGATTTTCTTTGCCGTACGTAAGTCTAAGGATCCCGAAACCTACCTAAGAAAGACCCGACGAGACCTCTGGATCTTAGGACGGTAGGATGGGGCTGTAGAAGAGCTACCCATAGGGCTGCATGATGGGTACCTGTATTCTCCGTACTGATGATCAATAATAAGTAAGTGGCCGTGGAGCCTTGGTCCGAATAATTGGGTCGGATCAGATTGTCTAAGCACTTATACACGTCTCTTATACCCGCTATACCCCGTCTGAGATCAGGTGCACCTATTAGTCAATTCCCTCTGTGAGGCTTAGGTACTGGACTGGACTCGAGCTATGTGATAGGTAGGGAAACGTGATATGCCTAACAGATGTCTTATAGCGGATAGGGATAGGATGATTAACGTAGAAGATGGAGATGTAAGACTCACTTACATTGCCTAGTACCTAGTTCCTTTTCATTTCTTTTTTTTTTTTTTTTTTTTTTTTTTTTTTTTTTTTTTTTTTTTTTAAAAAATTAAAAAAAAATTATTTTTTTTTTTTTATTAAAAAATTAAAAAAATATTATAAAAGAAAAAAAGAAAAAAAAAATTATGGTTTTTAGTTTTGTTA